CATAGATCAGGGCTCGGATCAATTGCAGATCCAGTCACGGGTTCGAACCGTGACACTAGATTTATTTAAATAACTTCAACTATTTTAATTAAATATTGTAAGTAGCTACTACTAGATATATCTAAATAATTATATATAGCTAGATTTATTTAAATAATTTCAATTAGTTCAATAAGTAATCGTAAGTAGCTAGATATTTTTTAATAACATGAAGAAGTCATAATCAGCTAGATTTATTTAAATACTTATAGTTAGTTTAATTAAATAATTATACTAAGTAGCTGGATTTTTTCAAATAACTATAAGTAGCTAGATGTATTTAAATAACCATACTTAGTTTATTTAAATAAACATAAGTATTAAGTAGGTAGATGAATTTAATTAATGATTATAATTAGTTTAATTAAATAGTTATAACTTATAAGTAGTAACTAAATTAATTTATAAAGCTAACTTATAAGAACAAATCAACAAACTCTATTCTAGGTAGAGTTTTGAAAGGATGTCTACTACCTAGACATCTGATAAGCTCCTTGAGGGCTAGTCATAGTCACAAGTTGCTAGATAGTAGCTAGCGGCTAATTTCAAGATATATGTAACTTGATTTCTTCATTTGTTAGGAACGGCACTTTGAAAGCAATGTCTTTTAAAGATCTTAGAAAACAATTTTTTAAAACTTTGTACTGCTTAAATAGTGTACAGATTTATACCATAAATTAGTGATTGATTTGCAATGTAGCTTGGGCCTATCGATGTGACAGTAGTCCCACCACGATGTCATCGCAATGGAGCGCCTCCTCCGGTCTCTCGTGTCTCGTGCACTCGAAGCACAGATATCCTTCGCCTTGTGAACAAGATGGACTGTCTTTCAAGTAGGTGACGCTGCCTATCCAAATGCTGTGTGGACTGCCTGCGCCTACAACATGAGACTGACAGTATTCTCCGCCGTCGTGGCGAGAGTTTCTTCCGGGAGGTCTTCTCCCGGTGCATTCGTCTGTCGCGCATGCCGCGGTCTTTCCTCGAAAACGGAGACCAGGCCAGCAGCACGCTGGCAACGCGGCCCTTCTGGAGTACGAAGTGTCCGACGTTACACGCGGTCTTTCAGCACGACTCGTGCTCGAAATGGCAAAACCTACGACCTCAGTGCTGAGCGCCGAGTCATTCGTTTATACGGCCCTGACGCAGGGCGATTCCTCGATGGCCTACTTCCGATCAAGACAACAAGAACACAGTCGAAGGCAGTGGGCATTCTCAGCGCGTCGGGTTGGCCTCCTCCAATCTACACTGCATTCCTCACGGCGCAAGGCCGGATTCTCGTTGATGTCTTCCTCTACCGCTGGCCAGCCGCCCTCACCCCGGACGCGCCGTTAGAACACGACACGTGGTACCTCGAATGCGACGCCTCGAGCGTCGACTTATTGATGCAACACCTGAAGAAGCACAAATTACGATCCAAATTCAGGCTCGAAGTCATGCCCGAGGACAAGGTTTCCGTGATCTACTCCACAGACGACATGACCGACGTCTTTGCCGCATACACCTCTAAAAATCTTCTCTTCGCCGGCGGCAATGAGATAAGACCCAGTCTTCTGCGAGCCGCCAATGACGACGGACAATCGAGCACAATTGACCCGCCGCAGGCAAGCTACCGTCTCTTAGTGAACCGGAACAGCGAGGCCCGCTCGACAGTCGGCGGGGCGCTGCAAGACGTCGCCACGCCAGACGCCTACCGTGCAGACCGATACGCAATGGGCCTCGCTGAAGGACCTGTGGAGCTCACCACTTTACATGCGCTTCCCCAAGAAAGCAACCTTGACCTGCTCAATGGCATCGACTTCCACAAGGGCTGCTATCTGGGCCAAGAGCTCACGATTCGTACACACCACACAGGCGTCGTCAGGAAGCGAATCCTGCCGGTGAAGCTGTACCAGAGACCTCGGAAAGTGGCGACCGAGGACGATGCGAGGCCGCCAACACCTGAGAGCTCTGAAACGACGACCTCTGACGCCGAGGACGGCAGTCTTTGGCCTTCGGAACTTACTCCGCCGCCGGGCGCCAATATAACGAAAGTCTCCACGGGCGCGAGCAGAAGACAGCGCAGTACAGGCAAGTTCTTAGGCTCTGTCGGCAACCTGGGTCTAGCGCTGTGCAGGCTGGAGTCGATGACGGATATACAGCTGACTGGGGGCGAGACGACGGGTGCCTATTCGCCGGAGGACGAGTTTCAAATTACTTGGCGGGACGGTGATGATGGCGAAGGTTCCGGTGAGGGTCAGGAAGCGAAGACGGTATATGTGAGGGCGGTTGTGCCGGAATGGTTGAGAAGGGGCATCGAGGCGAGTTTGAAGAGAAAGGAGCGGCATCAACCCAGGAGGGAGGCTATCGGTAGTAGTAATGCTGCTGAAGAGGAGGACGGTGAGCTTGAAGAGGAGGTTGAACCTGAGGAGGAGGCTGTTGCTCCTGTGACTCCAGGCAGTGGATTGGGAGCGAGCTGAATACGTATGTGTATTGAATCAGCTGCCACAAAATTCGTACAGTGCCCTCCCGAGCATGAAAACCCATGATGGATTGTTCTAAGGATCTGACGCACAAGTGAGGCTCACCTCAACTTCGCCAGCTAGGTCAATCAAGAAGTCTCAATCTTCAGAGCCCGCCCTGACGGCCCACTCCACGCTCTCGACATCGACCCACGGTCCGGCCTTGACCGCAGCTTTCGCAGCAGCCAGCGTCGAGAATACGATGACTGCAGTACCCATGACGACTTTGTCGTTTCCCCCATCTATCCGCCGCTTCTTCTTCTTGTCCTTGAGTATCACTACGCTTTCGACCTCCCCTGCTGGAAATCGATCTTCGAGGGCCTCCTGATCTATGTCGAGGCCGCCGCTGCCCTTAAACCAGCGGACTTTGACGCACCGTTGGAGTTCGTCGTCTGAGGCTGGGGTGCTGGGGTTGTTTGGTTTGCCATATGGTTGTGCATCGTCAACTTTCGACTCAGCGTCCTCCCTGGACGTCTTCGAGCTCTCGCGTTCCTGTTCTTCCGCTGCTTCCGCTTCCGCTGCCGCTGCAGCTTCTGCTTCCCGTTCCCTTCTCTCGCGCTCCCGCACCCTTGCCGCACCCATCTCAGCCATCCGCCGTCGATTCTCTTCCCGAATGCGATTGATCTCCAGTTCCCGCTCGCTCCACGCCCTCTTGACACCATTCGTCGCGCCATTCCCGTTGGCCCGCGCGCCCTCCGCCTCCCTCCGCTCCAGGTCCTCCTTCAATTGACGTGTCCGCAAGTCGAGCGCATCATTCTCCGCTTTCCGCCTTAACTTCGCCTGTCTGCCTTGGTCATATTTGGCCTTCTCTTCGGGGTCGGTAAGGGTATTTAGCGCGATTTGGAGTTGGTGAAACTTGTCGAGGTTGGCTGGGGTGGGCTCTACCTTGTCTGGGTGGTAGAGGATGGAGGTTTTGCGGTAGGCGCGCCGAATCTCGGACTCGGTAGCGGCCGGGGGAATGGATAGGAGTGCGTAGTAGTCAATTTCGGGCGCCGGGGCCTGGGTAGCGCCATTTTCGAGGATGTGAGGTGATGAGAGGTAGCGACACAGGGCGGGCTCTGGTGGTCTAGATTACAAGTTGTTCTTCAATTGTCAGGCAGCGAACGGGTGAACTTCGGAATGCGGGGAGTTTGCCAAGGTATTCCGCTCGGGCAAGCTGGGGACACAAGTACTGGGCGATTTTCTCACTCATCAGGAGCTAGGTACTCATTATAGATTTCTGTGTTCCAGAGGGCGCTAGAAGATCAACAGCCTCCCGCCGATCAGGTCGATGGAATCAAGATGAGCCTCACTTGAGCGTCAATCACCAAGAAACACACATCGAGAAATCCAAGTCAGGGAGGGTGCTGTGGAAATTTGGACAATTGCGGCACGAGGGACACGGCCCGGCCCCTTGTGGCCGCAGCTTACCCCGAGGTCTTCGGCAGGATTTCTGGCTGCGATCATAGACTGATGCCACTCCATGCATTTCTAAGTACTTGGTACTCTCTGCCCGCGATTAGTGCTGGACCAGACACCCGCTTGTGGCTCTGGAAGTCGTGGGTCACTACGTGATGTCCAGAGACGCTTGGCTTGGAAACGGGAACAGTACAACATTGCAAAGTGTAGAACTTATGTACCAAGCGGCGAAGATATGCGTACTCGTGATCCAAAGGCGAAAGGCTACAAAGTACGCGACCATAGGGCTCCTGGTTCATCTGGAAATGAAGCTGACACAACTTGGGAGGGCAGAATCCGAGATCAGTGCCTGCATTTTCTTGCAGTGTCCGAAGAGGTACAGCAGGTAGGAAAGCACGACCGGGGTGCTCTTGCCATATTTGTGTTCTTTCCTCGTCTTTTTCTCCTCGATCCTACCTCATGCTCTTCTTGCATACTCGCAGCATCATCAGCAACCAAACAGACTGGCCAAGCACTATGAGTGATGAGTCGGCTGTGACAACGACGAGCTTCGCCAACACCGACCCTGGCCTTCCATCACCGGCGTCCATCGCACTTGCCCATGCTATCATTCGCACAAAGCCGCCAGATGCAACTATTGACGGTATGAGCGTCATTATGGAGATTGGTTGACGCTGACCAACAGTTCTAGAGTATATCGACAGACTCAGCAACAGCTTCCTCTACGCGGAGACTCCGAAGACAGCTCGAGATCCTGTCGCTGGCTTCAGCTCTACCAGCTACTGGAAATCGGAATGTTTGCGTGCTCAGGCACAGAAACTTGAAACGGAGATTGAAGTTCAACAGCTAAGAGAAGAGCTCGACCTAATCAGACTGGATGGTCCATCGGGAAAGGGCCGACACACGGCAGGAGACAGACTGACGACGAAGGCAAATACTCAAACCAAGCGAGGCGCCGATCGCAGCAGGAACCTACCGAGCACCAAGCCTACAGTTGAGCCGGAGATCTCGGTCGAGCTCACAGGAGATCCCGGTAGGTTGGTGCCTGCGTTTTTTGATCTAGTGCTGATCACCATCCAGATATCGATGGCCTCCTGCGACATATGCGCATACTCTATACTCACAACGCCAACGAAAACATCGACGTCGGGTCCCTCTACATCAGGCTTGGGTCTGCTTGCTGCTGCCTCAACAAGCTTGCCTCACGACCCAATGAGCTAGCTCCCAGGATAGCTCCGATATGTCAATGCCTCTACCGATCTCTTGCCAGCATTTCAGACATGTCTCTAGCAAAGCAAGTCTGCGTCAGACTGGTCCGGGTGTTTGCTACTACCTTGCAAGACCTATATCAGGAGGGTGTTGATGAAGTCGCCCGTAAAGACCGTGAGGAGCAAAACAGGGCAAAGAACCACAAGCCAAACAGCAAAGCAGTCAAGAGCACCGCCATCGAGGACGACAAGAGAGCCAAAATGTACCGAGCTAATCTCGTTAAGATCATGTCGTGCATGATTGGGACCATTGACCTCAACCACACGGCACACATCTGGTTGTACGAGGGCCTGGCGTCCTTACTGCTCGATCACATCGGGTCAGAGTTGTCCTACCTGATCTTCATTGATCCCGCAGACCCCGGCCCTGGTCTTCTACCGGTGAGTGGCCTACTCGATGATCCGGACGTCAGCCCGGACGCCGCAATAGCAGCCGCTGAACTGAACGCGCCCTCCTTCGTTGCGCTGTTACGATGCCTCCTTAGCAAAGTCAGAGCCAAAGGCAAGCGTTCATCAACTGCAAGGATATTGGCACGTTCACACATGGGTACCACGGGCGATGATGAGCGCGGAAAGTTTCTGAGAACTATTGAAAAGCGTCTGCAAAACACCCTACTGTCTGGCATGTTCGGCACAGAAGACGAGGAGTTTCGAGACTGTCTCTGGCGCCCAGACGAGCCCGACGATCTAGAGCTGCAGGAGGCTGCTGCGCTGGAGGAAGAGGAGAGAGGAGAAGGAGATCATGCTGGCGGGTCCAAGAAGGACTGGTTTATTGCGCAAATGTGGGAGCTTCTTGGGTGGGATATTTTGGCTGACAGCTTCAGCACTGTACCTGTACACTAGCAGTTGAGAACAAGAGGAAGTTCAAAGGGCAAGCTGACACCAGATCAGATGCTCTTGCAATGGAATATAAGAGGAAGGCGATATAAAAAGTACTCGATTTAACATGCTTATTGCTTGTCAATTGTAATTGTGATTGAAGCAGAGACCCATGGAGCTCGAGACACCATCTATATGTAGGCTGCTTTGACGGAGAAGGGTATAGGCAGCGCGAGCAGTACATTTAGTTCCCTTTCAGCAATCGAATATCCATAACCAGTGTACCCTCATGACCTACTAGGTCAACCCATTAGATTCGTGAACGCCTTTAGTCTGCCATGCATGCACGCACCGAGCAACAACCTGCTCGTGTGCGACCGAAAGGAGAAAGATTGAACGACGACTCGCTCAGAAATCGTCATCAAAAGTGAAATTGCCGCCGTTCTCGGGCGTCTTCTCCTCCGCCGCAGGGGCAGCACCGCCAGCTACAGCGGCATCGGCAGCGGCCTTGTCAGCACTCTTCTTCTGCCCGGCCATGACACCTGCCTTCTGGTAGTCACCGACACGCTTCTCGAAGAAGTTTGTCTTGCCAGCGAGAGAGATGTTCTCCATGAAGTCAAAGGGGTTCTGAGACTTGAAGTACTTGGGGTTGCCCATAGCGACGAGCAGGCGATCGGCGACGAACTCGATGTACTGCTTCATCAGGTTGGCGTTCATGCCCAAGAGGGCGCAGGGGAGGGCGTCTGTGAGGAACTCCTGCTCGATGGCGACGGCCTCGACGATGATGGCCTGGATGGCTTCTTTTGAGGGGCGGTGCTTGAGGTGGGAGAGCAGTAGGCAGGCGAAGTCGGTGTGCATGCCCTCGTCGCGGGAGATGAGCTCGTTGGAGAAGGTGAGGCCGGGCATCAGACCGCGTTTCTTGAGCCAGAAGATGGACGCGAAGGAGCCGGAGAAGAAGATGCCTTCGACTGCGGCGAATGCGACGAGGCGCTGCGCGAAGGTCGATTGCTTGTCGGAGATCCAACGGAGTGCCCAGTCGGCCTTCTTGCGGATACAGGGGATGGTGTCGATGGCGTCGAAGAGGTGTGATCGTTGCTTGGGGTCGCTGATGTACGTGTCGATGAGCAGCGAGTACATTTCGGAGTGGATGTTTTCCATCATGATCTGGAAGCCGTAGAAGCAACGCGCTTCGGGGACCTGGACCTCGCCGGAGAAGCGCTCGAGGAGGTTCTCGTTGACGATGCCGTCGGACGCGGCGAAGAAGGCGAGCACGTGTGAAATGAAGTACCGCTCGTCGTCGTTGAGGCGGTGGTGCCAGTGTTGTAGATCTTGGGAGAGGTCGACTTCTTCTGCGGTCCAGAAGCTAGCTTCTGCTTTCTTGTACATTTGCCAGATCTCATGGTACTTGAGGGGGAAGAGGACGAAGCGGTTGGGGTTTTCCTGAAGCAATGGCTCTTCTGCCTCGAGCTCTTTGATTGTGGGCGCGGCCTTCACAGGTTCTGGTTGTGACTCGACGAGTTCGGGCTTTTTCACCTCGATCACGTCAGTGGCGACTGGCGTCGACTCGGTGGTCGGCATGTTTTCTTTGTTCTCTGGTGTGAAGTCGAGCTTCTTGATGGGTGAGTCCTTGACCTTGAGGCTCTCGAGGTCAGAGGCCGCCTATGTAGTATACGCGTTAGTGGTCGAGGTCGTGTCGTAATAGGCGGTGGCAACTAACCTGCTTGGACGGCGTTATTTGTGTGGTCATTGTAGGAACAATGAATGAGGATGGTGATGTCAAGGTGTACTTTGAACAATGAGAGAATGATGCTTCGCTGTCGTCTTGTTCAGTTGGGTGTAGAGTGCAGAGGGAACATTGTTTTGGACTGGACGATTTATAGATCAGTCGCGGTCGCGGTGCAGAGATGGCGCGTGAAGTGGAGTTCAGCTTTGCGTCACTCCAGGAGCTCAAAAAAGCATCGTCTTTACAAGATCCTCGCCGACACGAGGACGATAAATGAGCGGAGACGCCGCTCGAAATGACAAGCTATTTCGCTCGATTAGGCTAGATGGACGAAATCTCCAAGTCCGCCCAGCCCGAGTCCGGCCCTGACATCAACAGCAACGCGTCGGGGTAGCGTGATCCCGTGAGTCTCCATCGACACAAAGGCCCACGCCAGGAATGAGAGCTGCTCTAGACTGACTTCAGTGCGGGACTCGATGTGCCGGCTGCCACTGCCGCTGGTGATTTGACGATGCCATCGTCACTCCCTCTTCAGCAGTGGTGTGTGGTAGCTTTCATCGACTCGATACTAAAATAGTAAAGTAGGAGGCGCCCTCCTTGACCGTTCTGCGCAAGTTCATGGCACCAACATAGCGCCTGCGATATCTCCCCTACGTCGTCATCCCTCAGGTCCAAGGTATTCCGCCAGCGAGGCGTCTGCTGACCCAGCAGCCTGCAGGCGACGCCGTCAGCACCGACCGCGAGATATCCGGTCTGTCAAACGACTGCCTGATTCATTGGTCAGGACGTCGGCTTTCTTGAGAAGCCCTTAGATCTACGACCAGATCTTCTACGAGATATAGAACCACTCGCCACGCAGCTTGAGCTCCAGTCGCAGGTTTTCGACGTCGACACGCGCTTTCTGGAAACAAGTCAGCTCGTCGCAATGCAACAAAGACATGGGCATGCTCACCAGCGTGTTGAATGGCAGCGTGTGGAATGAAAAGTACCACATGACCCTTGGTCGCGTGTTGTGCCGGTCGTTCATCTTCTGCGACAGCTGCGTGAGACTTTGCGACAGATGTGACCAACCGCGATTCTCTCTGGCAGGCGATATGATATCACCTAGCAGCGCTTCACGGACTGCCTGAGACTGACGGAGTGTATCGATCGAGACGAAAAGTGGAAGGAGAGACCAGAACGTCCCGTGTATGTGACAGACCAGGTCTTGCAGCGCATAAGACGTTGCGATCCAGTGCTCGAGACCGACAATGTCTGACAGACGATACATTTGTATGTGCATTACCACATTCGCGAACCTGCTTCGATCGGCAAGTACGCCATAGTCCTGACGGAAGTCGTTAAGCACTTCGATAACATTCGCGTCGGCATGAAAACATGCTGTGGCGTGGAGTACCGGCATAGCTTCTGCACGCAACAGGCGGCAAGTCCACAGGATGGCAGTGATTCTGTCGTCACGATAGTGCAACTTGAGGCCGTGCGCGAGGCTGAGTTCGACTTTTGCTTTCTTGAACAGCTCTTCGTAGATGTTGAGTCGGACTTCTGCAGGCAGGTTGAGTAAGGTTGGCGCGAGGTCTGCATTAAAGGTCGCCGTCGCAGCGGACAGACTCGTCGACGGACTAAGTGGCTCTGCCATGGCGTTTGACTTGTCGTACGGTATGTGACAGTGGCAAGCGAGATCGAATTTGATAGGGAGCAGACTGTGCGAGGGAAAAATGAATTGTCTGGCAGAAGAAGTACTCTCGATATCTACCTGGACAGTGAATTCAATGCTTGGCAGTAGTTTCCTCTGCTATCAGTGGCAGCACATCAGTCGTCGTTGTGATTCAGCATCTGCACTTGCACGATTTCGAGCTTCACTGACTTATTGACTCATCGTTGCAATGTCCTAGGTCGACGACCTAGTGCGAGCCGATATGGCTGCCGTGTTGTCTCCCATGACGAGCAGCGATTGTGGCTCCTGGTTGAGTTGCTGTGCCCAAAAACCCTCGAGGGACCTCTATACATCATGACGTTGAGCGCCACATCGTGCCCAACGCCGCCACCGATGTCCGCCAGCCCTCAATCCTTCCGCAGCCCAGGGAAAAGCCGTCCTCCTGACGCACTCACAGCTGACCCCAACGCTTCTGAGGTAGGGTGAACCACTTGTCCTTCAACTTGATCTCCAACCGCTTCTCGCAAACGTGGACTCGGAGTGACTGAAAGGAGTGAGCCCTAGCCCCTCAGGCAGATAGGAATCGACTTACCCAGTCATCGGGATCGCTCATGAACATCTCCGCCTCAATGACGATCTTGGGTCTGGTTGAGCGGGAACTGCAAACCTTCGCATGTAGTAGCTCAACGTCGCGGGTCAGACTCCACAAGCATGTCGTGTAGCCAGATCCCATGAGGTTGCCTAGCTCTGACTGGCGAAGTGTCTCCGAGTCATAGAGCTGGTTCGTGCTTGGAATGTTGCGGCCGGCCCTCGGTGGAAGTGGACTTCTAATCTCATAATTGATCTCCTGCAACATTCGTGACTGTTCAATCCATCCGGCAATCCATGGAAAGGGATCACATTCAGTCCAGTTCCATCGATTCCAATTCATCCTCACTTTTGCGAGCTTACTGCTATCGACAAGCCCGCCGTACCCTTTAGCCAACGTATGTAGCCTCTGGAAAGCTTTCGCTTTGCCATGGAAGAGTACTGTGCCATGCGCTATCGGCAACGCTTCTGCTCGCAACAGCCGATTGACCCTTAGAATACTGGTGATCTTGTTATCGCACAACCGGAGCTGGTTTCTGTAGATTCTGATTTCGACGTTGGCTTCCTGGAAGAGTTCTCGGTGAACAATCTGTCGGACTTCGGCAGGGAGTTCGAGCAAATTGGACTCGACATTTACGATGATGTCTGACGATGAAGTGGTCGTAGCCGTTATGACACCAGCTGTGTCCATCACGGTGTGCGAACTGACGAGGCGCGCCTGCCAAGGTGCAATAGCAATGTCGGAGAAGGTAACAAGCAGGTAGTGGCAGGAGGTACGAAAAGTTTTGGAGGTACGAGCGATGGTGATAGCCGCAGAGGGCACCAACGCAGCGAACAAGGAGCTAGAGTCAATACCTCTTGGCATTAACTTCAAGTGCAGACACAACGAGATCCACCACGACCGTGACCGCGGCTTTACTTCGCTTTTCATCCATATGAGCAAGACATCTGCCTTACCTTTGACAAGCATCGACAACGTCAAAGCCCGCCTGGCGATCATTATGAGAGCCTCAGCCTGGTAGAGCAGATCAAAGCAGGTAAGCGCTGCTGCTATTCAAGCTGATTAATGAGGACTCATAGAAAGAGCGTAACGATGCATCCAGAGCATACCTTGTTGGAGCATCTGTCCCCAAGTGCTATACATGAAGCAAAGGTTGCAGGGTGTGTGAGAGGGGAATCAGGAGAGACGAGTCGTCAATATATTGTTTCGACCGGCCCGGCGTCGTCAGAGGTGGATCTTCTATCCTCAGCCGCGTAACGAATCAACGTTGCGGAATAGTAACGCTGCCCAGAGCTTGCAGCGACATCCGTCGACCAGACCTTGACCTACCGCAGATGTTTCTGCAGCGTGCATTTCCGTCGGCAGATTAGAAGTAGAAGGGCTTGACGGATATAAAGCATCAAGTCTTCTGATCTCGCGTGTCCGTTTTAAAACACATCGCCCAAGTACTTCTCCGGGGCACTCTGTGACGACATCTTGGCATATCTACAACTATTACAATGGCGGCAGCAAAGCTGTCCGAATTTGGCGTCAACCATGTCGCCAAAGGCATAGGACGTTTATCCAAGGAAGTCATCGAGAGCGGCGCCGGCAGCTATGTCAAGATGATGAGCGGCAAGCGGTTCCTCGACTTCACATCCGGCATTGGTGTCACGAACCTGGGACACTGTCATCCCGCTGTGACAAAGGCTGCACAGGCACAGGTCGGGACGATCGTCCATGGCCAAGTCAACATCGCTTTCCAGAAGTCTTACCTCGAGCTGGTCGAGGCTATGCTTCCGCTTATGCCACACAAGTCACTGGACACGTTCTTCTTTTGGAACTCGGGAGCGGAAGCAGTTGAGGCTGCCGTCAAGCTGGCAAGACATGCGACCAAGAAGCAGAATATCATCGTCATGCAAGGATCATACCATGGTCGGACATTCGGAACAATGGCTATGACGCGATCCAAGACCATATACGGCCTCGGCTACAGCCCACTAATGCCCGGAGTCTTCTCAGTACCATTCCCATACTGCAGCCAATGCTCAGTTGCAAAGGCCTCAGACGGCAAGCACAACTTCGAAAACTGCTGTATGGATCCCATCACTCAGCTAGAGCTACTTCTGCAGCGCGAGACCGCTCCCCAGGACACCGCAGCCCTATTCATCGAGCCTGTCCTCGGTGAGGGAGGCTACGTTCCACCACCCAAGGAATACATGGCTCGTCTGAGAGAAATTTGCGACAAGAACAAGATTCTTCTGGTGTGTGACGAAGTTCAGTGTGGTTATGGACGCACAGGGAAGATGTTTGCCGTTGAGCACTGGGGCGTGCGTCCTGATATCTTGATCATGGCCAAGGGCATAGCTAACGGCTTTCCCTTGTCTGCCATTGCTTCCAGCAAGGAGCTCATGGACACTCAGCCGCCCGGAACCATGGGCGGTACCTATGCTGGCAACGCTGGTAAGCTACACCACCCTTGTTCCGCGTGACCCATCTGCTAACAGCGTGGACAGTCTCCTGTGCAGCAGGCGTTGCAGTAGCCAAAGCTTTCAAGGACGAGAGCATCCTCGACAACGTGAACGCACGCGGCGCTGAGCTACGACAGACCCTTCAAGCAGCCAAAGACGACCCGAAAACGTCAAAAGTCTCTACGACGTGCGAGGTCTAGGTCTCATGCTCGCACTGGAGTGTGCTCCCGGAAAGGGCTATGCCTCCAAGATCCAAGCCAAATGCATGGAGAAGGGCATGCTGACGCTCACGACCTCAATCTACGACACACTGAGATTCATTCCGCCACTGAACATCACGAAGGAGGACATGGCTGAGGGCTGTCGGATCTTAAAGGAGGCGATTGAGGAGGTTGCCGAAGGTGCTCAGAGTGACGTGAAGCAATCACACACCAAAACAGACTGAATGACTGAGTCGCTTGATTGGTATTCTATGAAGCAATCTCATCGTATTTCGCAGAAAGGCAGGCGTTTGGCATTCGTCGAGGATGGTCTTTGAGGGCTCAGGAGGATTGGATACGGCAATGAGACGTAACATTGTCTCTTGTGTGTTCACTTGCAAGGAGTTTGGAGATCTATTATCTGCACAACAGCCAGACATATAACGAGAAAGCTGTATGTATGCTCACTTCGAGTGGTTGACTTGACCAGGGATCATTACCTAGGTACCTGCACCTGTCTGACCTCTGTCTGCTCTCCGAGTCTTTTCGCCGACATCTTGATGCAGCTGGTCTCCTTCCTTTCTGCGCCGTGCTGGACTTTCATCTGATCTTTCCTTCTACACGGGTGTGAACCTCCATTGTGACTGCGATTCCGCTAGTCAACATGATCAGGCGGCCTCCCCGGGCTGGAACCATAGTATCCAAGCTTCCACTCACTTATAGAGTTGGCAATGGGAGCAGCATAGACTGATGTCGTGATACTGAATTTAATCCTCGAAAAGTTTGGTGTCAGCCGGTTTAGATTGAGCCCAGGGGTCATCCGGTCTCGCGCGAGACCCTCCGTCAACCGGTGTCCAATGGAATCGTCTTCCGGTCGCGACTTCCTTATGGGCTGACTGCCGTCAACAGCCATGATTGTGCATTGCAGGAAGGCCTTACCCATCGATCGTCGCTGCCGCAGTAAGAGTATGGCAAGGCAGGTCCATGTGCCGCTGGTTGATTGCTCCTGCGGCTGCAACATGTGTCCATGAAGGCAGGCGCGAGTGCCGCCAGCTGATCGCTCCTGCCAACGGCCATGGATGTGCTCCGCGGGAAGGTGCCCTCATCAATCATCCCTGACACAGAAAATGCATGCAAAGGCAGAAGCTGCCGCAGAAAAGGTCCAGCAAGGCAGGTGCGGGTGCAGTCATCCGGTCTCAGCGAAGCTGAAGTGAGACCGGTTGACGTTCCGCAGACACAGTGAACCTCAACGCCTCCTCTTATCGCGGCTGCGTGCACAGTCGATAGAGACATCGGTCTGGTTGAGATCCATGTCAAGGATCTGTCATCGAGCTGCGCATCGAGTCGGTATCAATACAAGTCAAGGTCGCATGAAGTCCTCCGTGCGCTATGTCCGAAAATAATTGGCGGCCGTTTCCAGCCGCTACGTGTCTGTGTAATCTATCGTGTGCCGTCACCGCCGAAGTATCCAAGTCCTCCATCACAACGGTCCTGCCATCAACCAGCGCAATGCCGCGAGAACCCCTCGATCATAGCCCAGCATCCGCTCCCCAACGTCCTTGCGGTAACGCAAGTTCCCTCGCTTTCAATGGCATCCCACCCTTCGCCTCCCAGTCCGTCCCGACCAGGTAGCTCGTCGCGAACGCTAGCCCCTGACTCACCAGCCCAGCTTTGATCACCAAGACCGTTGCACCCACTGCATCGAGCCGCATCAAGCCCTCGACTTCGACGGGCTCTTCCTCCTTCCACCATGGGTTTTTGCTATCGTCGTTCTCACCCAAGCGTTTGAAGAAGTCAGCCAGCTCCTCGTCTGAGATGTCCAGCACAGCCTTTTCGCCACCCTCTGACTCCCCATCCGAACCCTCCTTCTCGAACTCGGCGCTCAACGGATCAAATGCCCCTTCCCCTGCCGCAATCTTCACTTTCTTCTCTTTATGCAACTTCATCTTCTCGAGAACATGATGAATATGATGCCCTCCACCCATTGCGCCGACCCAACTACCAACATCGTCCCTCAGCTTCTTCCTCTGCTCTTCGTTTGGCTGCGTGCGCCTCCCACGGTATGCATTCAGATCATAGTCACTCCCGCCTCCTCCGAAATGAGATATCACTGTGAGCAGCCCGACCGTCTCGTTTACGTGTAGCTTCTCGATCATGTTGGGCAGTAGGTTTTCCGACAGGTCGTAGACGTCTGCGTCAATCCAGATGATGGACTTCACAGTCGGCGCATGCCCCATCGCCGTGAACATGAGATAGTTTCTCAACCGAGCCATCTCCGCACGCCGGTCATGCTGTATGTTGTTCGCGTGCCGCGCTTCCCCTTGTCCCCAGTCGGCTCGCGTTGCGTAGCCCGGGTGCAGAATCACGGTGGCTGAGCCGAATTGTTCCTCGTCTTCGGATATGAGCTCTGAGTAGAGGGCGAACTCGGAGTCGTTGGAGGTGAGGAGGCCGAGCGAGACTGTTTGGAGATCGAGGCCGGACGATCGGAGGAGGCTGAGATAAGTGGCGAGGGTGCGCTGCTCGCCATCTTTTCGGCCCCAGGATGAGGCGTCTTTGGTCATGACGACGGCGAGGGTGGAGGGAGGTGTAGCGTGCGGTGTGCTGCGGGTCATGAAGAGGCGGGATATGTCTTCGTCGGCTGGGTCTGGAATTGTTGTTTTGATCCATTTTGAGGATGCGGCTGGAATCATTGGAGGTGTTGATATTGTTATCGGTCGCGACGGTGGTTTGTCGACGGCTTGGTCGTGAGACGCATCTTTGTGCTCGTTTGTTACGAGTGCTAAGTCGTCTTCTGTTGAGATGTCGACCTTGGTCTCGCCAACTTGAGGACCTCCAGCCGTAATCTCCACGTTTTGTTTATGCTGGGGCTGCCGTCGCGGACGATATGTGACCACATTTTCTCCTTCTGGAGACGTGGTATCCGAGCTTTGCACATTGTATATCACTATCCATGCTAGTGCGATCAGTAATATCAGTCGTACTGAGTGCCGAGTTGCGATAGTCTTACCCACCGATCGTGTGGTTGACCAGGCCATTTCTGTCGCACCCAGCAGAGAGACGAGAGCACCGGAAGGACAAGAAACATATCTGATGGCAGAGCAGCCAGCATTGGTGTCAGCGACCTACCTCAGCATGGTTCGGAGAATTTAGGAGACTTCAGGGGAAAAGGGTGAGTCTTCATCTGGTCATGCAAGGGGGACTTCTTGACGGCGGTTCTTATCAGGGGCTTTGGAAAGTGCTCGAGCGCAGGACGATGCCAGCTTTGCTTTTTCGGCGAGCGCGTAGAATGTAAGGGTTCGAGTTGCGTTAGGCGTGAGCTGTCAAACGCGTCGGGAAATGATAGTCCACCAGCCGTGTTTTGGGAAATTCGGGCACAAAGAGAACGCAGATTCCGGCCGAGACATAATTTCGAATATGAGTACATCATAAGCTGGCTGTTAGCCTTGCAAGAGCTGAGTTCCATGCTCTTCAGTAAGGCGGTGTGGCGGTATTGAAGCCAGATCTAAACGTTGATCTGTGACGCGAGGCATTCGGCTTGAGGAACTTTGTGATAAAGCCAAGACTCGTAGCCTTACGGGCCCGTCAAGCGCTTAAGCATTCTGCTTCGCATTTATTATGTCGACGACTGCGCAAATTAGCCAGTGCACCGCAACAGTAGGTTCTCTAACGCAGCATGAGCGGCAGGAACATAAGAGACTTACAGGCGGGCTTCAGACTGGCACCTCCGACGAGGAAGCCATCGACATCTGGCTGTTTGGATAAATCACAGCAGTTCTTCTCGCTGACACTGCCTCCATAAATGATACGGGTAGCATCCGCGACCTCGTCCGATACCGATTCCTTCAGCCATTTTCGAATGGCGGCGTGCACCTCTTGTGCTTGTTCTGGGCAGAGTCAGTATGAAGCGGAGGAAGAGTGCAGTTGTGGGCCCGTGTCCAAGGCCTTCCTGAAGCACACAGCGATCGAAACGCACCTGTGGACGCAACCTTGCCGGTGCCGATGGCCCAGATTGGTTCATATGCGATGACGACCTTGCCCCAACCGTTCTTGCCAATGGTCTTGTTGACAGCGTCCAGCTGCTTGGTGACCACATCGACAGTCGTGTTGGCTTCTCTCTGCTCTAACGACTCACCACAGCACAAAATGACACCAATGCCTCCATCCAAAGCATTCTTGGTCTTGCTTGCGACGAAGTCATCAGTCTCTTGCAGGAGCGTCCGTCTCTCGCTGTGACCAAGGATGGCCCAGGTGATGTTACTATCTTTCAGCTGCTGCACCGAGATCTCGCCTGTGAACGCTCCGTTAGGCTTGTCAAAAACGTTCTGTGCTGCAACCTCGAGGCCTTCTCGGAGGTGCTCTCGTGTGAGGAGGAGGTACAGTGACGGAGGTGAGATGACGACCTCAGTCTCGGGGTCTAGCTTCGCGGACGACAAGTTGTGAACGATATCCTTGATAGACTGAATGGTACCATTCCTAGCTACCATTAGCCTCAATGCTGGTAGACTGTCGAGGTTCATACATCTTGAAGTTGCCGCCAACGAAGAACTTGCGCGCCATGATTGCGGTTGTAGTTGACGAAGTGATGCCTGTGAGATAGGACGGCTTTTCTTCGACTGTGTGGTCCGTAGGGTAGTGTAGCCTGCAGCGAGGGATGAACAGCCTGGACGCATATAAGTGGAAGCTCTTTCTTTATTTTGTTCTGGCAGTTCTCGCGCTCGCGGGGCAGGCGGGGCCGACCACCTATCGATAGGGGATCGTGCTGCCAAGCCGCCGCAGCGACGATTTTCTACTGGGTGAGGTTCCTGCTCCTGCTCTTTTTCGGCGGTCCTAGGAGCACACGAAAATGGTGCGGGTGCATTGCGCTGGTCGGTGACAACAGCATCCATGCTGGTCGAGGCAGTGAAACTCGTCGAAGTGATTCGAAGGAACGAGAGGCAGACGTGGGAAGGGCCTCAACGACTTCCTTGCAGCGCGATTCACGCAGGTGTAGCTGAAGCTGTCCCTTTGGTACGGGATCGCTCTTCGGTGTGTCAATAATTCTGCTCCGACTCACCACTCGCGTCTCGCAGCCGTGCCATCACGACTTGACGCCGCCTGGCCGGGTTCCGGGTTGAGCCCACAAGCCCGCGGCATTTCACTTTCGCATTCGGCGGGCTACGATGGTATGTTACGCAAGAAAGACAGACAGATGACCGCGGCGCCGCCTAGCGGGCGCCGCTCTGTGATGCCGCTTACTACGCCATGCAAGTTTCGTCCTTAGCCTCTAATGTCCCAATTGGCAGTCACGTCCTAGTACCTTGCTACCTAGATATTGCCTACTACATCGACAGTCACCGAGCCAGCATTGTCTTTCCTCAACTTGTTGCCATGGAATTCGCGCATACTCCTCACTTCCACCCGCAATCGTTGTTACCAAGTTGCTGGATTTAAGGTGAAGCAACCCATGACAGTCCCTCTTGGCTACGCGGAGCCGTGTTATCAATCCAACCACAGGCTCAATTCAGCTTACTCGGCGGCCGCAGTGTATTAAGATTGACGACGCTGTATCCATGGGGCAATTCTACTTCATCAATAAGGACGAGAAGTCGTTACACTTATCACGAAGTCAGCCTACAGAGCAAGCAGCTATCCAGAGATACGTCCAAACAGGACGCAAGCGGCCACGCCAATCTAGAAAATCGGCCAAAAAGGTCCCACCAGATGCGGAAAGAGAGAAGTCCCGGGTCTCTGGTCGCCTCGATGGAAGCTGCCTATGGGAAGGCGACTCGTCAATCAGTCCTCTTATGCACGGCTTAGCGCGTCACGATCCCTTCAACGCCACCGCTGTCGATCTGGACAGCACCGTAAGCGGACTGCTGTATTACTACGTGCATTACTACCATCCGTCTCTTTGGCCAAACGAGATGTCGGTATTGAAAGCAGGAATGTATACTTTCCACGAAGCTGTAAGGTGTTTACTGCAGACTGTGGTCGCAAACAAGATGATGATGTATTGTCTGCTGAGTGCTGCATCGTGCCGAATGCGCTACATCGATCGTTTGCCATCACAAGATGTATCGCGGCAGGAGGAGCACTATATCTCGAGCGCGCTGTCCCTGATGGCGCAAAGCATCACACACATCGATTTGCGGCATGCATTGGCATGTATTGTCTTCATGGTCTCTGCAGATTCGTACAGAAGCGAGTACGCTGCAGCGAAGGTGCATCTGGAAGCCGCACATGCACTTTTGGAGCCACTAGGTGGAATTACGGCAATTGACGACGAGTTCCTAACCGGACAACTGGCCATGGGTGATCTGTTTCTGGCTTGTGTTCGACTCGAGCCCTGCATCTTTGACTGCGGGTACAATCCTGGCGCTGCAGATACCCTGCACCTGTCGGAAGTGGAGTTGTCGCTGCATCAGCCTATGGCGACCAAATTCTCACCTAAGGGCCGCCTCGCAACCCCCATCTCCCAGCTAACTGAGGCTTACTCGATCAGGGAGAGGCTTCAGATTGCTCACATGTCGGCCAGCCGAGCTATGCAAGCCACGAGGTGGATCACAAAACGTTGCATGGCAATCCGACACGATCTTCTGGCCATGCGTTTGACTGGTGCGGATGATGCACTTCGCATCGCACTCATCATGTGGTCACTGCTTTCGATGAATGTCACAGGAAGGACCAAGACTGTGAAGCTCATGGCTCTAGCATTGAAGTCGGCAATCATAAGGACAGACTTCTGGCTGAATCTCGACCTGAAACTCTGGATCCTCCTTGTTGGATTCCAGTGTGGTCAGGAGGGTTCTACTACCGCCAAATGGTTTGTTGGGCAATTTCGCACGCTCTATGGACCACTTAACAGCCCAGAATCTTCAGTAATGGCGGTGGATCGGCTGGCTGACTTGACTATCAGTATGGTTACTTTTCAGCAAGGCTATCTGTACGACAACGTTATTCAGCGGCCTCGAACTCGGCGTCTTGCAAGCCTACTACTGAACACCTAGTATCGATTCGCATACCCTGCATACGAATCCAGCACACTAGGCAGATTCCCAATCTGAGCATAAAATCAAGCGAAGTGTCTAGTGGCTTCGAACCTGGCCGAAGGGACCACTATAACTGCTGTTTGAAGCCGCCTCAAGTCTATACACCCAGGCATAAGTCTTCCTCTGTTCTTTCCTTCCAGTGTCCTCCCTACACTGCGATCGGGGCAGCACGTGGTTTCACATGCTCTCCTGGCGATCCCCTTCAGAGGGTGGACTGCTTTACTTATGCATGCCGAGAATCGCCCCGGAGCTGCTGCTCGAGTTTCCCGCCAGACCGTCTCTCTACGAGAAGGCTCTTAGACACTGAGCTCCTTATGCGGCGTGCGACGAAGAAAAATATAGCACGTGATCGAACAGATCACTTGGACCTTGAGCGAGCTATGGATCCTTTGGACAGGCCACTCGACAGGCACTCAGGCAGGGGTCAGTGGCTGGTCAAAACGGGAAGAGGCCAGGCCGATAGGCTCCGATCGTGCGCTGAAATGCACACGGGGCTTCAACGAAGTCACTCAGACCTCGAAATCATGACCTAGTGCTCGGACCGGTGCCAAACAAGGATGCGCAGGGATTGTGCCTTTGGTGACTAAGTAAGCGAGGCCAAGGAAATGAATCTGCTCCCCGTTTCGTCCTGTTTCTTGGCAGAACAAGGGTCCTGGGTTTCAGGACAATCGTGCGAAGCATGAGACGACCACATCTTCAAGCATTGCAATCAACTACCCAAGTCAGCTGTTTGCGTCTAGTCATGTCGTGTCCAGCCGGCTTGACTAAGGCTCGACTGATGCACAGTGCCACGGTCACAAAGACGATGCAAGGAGTATAAGTATTGCTGCCGTGGTCAGCGGCTGAGTGTTTGTTCAATGTTTTGACTGCAACATTAGTGCAGAAGCCATCAGAGGACTCCTTGGCACCATAATCCACGCATATTACCACGAGATGGCAATTCGATCGACCATGCGGGCAGTCGTCCACAACCAAGTCCTCTCCACCCTAACGCTCAAGACCGTGCCATATCCCAAACCCGACTTCTCTGCTGGGGAGCACCTCATACGGGTCCACGCCGCTGCACTCACTCGCGGAGAACTTACGTGGCCACGTCCGCCACCTCTCGACCAGGATTACTCGCCAGGCGTCGAAATGTGCGGCACAGTCGCCGAGGCGCCCTCTACAAGCAAATTCCCCACTGGAACCAGAGTCTATATGCGTACAACCTATCCTCGCAACGCCTCTCTACGTGACTTCACCATCGGCCTCGAAAGCGAGCTCGCGCAAGTTCCCTCCAATCTGAGCGACATCGAGGCGGCCGCTGTGCCCGTCAGCGCTCTCACTGCCTGGCAAGGCTTGTTCGTTCATGGCGGCAGCGACTTCGAGAACAGCAGCGGCAAGCGCGTGCTCGTGGATGGCGCCGCGGGCGTGTCGGCATGTGGTACGTGCAGCTCGCCAAGCGGCCGGTATGATCGTTGTCGGGACATGCAACCCCGCCAGTGCAGAACGTGTGAGAGCTGCTGGCGCAGAGGTCATTGACTACACTACCACCAACCTTCGGGAGTACCCTGGGGAGAAATTCGACCTTATCCTCGATGCTGTTGGCGGGAAGAGCCTCGAGGAAGCTTGGTTCTTGGCAAAAGATAATGGCCGTGTGCTCACGATCGTACCTCCGACGGACTTCTTCAAGCACTGGAGGTGGGACCTTGATCGGCCTGAGGGAGTTAGCGAGACTGTTCAGGGGAGGTTCTTCGTTATGAATTCCAGTGGCAATGATCTGGCGAGGGTGGGAAAGTTGATCGAAGCAGGTCAGGCGAAGCCAATCATTGACAGTGTTTGGAAACTCGAGGATTTTGGGAAGGCATTTGAGAAGCTGGAGAGTGGTAAGACGAACGGGAAGGTTGTTGTGCGGGTTGCTGAGGAGTAGATGAGATGAGCTGGAGAGGGTTTTGGCTGAGGTCAATGCTTGATAGGGCACTAGGCTCACATTCAACGTTAGGTCTCTTCGAGAGTGTACCATTGCACGAAGACGATTGTCTATCTCCTTCCCCGTGATGCGAACTGCAGGTCACACGCAAGCAGGTGGCAGCTGCGGCCGGTTGCGACAAGCCTGCATCTTGATATATCTAGTCAAGACTATGGCCCGTGGCAAAACTATGCATCAGCATCCAGCAAGAACACCCTCTGCAACAACTCCTCGTCCCCATCCGCCCCGTCCACTTTCTCACCCTCAATGACTAAGCTCGCCACAAACACCGCCTCCGCCCCGTCCTCGCCCACGTTCTCTGACCTCACATGATGGCATCCCGGCGCTTCGTACCATGACTCGCCTTGTTCGTAGATCTTCGGCCCCTCACTGTGTCCGTACCTTCCGTCGTGGACCATTTGATTGAGCATTTTCCCTTTGATGATGGTGGCGATGATTGAGGCACCGTTGTGGGTGTGCGGTGGCGTGCTGTCACTAGTCATCAGCAAGTTACGAAGAGGGAACAGGAGAGCAGGAACAGGAGAGCAGGAACGGGAGAGCAGGAACGGGAGAGCAGGAACGGGAGAGCAGGAACGGGAGAGCAGGAACGGGAGAGCAGGAACGGGAGAGCAGGAACGGGAGAGCGGGAGAGGGAGAGCGAATACAGCAGAGCGGGAACAGAAGAGCGGGACCAGGAGAGCGGGAACAGCAGAGCACTTACGCGGCGCCACCCGGTGCAGTTATGACAAGGGTCAGCCAGGTCAGGTTCGGCATGTTGAGTGGGTTGCGACGCTGAGTGATCTTAATCGACACTATTGGACGGCTTTGACACCAACATAGAGATTAGTGTCTGGCAGCATCGAGTAATTGGGCTTCATGTGGTCAATAGAGCTGCTTACCCGTCTACAGTCCATTCTCCGTTCTGCTTGACCACATGCTGCCGCTGCCAGGCATTGATGCTCATGTCGATGGTCATGGTGATCTTAAAGCGCTCAATCGGCAGTTTGGGATAGTATTGTAAGGAAAGTAAGCAGTTGAGCATACGAAGGTCTCCCAGGCAAGAGACTTTGGTCCAAGTATACTCTGCCCAGGATGCCGGAAGACACGCACTGCTGAGTCATGGCCCACGATTGTGGTGACGAATTCCTGCATCAAACCACTACCTCATTGAGTATTGCGAACAAAAAGTAGCGAGAAATTGTGGTGGCTATGTCTTGAGTCGCTACTTGGACTTCTCATTGACCCTCCAGCTGATGTCACCATACAGCAACAGGCCTGGGTACGTATCGAACATCCGAAATCCAGGTCCCTTTTCGACTGCCCGTTTCAACGGCGAATAGTCGAATACGCCCATAGAGTATCTGCTTTGGCTGGAAACAACGGCGTGCATCTGGAACCAGAACTGGTCCACAGGGAGGACATGCTCGGCTAGAGCTCCGAGATCGATGATAGAACGAAGAAGATTCGGATAGCTTGCGAAATGATGGGGCTGGAGCCGGGCAACACTGTCCCTTAGTCTGAGCAACAGTGTTTGGCCAAGCTGAACAGGTTCTGGAGATCCTTCCATCAAGACCGCGAGTAGTAGGGCAGCAGCCAAAATTGCAAGCTCAGCCTGACCCGAGCTGTAGCGATGCGGGTACAGCGTGAGGTTGACCTGATAGTCCGCGAGCCGAGACAGACACTCAAGCCGTCTAAGTCCGCACCATTGCTGAAGATCATCCTTGCCGTCACTGATGCTAGCTCGGACATCGAACAACTCGTAAAGTGACGCCACGACTTCGAGGAGGGCGGAGAATTCCCGCAGGTCGGCTAAATCGAACTTCGTACCCAGCCTCTGTTTGTATGGCTCGGCGAGCTTCCCTGCAGACCATGTTTTTGTGGAGAATAGCGGCCTAGTCTGGTGTCGTATTGCGAAGAATGTATCACAAGAGAGCACGTCCAGTCTTATTGGGACGTCAAGAGATTCAATGCCTCCGTTGAGCTCGATGAGATTCTTGAGCATCTTCAACAAGTTTCGGGCTGTGTCTGATTGGCCAAGAATTGATTGTACCAAAAAGAGGGACATCACAGCAACGTAGAGTCGCGCGCCGACATCAGAAACGGTGCTTATCTCACTCATGGCCTCTGTGTGTAGCTGCCTCGCCGTACACAGTAACGTATCGTCGTTTGCTGAGATAGTTGCCAGCAGCGCCAGGTAAGCTTTGTCGTGGTAGTCGGGGGTGGAGTCCGTGGATAGATTGTGCCAGCTGAGCAGAAGTCCGCCGTATTGAGCCGGGTCAGATGAAATGGCTGGGATGAGTTCGAGATGGGCGAAGTTAACGAGACCCTGGATCCAGGCAGGGCTGGCTTGCAACTCCGGCTGCGGTCGCTGATCTTCACTGCTCGATGGCGACGTGGTGGCCCCTGACGAAGGACCCTGGCCTTCTGCCTCAGCTGGCTTTACTCTCTCCCTCCGACGGCGCTTGTAAGGCTCATATCGGTGCATGACGTGCCACGCAACGGCAGGGCGATGATCAGAAGAAGCAATGTTCTCGGCATTCTTGTTGACGAAAGAAAATTCGCCTTTAAATTGCATGGACGACATGATGGCTGGTTGCCCACTCACCTCTCGCTGAAGGACTTACCGTCATACTTTAAGTCAGCTCCCAGACACAAGACCTTGGTTCTAGATCCCGCGGACGTACTAAGTAGCCACGAGCGTTGCTTCCTGATATCTGGCGGTCGCGCAACTGACACCGATCGCTTCGAACAGCCATGAACAGCCATAGAAAGGGCAACAGTTTCGCGATTCTACTTGGACGACCGCCAAGCAGTCCAGGTTTACGGTCGATGGTCAAGCAAGTGACATTCTAGAAAGGTAAGCCTCATGAGGACTTGAATCCTCATTGGTGCACGGTCAACTTCCTGATTCTGCATAGTCGATGGAGAATGGCGAATGAGGCGATGCGAGTGTTATTCAGGCCTCAAGTCCATGTGTTCGAGCGCGCCGTAGCAGAAACTGCAGGTCCGAAACCGAGAGACGTACTTCCACAGACAGAACGCGCATTGCAAGGATTGCAAGAACACTCCATGCGAATGAGATGAAGGTGCGATGTTGTGATCGGCTAAACCCGCAGGAGCGCTCCGTAGCCCTCGCAAAATGACGTCACAAAATGTGGCAACAGCACTGGCAGGTTTGATGTCGTGTCGTCGTACTTTCTTTCATGTTGTCAGCTTTGATACGGATAGCGCCTGGGCATGTGTGTCCGGTCGTGTCACCTATGTGGGAGTGGTTGTTTCCATCCACGACAACAGCTGTGCCTACCGCACTACATGTTTGTCCGTAGCAACATTCACGTGTATTGTGTCCCAGGTAGGCAGTATGATGATTACTAATGACGATCAGGAGTACTCTGGCTGCTGTTGATGAATCGCATTGAACTGACGGGTACTAATGGCCTTACTTTCCTAACACACCCGAAGTCACAATCGACTAGCTGATCCGGTGTCGATAGGTCAAGTCACTGCAGTTTTGTCACCACATCCTGACATTCGTGGCCCGTTTCACAAAATAGTCGGCAGCGTTTTAGATATGGACTACATGTTCATCAACGGAAACAAGAAGTTAAAATACAGGACTCCGCACGAAAGGCGACAAGTAAGAGCCTATGCACAGCGTTCTCATCAGGCGGCCAAGCGGCAGGCATCTGAAGACAAGGCGCCGGACCATGAGAGTATCAGCAATACTAGCAATGCCACGGTACTGAAGTTCCGCCTTCAGACCGAGTCACGCAAGCAAGCCTCGAACGATGGCGGCTTCGTGGGGAACGTTGAGCGAGCTACCAAAGATCCAGCAACCGAATACAGGGTGAAGTCGAGCTACAAGACTCGGGGGGCATCTCTCACTTCCTCTGGCGTGGATCCCTACAACTGGCTGCCCTTCCAACTGGAGTACGACGATAGTCTACTTCTATACCAATTTCAGAATTATGAGAGATGGCCATGGTGTCCAGTCAGCGGCAGGAGCGAGTGGTCAGCATTCACTGTATCAGACGAGCTGGTATTCAGAGTGACAATGTATAGCTGGAGTACTCACATACGGAATAGGCGGCCACCTGGATATCTTGAGAGCGCAAAGAGCCTGGAGACAACCTTCAAGAACAAAGCCAAAGCGATCTCGATGGTCAATCAACGCTTATCTGACTCGAACGCTGCCTGTAGCGACGAGGTCCTTGCTGCTGTCGCAGCCTTAACGAACATCGAAGTCGCATTTGGAACGAGAGAAGAAGCCACCATCCACATCAATGGCTTGTACACTCTGGTGGAGCAAAGGGGTGGGCTCCAAACCCTGAGAAGTCCCAGGCAAGAGCTGGTACAACGGCTGATAGCTTGGAACGACCTGCTGTACGCAGAGCTGTACGGAAAGGGTCTTGTATTTCCCCAGCTCGACCTATGGGACCGCGCCTGGCGCAGTCTGGTCGCCAATCAGACCCCGATCACATCACACGCCTGGTTGGCACACTTTCTCTGGCCCTCCACGCTATAGGCGCCGAAAGGCCAGCAATCTTGTACGACGCGCATCTCTTGAGTGAGCTGGAAGCAAAGCAGCCTCTTACATCCCTGACGGACTAGATGGCTATGGCCAGAGGCGACTCTTTCCATAGGCTGGAATACAAGCTTCAATGTCTGCTTAACGCGGAAGACCGGCCAAACGAACTGGTCACAATCACCGCACTAGCTACTCTTGTATACGTGCATCATTTTCTGCGAGGCAACCCACTCACGTACCGACATTTCGATGCCTGACTGCCCAGCCTGGTGATGGGATTGTCGAGGTTCTCGTGCATGAACGAGCTACGTTTCTCTGCACCTGTCATCCACTTGTGGTTGCTTGCTGTTGGCGCCGTCACAAGCCAGCGCCAGGACCATCTGCACTCAATCTGTCTGGCACTCTTGGCTGATCCATCGCTATGCAAAGGCTATAATCGCACCACTTTTCTGTATAGTCTGCGGTCATTCTTGTGGTGCGGTCCGATTGATGAAGATCGATTTAGCACGTTGTGGCAGAAGGTAGAGAAAGTTGTATTGGGTGGTGATCTGCGCCCTTCCTCGATACCCTGAGAAATCACTCATCGGCAACACATTGAATTCGAGTACTCCGGACCAAAACTTTCTATATGCCTCTCCTCCATTTCGGTGTCCTCGAGCTGGCAATGACTCCCGTTCTTGTCCCAGTGCCAAGACTGCCTCATTGGGAAAGACGTGTTCCTATTTCTCGTTAGTCGCAAATGCAGCAGCAGGTAAAGTATATTCGTGGCAATCGTGTCTGGCATTCCTTTTCAGTACCTTGCCATTCATGCTACTGTATGCAACATGATCGGTAATCGACCCGACATTGACACTAATGTTGTTAGCGACGAAGGGGACACCGATCAAGTATTGATCATGATATTAACACCATCAGTCTACTAAAAATTGAGCAACCAACACAAATTCTCAGCAATGGCTCCCGAGCAGGTGATATACAGCCGCGGCCTGTACCATGGCCTGCCAACGTTTCACCAACATGAAGGCCGCCAGTATACCGCTCTCGTCCTGGGAGCGAGCGGCATCACGGGCGCTTACATTACCCGAGCACTGTCGCGCTCACCACACTGGAAAACAATCTTCGCCGTCAGCCGCAGCAAGCCTCACGAGCAAGCTCTTCCAGATCATGTGGTCCACGTCCCAATCGACTTGCTGAGCGAGCCCGATGAGATCGCCGAGGCTTTCGAACACAATAACGTCGCGCCGTACGGCTCCCATGCGTACTGGTGCAGCGACCGCAGACTAACAATGCTACAGGGACTACGTCTTTTTCGCCGCTTACATCCAACCCAAAACAAAACCAGGAGAGGCCCTAGGGTCAAATATGGCTGAGATCGAGCGCATCAATGGTACGCCCACACTACCAAACTCCTCCGGCGTGAAGACATTGTCCTGACCGCGAGTAACAGTCCTTCTACTGAGAAATTTGCTTTCAGCACTAGAAATCGCCCACATCAGCCCGAAACGAATCCTGCTCCAGACAGGAGCAAAGCACTACGGAGTCCACCTCGGACCGACGCTGACTCCAATGGAAGAGTCAGACCCTCGCTATCTGCGAGCTCCCAACTTCTACTTCCCTCAAGAGGACCTTCTGTGGAACTGGTGCCAGCGACTTGCAGTGGAATGGAACGTCACTCGCCCGGGCTTCATCGTCGGCGCTGTCCCCAATGCTGCAATGAACAAGGCTTACGGCTTAGCCGTGTATGCTTCCGTTCAGGCGGAGTTGGGTGCGGAGCTCGATTACCCAGGGTCTGTGATCGCATGGGAGGCGGAGAAGCATCTCAGCGCCGCAGAGCTGATAGGCTACCATGCAGAGTGGGCAGTGCTAACTGACGCTGCTAAGAATGAGGCCTTGAACATCGCGGACGACTCGATGTTCACGTATGCCAAGTTCTGGCCGACACTGGCGAGCTGGTATGGCTTGAAGTACGGCGTTCCAGGTCCTACGAAGGAGAGTATAACCATGCCCGTTGCTCCTCCGCCTCGTGGCTTTGGTGGACCGGGAAAGATTGATTTCGCCTGGTCGTTTCAAGAGTGGGCGCGGCGCGATGATGTGCAGGCTGCTTGGAAGAGGTTGGGGACGAAACACGGCTTGGTGAAGTCGCCGTTCGACGACATTACGGGCGTCTTTGGCATTCTGGACGGCGACATTTCCAGTCCGTGGGCAAGAAGTATCAGGTGAGTGTTGCGTGGTCGGGGTTGTTATGCGCGTCGCTGATCTCGCTTCACAGTATGGGCAAAAGCAGGAAACTCGGTTGGCATGGGTATGTCGACAGTCATGAGGCGATATTTGCAACGATCAATGAATTGGCCGAGTTGAAGATGGTGCCGCCTGTGCCGAAGGCTTTTGGACAAAGAGTACGCTATGTAGGCTATCAGCCGATCGATTGATGTAGCTGGACGTCACTCTCGTGTACCTTCAAATAGTATCCTTTACCAGCCCTTCTGACTCGCTTTATCAATGAAGATTGTGCTTCACAACATCGAGTACCCCAGACCAAGGTCTATCTCCAGATCAGAGATACAAGGCATGCTCATGCATTCACGACTGTGCCCAGCGCTCCTGAGGAATGTAGTGCCATTCATCTTTCAGCAAGTACTCCAATCGCTTCTCTCGTACATGAATGCGAGTTGTCTTGAAACAGTCAGCTCGATGACCATAAAGGGTAGGGGTCAACTTACCCCGTCGTAAGGGCCGGCACCAGCCAGGTCTCCATGCGGTTTCATTTCGACAACGGTCCTTGGTTTGTCTCCGAATGAGCGGCTCAGCTTTGCAGAGGAGAGCTCTATGAAGCGGACCAGAGCTTCAAAGTTCGTGATGATGTCAGTGTTGTCAACGTTGACAGGCAGAATCTTTCCTAGCTTTGCCCGACGAAGTGATGCCGAATTGTAGAGATCTGTTGCCTTCAGATTGGACCTCGGTGGAGGACGCCATGTACCACCAAGGTGACAGTGAACAACTTGCAGCGTTGGAAAGTGGCCGATCCAGGCGGTGACGCACGCAAGCTCCTGGTGCTCCTGATATTGCCTTTGGATGCTCAGGTCGACGTTGATCTTGACGAATTCGCTTACTGCCAGTATTGGTCAGCCTGAACCAGGAATTTGAGGGATTTTCAAGGGAGACAGGAAAGGGAATCCAAGCCGATGCGAGACAATCGTCAATCAGCCGCCAGGGGAACTCCAAAGATGGCCCAGAGAAACATGAAGTACCTCACAGAGGACTATGAAGGCGATGCGAGACAACATTCGAAAGACGTGTCTCTGATACTGGGTCGAATCTGTCTCCTGGTCGACTGATGGTTCAAGCTCACGAAAAGCGGATAGACTTACCATCGGCCATTCCACCGTACTCCTTGCCGAAAGCATCGAGTACAGAGAATACGTTCAATGACCCTCGGAACATGCTGTGGCATGGAACACTGGCATAGCTTCTGCTCGTAATTGCTGGCTGGTTCTCAAGATCCCAGTGGATTTCCCATCGCGTACAGAGAGCTTGAGGTCGGACGAGAGCACCAGATTGATCTGGACTTCCTCGAAGAGTGCTTTGTAGATTTTGAGTCGGATTTCGCTGGGATACTCGAGTAGGGCGGGCTTCGCGTTGGCGATGTTGGCGATGTTGGCGGTGTTGGTCGGCGATGGATTGAACAAATCCGTCCAGAGCTTAGGGGCTTGTGCCATACTGGGCGACCCGTCAATCTGCCGAAGCCAGTGGTGGCAATGACCATTGTAAGGCAGCTGCCGGCGCAGTGCTGACTATGTAAGACAGAAGCCACGACAAAGAAGCAAACAACAATCCACTGGGGCTTTGAGATACTTGGCGTTGACTCAACGGCAAGCTGTAGAAATACTGTACCCGCTGTAAGTATATCTCATTGTATCCACGCGCTTCTAGTGCAAATGCAGTATCTGAGCTTGTACTACAGCTAGTGTGCTTGCCTCTTCACAGTTCATGGCGATCCAGCCGGTATCACAGAGCAGAGGAACTTTGTAATGAGGATGAAAGCAGCACAAATTCACCTTGTTCATTTTTGGCTGCGGATCCGTGTGAAGGTGGTGGTAGAGGGTGTTGTTCCCGCCTACCCCAGACTCATAGCCCATTGATGCTGCGATGTCAAACTAGTAAAAAGGTAAGTATCGTGGTTCTAAAAGGTGTCACAGCAGACTTTACGCTAGCATGGCTATCTCCCACTATCCCCGAATCACTTTACGCGTGATTCCACGCGCCCACTTTTGGGCGCGTCTGGGGCCGATGATGCTGCATCACCAGTGTTGTATATCGACTTCGAAGGTCCGTCGAATCCAACGACAGCGAATATGGCCGACTTCAAGATGTACCTGGCCAGCGAGCTCGTCGCAGAGCAGAAGACAGTGTCGTATCGGAGCCTGGCTCGATCGCAGAAAGTGCACGTCAACTCTGCCAAATGTATGCTTTACGAGTTCTACCAGGAACAGATCAAAAGGAAGCCGGGAAGTGTCTATGCCACGTACCTGATGTCAGGCGTGAAGTGGAAGGAGAAGCCTACCGTTGATCCAAACGTTTCCATGCGATCTAGTCCGCCACCTTCCAGTTCCATGCCTCAGTCGCAGCCGGAGGAGGAAGAGATCAAGGTGAAGACCATCACGCTTGTGCGGGAAGAGGATCTCGAGGGTATGCGCGCAGTGCCAGGAACATCAAGTGATTACCGACTGACTGAGAACAGACGTCAAGAGTACATACGAGACTATCTCTTCGATACATATCTACAGCCTCTCACCGGTCAAGATTCCTGATCTCGTGACGTTGTCAGACATCACTCGAAGTCTCTACACCGATGTCTTCGCCAAGGAAGACCCGCTCTCACACAACAAGACATACGGCGTAATACAAAACCCGCAAGTCCGGCGACGTAAAGGCAAGCGAACGGTTCTTCCAAGTGCACCTCCCCCGAAGTTCCAGTCTGTCAAGGAGGAGAAAAAGCCCGCTGCTGCCCTGAAAGAGACCACGGCGAATAAGCCAGTTCCAGCCCTCAAGAAAGAGAGCAGTCTGTCGAAGTCCCAGCCACAGAAGAAAGACGACGCTTCTTCCCGCGAAAGCACGCCTAAGCCCGCCTCGCTCAAGCGCGATGCGTCAGACATCTTCAAGTCCTTTGCCAAAGCCAAGTCAAAGCCGAAGGACACGCCTATGATGGACACCGATGACGGCGAAGAGGACGAGGCTCTCTTCGAGGCTCCCAAGACTAGCACAAAGCGTTCGAGCGACGTGAAGAAGGAGCGTGACGACAAGGCCGCAAAATTGAGGAAGATGATGGACTCGGACGATGAGGTCGAGGCCGCAACAGAGACCGAAAAGCCTGCCGAGGACTCGGCTGCAGATCCTGGTACCGAGACAAAGCCAGAGGACGAGGACGTAGCCTGGTCAGATTCAGATGAAGAGAAAGCCACCGCGAAAAAGACAGCCGAAGAGCCACCAAAGGAGGAATCTACCGGACCAAAACGGAAGCGTGGCAAACGCAAGGTGATGAAGAAGCGGACCATGAAAGACGAGGACGGCTATCTGGTGACCAAGGAAGAGGAAGCATGGGAGAGCTTCAGCGAGTCCGACACGGAGAAGGTGAAGCCGAAGGCTTTCGCCGGATTCCAGAAGAAGGCTCCTCCGCCGAAGAAAGCTGCCACGACAGCCGCCGCTCCAGGCAAGAAGAGCATTGCAAGCTTCTTTGGGAAGAAGTAGAATGCATATCAACGAGTCTGCCTAATCCAACGTTTGTCCCTACTCAATCCATCCTTCCCCAACCACATACCTCCCTTTCCTCCCAAAGATCAACCCAGGCCTCTTCTCCGCCAAAGTCAACACCACCTCCGCAAACACACTATTCGCCCATGCGAACCACGGCCTCGTCATCCCATCGCCAGAATGCACATCCACTCCCGTCTCAACATTCACACTTTCGTTGATCAGCCCAAAGACGCTGACGTTCTTTACCCGCTCCAAGCATTCTATAATCTCCGCCTCATCATCGGTTGTTAAGGCTTGCACGAGGACGCTCATGGGCCATGCATTCTTCAGTCCCTGGTGAGGTCCGCCTATGCCGGAGAATTTCGGTCCGTTGAGGAAGTACGGGTTCGTCTTCGCGGAGAGGATTTTGCGGCGGGTGGCGAGGTAGATCGGGTCATCCTGTTCAATGAAGCCCAGAAGCGGAAGGGAGAGGAGGGAGGGGATGTTGGCGTCGTCCATGAAGATGTTGCTGCCGTAGCCGTCGATCTCGTACGCGAAGGCGCGTCGATGACGGCGTGCTTGAAGATGCCTTTGCGGATCAGGGTGGAGCGTCGATGAGATTGGCGGCTCGAGCGGCGTGTCGCGAGGCGTCGGCTTTAGTGAGGACAGCGGCTGTGCGGTTGAGTTCGACGGACATCATGGCGTTGGCAGGGATGAGGTAGCCGAAAATGGTTGCGTCGTCTGAGGGGCGGAAGGCTGAGCGGATGAGGTTGGTACCGGCGGCGAGAGGGTTGCCTACTCCTCCGAGGTTGAGGGTTTCGGTGCCTGCGTTGGTCCAGCGGTCGAATCGGTATTGGTTGGGCCGGTAGCCGTCAGTTGTGAATGTTGGGGCGGCCTGCTCGTCTAGGACAGCGAGGACGGTCTCGAGTGCCTTAAACCAGCGCGGTGTCAGGTGGGAGTTGTCGTGGTGTGTGGCGAATTGGTTTGACAGAGAAAGGAAGTTGGCCAGCGAATCCAGCTCGTACTTGCATTCGAACACTACGCTCGGCTCGTATACTGGATGTACAGTGTCGTCCTGGCCGTTCGCCACAGGTTCTAGACGGGATGGAGATGGGGGCTGGAAGGCGTTGCAGTATGGCGATTGTAGTATATACTCTACTTGGGTGTTGATCGCTCCTAGGAGCAGCGGCTTCAAATCGGCGACGCGCTGGTACTGGGAAAGCTGATTCGTACTATCCCTGAGCCACATGGCGTCGATGTCTCCAGTGACGATGAAAGACTGAGGACCCCTCCACCTCTCGCTGTCGCGCAGCAAGAGCGACTTTGGTGGCTTCGGGTCGTGCCATCGTACTGTTGTGTCAAGAGTGTTCGGGTACGCATTCTCGAACAATTTGGCAAGATCCGGATCCTTGAAGTGCGGCAAGAGGTCCTCTAAGACCTTTTCCACACCTTCAGATTTGAACTTTCGGCACGCAGGGTGTGGCCGCTGAGATGACAGCTTCAGAGGCCCTTCACTGAAAGGCTTGTGGCTATGCGTGGCATACTTTGTGTAGTCAGGGCATACTCCAGAAAGACGGATCTGATCGAAATCGAAGTCCGCTGCACAAGCCTCACGGACGCAAGCTGGTAACGACAGTAACGCAAGGAGTAAAGCTCTCATAGCTTCGTCGTTTACAATGGCCTCATCAAAGATATTTAGACCGAATTTGCCAGTCTGTACGCCCGGGCCTCAGAGGCCCCCACGGTGTTGTGACCTCGAGTCAATCAAGAGACGTGATGATGCTCGAAGGTTCAGTCGTACCAAGAGCCCCTGATGATGCAGGGTTAGGGTTCCGAGCACAAGGGGCGAGAACAAGAGGAGACAAGCGTGAGCTGTCGACTTCATGCGATCCTACTCTTTTCCTATGCGCATCTGCCCAGCATATACGTTCTCAATCAACTTGAAACCAGGAACAATGCTCCCAGTGACTTCTCATCGCTGAAGCCGTCGCGGCAGTGGGAGTCTTGTTCAACGATGGACCACGACATCACTGGACTGCATTGCTCGTCTCTGTTGACAGGTACTCCACAGAAATCGTAGGTCTGGCTTCGGGGATCTGCTGTGAGTCGCTTCACACGCCCATTATTTCCTACGACCAGAATTCTGTCCCAAGGTCTTCCGCTGCCTGTCGTTCAATTGATGTCAGGATAGGCGCCTGTCGACTACGAGGTGGCCGACCGCCAAGGAAGTGGTAAGAAAAGATCAAATCTACTACGTAGCTAATCTGGGATCTGCAGCGACCTGAAGACCTCGAAGCTTTCTTCCACGTCAGGTCCTCATGATAATGGTTCACTTGTCCACAGTCGACGAGGTAGTCCCTGCCGATGCAGCTTAAAGCGATTTCCTAGTTCATCACGTGACATGCTCTTGTTTCCCTAGTCCGTCCGTATCGTCACTGCCCACTTCCCTACCTGGTACTCATTGTTCTTTCCAGTCTTGGAGGCTCAGTGCAGACATCCGTTGCAAGACGACTCTTGCTCCAAGGACGAAGCCCGCACAACACAGCAGAATGGCGCAACTTCAGGCCTCAACAACACCCGATTTGCTATCATTACCGCTCGAATTGCGTTGCAAGATCTACACATACATCTTCGAAGATTCGCAAATTTCTGTAGCAATGTTCACTAGGCCGTTATACTCGACTACAGGAGCCGCTGCCATCCTTCGAGTTTGTCGCTCTCTCCGCGCTGAGGCATTACCAATCTGCTACAATCTGGCGTCCTTCACGATCGAGAGTGGAAAGAAGGATCCTCTGCCAATGAGACAGTTATCTCGCTTCAGCAAGTCCGGCGCATTCGACCCTGGAATGATTCAGAAGGTGCTAGTCACAATGCCAATGCCGATCATGTGGCACGCTGAGTCGCTACATTCAGTGTTTACCAACCTCCGATATGTCACCTTTTCCAGCAGCTCCAATGTCTTCGCTCATCATGGTCTGAAGTCCAGTACGACGGAGCTACTGGCATCTGAGGAAACTCGCTGTGCGGAACTAGGCAACATTGTTCAATGCATATCGGATCCCTCCACCAACTACACGTTTCCGAAACGCTTGAGTTGCGCAGATCTGAACGAATACGTCCGTCGCTACTACTTCGGTCCTGTCGGTCCAAGAATGGCTCTCTGCGCCAAACTCAGACCTCACTTCACCAATCTCAAAGATCACTTCAATAGGGCTGGACGGAGTTATCTGGTACGTCACCGTTCCTGATTCCCAAAGCGATACTGACATATGTAGAACATCCGCATCTTCCCTGCTACGTTCTGTCTTGAGGTCAAGCTGGGCGAGAACTGGGTTGCCGTGCCTCAAAAGGCGTGGGCACACAGCTTGAAGCAACTTCCCGAACAGCTTGAGCGCCGTATGGCTCCGCTATGTACCCACAATCGAGAACTGCCGCGATGATAGAAGCGGCAATGATTAATGGTGAGCTGGGCGCGTTTTTGCACCAGAGGACCAGCCGTTACGGATATCGAGGGTTGTCGATGCTTGCGGCCGCAGCATTCTGGCAAGACACGTCGATGGCCGGCAGTGTATGCTGGTCAGATGTTTGTACTCATTTCATGACGATGGAGCCCGCTCTGAGTAGGCAAATGTGCTGGCGATTGTCAGCCACGACCGAATATGCTCGATAATTCGATGTCTATGCGTGCGCGGAGTCGAGATGTGCCTTTCTCGTCATGGTCTAATATAGAACCAGATTGACGTCTGCGAAATGTGCACATCTCGGGGAATGGGGATGGTCATAGAATGGCATGAAGTTGTTCTGTTCTGTCATGTCCGGACTCGCAGTTCCTTCTTGCCACTTGAAGAATGAGACACCATCGTAAGTTGCTCCGCGGCCAATATCAACCATAGACGGATCAGGCGTGGCAAGTGAAGGCGCACGCTGAGCGTCCCCGAGGCAACTGGCAGGGGGTACGGGCGGCAGTGACGGTAGAGTGACTGCACCGTCGGCCAGATGAATAGCTTGCCAAGAGTGACAGTTCCACACGAGCATGAGAGACATCCTTCGACTTCAATCGTCCACTTTTCTTTGTGTCTACTTTACTATCTCTCCAAACGATCTTCGCTCTCCATCTCAGACCGTGCTGTTTAGGTCGTCCCTTGAGATGAGCGACCTCCGATACCACACATTGGACAAGATGGTACAACAGCCAAGCACAATCTGTGGCCCATTTGCCAGGCAGTCAAGCGACGCTGCCAGTGCCGTCCAACAACCTCCCCTTCTCGAAGCTCCGGCCGAAGTCCGACTCAAGGTCTACCAAGCTCTGTTCGACGGTGCACAAATCAAGCTTCGCGCTTCACTCCCTCTCCTCCATGGGTGTGAAGATGGCTTCGAAGACGACGAAAAGGTCACCAGCGTTCTTCGAGTGTGTCGACTACTGCGCAAAGAAGCCCAGCACGTTTATTTCTCAACGGCGACATTTCTGTGTGCTGAGAGGACCCTTGAGAACCTACTAGTGGACCAGCAAAGATACGGCGACATATACAAGAGTAACTTGATGGTGACGGATCTGCGTAGGATCGAGAAGCTTGTCATACGACCGCCGCGATTCTCGTACGCGGACAAGATCACGGTGGCTGGAGCTCTTGTCTGGGAGTTGTGGTCGCTTCGAGAATTGACATGGTATTCGAAATGGACGTGGACAACTGGTTGCGTCAGTGCGCCATCAATCACTAAGCTTCGAGAATCGGAATCGCTGCGGCGCGAGCAATTTGGCGCATTGTTGGAAGACACCGACGTCCTCGTCAAGTGCTCCAAAGCTGTCGTGAAATCCGTGGCGGAACGGCATGGTCGTCCTCAGAAGCTGTCTCATGGTGTGATGCGCTTCAAAATTCGATACGTAAGCAATCACCCGGACGCCTCGGCGGCGATCAACAGATTAGTATGATACCAACTCCGTGCCGAACAGCGCAGCCAGCTAACAAGTCTCAGGAAGCAAGGCTCTTCATATTTGAGCAGCGTACCGAAATCAAGCTGGTAGATGGATGGTACTACGTGCCTCAGAAGGTGTTCGACCAGGTCTGATATTGAGGATTGAGAGAGGTGCCGTTAGACGATTGGCGATTCCACGCGCGCTGTCAGCCTTTTGGCATACGAGCTTCTTGCGACGGTGGCACCGCGGCAAGATCGACATAGCCTGTGTGCGGTGTGTTCATGGGCACTTGGACTAAGATCGATTGGCGCAAGAGGCTGTGAACTGGCATGAGCTATTCGGCACACTGCCGGATCATGAAGGAGATCGATACTCACAGAATTCCAGTGTGTCCCGAGAGAGCACTCCAATCTGCTGTTCCAGGGAAACTGGAATGTGGATCGATCGCATCAGATGCTGGACCAGATAGGTGCAACAGATAGTAGATCCAATGAACCAGTAATGTTATCGACATTCGCCTGTGTTCACGTCGAGTAAGCCACACAGGCCCCGACCTTCCTACTCCAGGACCTGCTCACCGCATCCTGATCCTCGTTTGGACGGTAGAGTGCCCGTTTGGACGGTAGAGTGGCTGCACTGTAGGCAAGTGAAGGAACTGCCAAGGGCGTTCCTTCCTTTTGATGATAACACACGTCTTCCAACGTCAACCATTGTCCTTCTCTTCTCTCCTTGACTAAGTCTTCCGCCAGTCCTTCTTTACCACATCGCCCTCATGGGCCATAACACTTCTTGACATCAGCACCACCTGTTAAGAATCCTCTACAGAACTGCCGAACAAGCCAGCGCCTTTCCCGCCACGATGAGCGACCACTTGAGCGAAGCTTCCGTACAAAGATCACCTCTCCTTCAGGCACCAGCCGAGGTCCGTTTTATGATCTATCAAGCTCTGTTCGATGGTGCGAATTTCAGGGTCGATTCGTTCTTCAGGAAGAGACTCCGACATTATGGCAGCAACGGGAAAATTCTCCTTCAGACTGGTACCAGCATCTTTCGAGTCTGTCGACTACTGCGGAAAGAAGCGTCGGACTTCTACTTTCCAATGACCACATTTACATGCTCTGAGACGTACCTAGGGGCCCTGGTCCGGTGCGTGCAAGGCAGCAGCAACGTCTTGCCAACGTACATGTATGGCATACAGGACCTTGTCATATCAGCAGACTATTGCAATTCATCAACGTGGCCGTCGTGGACCAGAGATCTTATCCAAAACCTGCCGTCACTTCAGAAGATAACATGGGACACGGCCACAACGCTTTGGGCTCATCCACAGGTGCCAAATTCGCGTCGACCTCCCGCATCGCCCTCTATCGACGAGCTTCGAGAATCTGAAGCGCTTCGTTATGGGTATTTTGGCAACGTCCTGAGTAGATCATCGATTACGGTCCGCCATTTCAAGGATATCACCTCGTTGCTCGCTAAGTCGCCCGGATATCCAGATGAGTGGCCTCACATGTTCGCGAGAATTGGTCTTTGCTTCAATTGGCGCACAATCCTGGTATGGCGAAACTCGCCGATGTAGACCATTGAGCTAATGCAGAGCAGGACGCGAGACTAGATCTGCGCAGATGTCGTCTGGAAGTCAAGCTAGGAAACGACTGGTTCTACATGCCTCAGCAAGGGCTCGATCAAATCTGAAAGCGACGTTGATGTCAGGTGTTGTAGGGACTGACCAACTCCACCAATGCCACTTCGTCGGGTTACCAAAGGGGCTTTTTGCGGCTGCTGGCTGTGCAGCGAGATCGATGGACCGTGCATAGGTGGAAACTCACTGTTTGATCGGTTCCTGGCGCAACAACCTGTCGAGGAGAGTTTTCAGCACACAGCAGAGACCCAGGTAATATCAATACTCACAATAGTCCATGTACTCCTTCAGCCACTTCATCCGAGCTTTGCACGTCTATGGAAGCGAAAGAAGGCAGTGCTCTGATTCGGACGCACCAGAGTATACCTCAGCAGCACCAGACAATCCAATAAATAGTAGGTGAGATTATTCGGTGATTGCACGAACGCCGCTTCGTTCACGTCGAGTAAGCGAGACTGACCCCAACCTTCCCACTCCAAGGTCTCCCCACCCCATCCTGATCACCCTTCCTGACCACTCCACTCGGACTGACAGTCACTCCACAACTCACCAACAGCGCCTTGACCCTCCCCGTCCACAGCGCCTTCACGTTCCACCCGTCATCCACCCGCAGTTTGACCACATTCTCGTTCTCCCTTTCAAACCTCTCGTCCTTAAGAGCCTGCTCCTCGGGACTGAACCAGCCTTGCGCACGCTTCCTCGCCCAATGGACCGGGTCATCTGGACTACTGCTACTGCGGGTCGATCCGCGCCAAACTTCCGCGCCGAAGACGTATCGCGACTCCCAGGAGTAGAAGTTGAAGTCAAAGCGGGAGCTGAGCGCCAGGTTTGGAGTTGGGCGGACGGAGTAGGTGGAGGCGATGCCGCCAACCAGCGGGTTCAGGGTGAGTGTCATGGTGTAGGGGAAAGAGGAATGGGAGAGGTTTGCTGGTGAGAGGAGGGAGGCGGCTGTGCCGGCTAGCGGCTTGCCCTTAGTCAGAGACTGTGATGGGCCGGGCGTGATGTGTGGTGCAAGAGTGGTGAAGCGCAGGCCGGTTGACATACCGATGACGTGGGAGAAGGGGCTGTAGTAGAACTCGGCGCCGGCTGAGAGAAGGGAAGGTTTGGAGGACAGGCGATTGCGGTAGGCTTGGAGGCGGTCCTTGGCGACGAGGTCTTCGGGTGGATCAAGACCGAAGTTGTACAGGCCGCGACAGCCCAGGAGGGCGCTGTCGGTGGAGAGGAGGCCTTCTATGGAGTAGCGGCCGGTATCGTGCTGGAGGTGGGTGAGTACTGACGCTGGTGGTGTGCCGTTGCCGTTGTTTAGCTGTGCGCTTGAATTCGAGCTTGCGGTTGACTTGCTGTACAGTGATAGGCTGAGGAGTGTTTCTGGGCTAATCCTCCTTGCGTACACGGCTGTGAGAACTGTTGGCGGTGGTAGGGCCAGGCGCGCATAAAGTAGTGTAGGCTTCCTTCCGTTTGGTACATTCCACCAGCTTGTGTCTGGAAGCTTGGGTACGCGCAGATCCCTATATCCGCGAACGAGATTCCGGAGTGGTATGCTTGTGCTTTGGGCAGGTATGTAGCCCAGAGGATGGCTGCTGTACAGATAGGATATTGAGCCATCGATCTGGCCGAGAGTTGACAGTGTATACGAGGATGCGAAATTGTTGCTGCTGAGCGACGAGACATGCAGAGACAGTGTGCGCGGCGTATCAAACGAGAGCAGGGCGTCAGACGTCGCGGTCAAGAAGGAGTAGCTGTTGTCCGGATTCCAGTCGGTTGCCGTGCCGAAGGCAAGGACCATGTAGTCCATGAAGGAGATCATGGTGAGTATTTAGCGCGCTGTAGAGCGCTACAGGGAGCGCTATCGTAAGTCGTAATGCATCTCTGAGAACAACGGCGCCGGACCACGCTGTCGATTCGCGCAGATGTGGTGGTAGCATAAGTTGTAGGCGTGTCGTTCGTTCGGAGCAGATTCCGGCCCGCACGTTTCTCCGCTCCGAGAGCTTTTGAATTTCCTGGGAGCGGAATCACTGCATCAGAGCTTCATCTATCATCCGTCTGCCATCCTCTGCACTTGCACCGCGCAACATTTGTCGCATTCCGCAGCAGCACTACCAGCGTATCTGAGGTCTAAGAAACAATCGTCACAATGGTCAAACTCGAAGAAGTCGAAGACGCAGCCTTCCTCGAGAAGCCCGAGACATCGAGAAACAACGCTCTCTTCCAGGAAGAAGACGACGACGACTTCACAGATACAGGTTTGTTCTCTCACGCCCATTCGCCTCCGGTCGTCCCATCCCGCGCCTCCTAACATCTTCTCCAACAGACTCCGAAATCTCCTCCATCACCGGAGACGACGACCTCGACGAATCCCTATACGACCGCCTCGCAGCCCTCAAAGACATCGTACCGCCGCAACAGCGCGCCTCCCTCAGCAAGTTCGCCTCCAACACCTCATCAGCCGTCTCAACGGGCATATCATACGGCGGCAAGGGCCTGTGGGTGATCATATCGAGCGTTTTACTGTTGGGTATTCCGTATGCGCTGGCACTTTCAGAGGAGCAGGCGCTCATGGAGGCGGAGCGGCAGCAGAGTATGATGCAGGATGGTGCGCAGGGGCTGATGGCGGCGGGTGGGGAGGTCGAGGGCAGTGGGCAAGCGAAGCCTGCTTTGTAAGGGGTCTTTCTGAGGTGTGGTGGAGGTGGTGGTGTATGAATATGCATAATCTTCATGGGAGACCCTTGGGAGGTCTGATGTACAAGCAATGCAACGATTTTCAACTCAAGGTGTTCCAAAGAGCGATGAGAACGAAGCGAACTGTGTTCTGAGTAGGTATCTGAAGGTCCTCATACCCTGCTGCTCAACTGCCCAATCGTCGTGAAACCTGGTACCTGGAGCGCCGCCGCTGTACAAGCCGATGCTGTTCAAACACTTTCTAGCTGCTAAAGTCCGTGTCGACACTAACAGACCTCCTCTTACGATATCCATCTTTGTCCCATTCTTTGATCATGCCATCAATCTCTGTGCGTACCTTTCCAACTCTGCCTTTGCTGCGAGCACCCTTACCAACATCGTAGTCGACCATGCCAAGCCTTGAATCTGCCAAATTTCGGCGATGTCCTGCCCACAGCTCTGCAATCTTGCCCGTGACGTCCATTGTGTCGACGATACCTCGGCTTCTTTCTCTCTGGCCTTCTTGCTCTTCTTCTCACGAGCCACGATCTGTTCGTCCGAAGTGACGCCCTGCTCGTTCAGGTACTCGAGCACTGTCTCGTTCAGACGATACTTCCAGTGCGTCAACAGATGGCCCATTTGAGCGTTCGCGGCGCAGTGACTTCCGAGATAGAAGTGCTTGTCTACTGGCGCCAGCATTCGGCCCTGCTCATCGACATTTAAGCCACTCGAGTCTTCATCGTCTTCATCGTGGTCGACCGGTTCCAGCGTGTTGCTGTAGTACGGCTGTCCAGACAGAACGAAATCATATCTCGCTGGATGGTTGGTTCTGTTACAAGCATCGCAAGTCGCATCCCAGTCGATGCCAGATTCGCCGATTGCGATGTCTGGACGTGCAAGAATGGTGTACTTGAACTCCGCGTTCCATGCTGATGAGATGAGACGACTGCCAGCCTGTGCCTTGGCCTCATCGTCCACTTTTCTCATAGCGATCTGGTAGACTTCATCGTCGCGAGGAAATGCTGGGGCAATCTTGTTCTTTACCAACCACTCTACGACATGAAAAAATAGCTCCTTGGGCTTTTGTGTGGCAAAATTTGTGAACTGGAGGGGAATCCCTGATGCTGGACGGCGGGAGTGATGGGTAGTCTCCTCGTCTTCCTCAATCCAGTCGTCTTCAGCGCCTTCCTCTGTTGGTTGCTCAAGCTCTTGCTCGCTTTCGCTGGATGAGTGTACGTAGTCACCCTCATGCTGGCGTTGTGAAGGTCGGCCGATCAGACTGATGTCAACACCATCAGTGGATTGGTCATCGTCCTCTTCTTCGTCAAAGTCGTGAATGCGCAGTATCTTCTCTCCTGCTCGCCTGCGCCGCAGCAAGTCCAAGTGTTCCCGATCTGCATCCTTCTGCGTTGTGACTGGACCGCCTCTGGTCCGCTTCGTTTTCTTTGCTGATGCTTCGGTATTCGAGTCTTGTAGGTCTTCCAAGTCAGCTTCAAGCTCGTCTTGCTCCTGACGCCTTCTCTGGTGACTGGGCCTCCTGCGTCGCTGAACAGGCTCTGAGTCAGACGAGACATACTCGACTTCCTCGTCGTCGTCAACGAGCCAGTTGTCTTCCTGCTGTGTAGCTTCCCGATAAGACGCTTTGGGAGTGGGAGCTGGACGACGACGTTTGGTGGGAGCGGAGGCCAAAATCTCAGCATCATCATCTGTCGACTCAGCACCACCTAGATCAGACTCGACTTGGCGTTCTGAGACAACGACTGGAGAGTCTCCGTCGGAAGTGGCGGCAGGAGTGGGCGAAGAATGCTCAAATCGTGCGGAGCGGCGCAGTGGTGTAGACAGACTTGTTACTCCTCCGCTAGTCTTTCTCTTCTTCGCAGCTGGCGTAATCAGCTCATCCTCCTCACTGCCTGTAGCAGACTCAACAGCGGGTTTGGGTTCAGGTTGCGATGAAGGTTCAGGAGTGAGGATACCATTGTCATGTCGTGACGCTACGCGCGAGCTCTTGCGGGGGCTGCCCATGTATGTGACTCTAGCCAATCGATCTTGCACGGCGTCGGAGTACTCCTTCTTTCTTGGTGACGACGAAGGCAGCGAAGAGAATCCTAGCTTCGTCTGACGCTTGCTGTTGCGGCTGCGGTACGAAGAGACTGGTGGTGGCATGATGGCCAAGTCTGTTGCTCGCGCGTATGATATCCAAAAGGTCCAGTGAAGATGTTTGTGTCCGAAAGGAACAGAAAGATCTGTCTCTGCTACATGTCATATAGTCATTGTTGATGTTGGGAATGCACCTCCTGCCATTCACTACCGGCTGGAAAGGACGACGGTGACTTCATAGCGGGCGGGCGAAACGCGAGCTCAGCCTGGTCGCGTAGACACGTGAGTCAATCAGGCTGAGTGATTTCTCTACGTCATCGGCCTCAAGCAACAGCTCAGTGGCACTCTATGAGTTCCACAAAGTTGTCGTTAAAGTCAAGAGAAGACTACATATGTAAGTTGGGACTGAGGGCTTTGGCTCCATTATTTGACAGTTCAGCAACAGAGATGTTACTACGGATCTTCTCTCGTATACCTATCTCCTGAGTCTGTCTTTCCCAGCTTCTGTCCGAAAGCTTTTCATTGTTCATGATTCAGGCATTAGGATCCAGCAACAGCTTCCTTCCAGTGACCTTCCCCGCAAGCATGAGGTCCAAAGCTTCCTGCGCCTTAGCCAGTCCGCCCTCTAGCCACTGCGCTCTTGTCGGCACAATCACGCCAGACTCTAGACCCTTCGGCAGTAGCTCGTCGTAGAACCAGTCACGGGACTCATGGTTCTTCTCCTCGTCCATGGCAAAGCTGAATGGCTGACTCACACGCTGCACATTACCAGGCAATGGCTTCTCTGAGCCTGTCAATGGGACAAACGAGTAGTAGATCCCGCCACCGACCGAGGAAAGGTATGGCGCGATAAGATCCGTGACGACGGGGAAGCCGATCGCGTCGAAGATGGTGTCGTAGGGACCATGCGAAGCGATCTCGTCCGCGATATCGGATGCGGTGTGGTCGAGTATTACTGCTGGGCCGAGTGACTGCACAAAGTCCTTGTTCGCGGGTGACGATGTAGTGACAACAGTATAGCCTGCTGCTACGGCATAGCTCACGCCGAGACCGCCTGCCGGGCTAGAGCCGCCATACAGGAAGATCTTCTTCCCATTCGGCTTTGCTTTCTCGGCGAGCGAAGGTCGGTCGAGGCCCATAACGATGGAAAAGGCAGATGCAATTGCTGCTAGGTTGAGGATAGTGCTGGCAGCGTCCTCCAGACTGACGGTTTCAGGCAATTTGGATGTCGATGTCTCAGCAGCTAAGGCGTATTGCTGGAATGCGCCAGATTCGCTCCGCATCTGAAAACGCGTCCGGACGACTGCGACCTTGTCGCCAGTCTTGATTTTGGTGACTCCTTCGCCGACGCTCTCAACGATGCCAGCGTACGATGTTCCGAGGACATTTGGGTAGGATAGCGGAATCATAGCATACTTCTGTATCTTGGCCTCCAAAGGGGAGAAGCCGATGGCTCTGATCTTGACGAGCAGTTGGCCCGGTCTTGGAGTTGGAATACTGTGTTCCTCAACCACAAGTTGAGCATGGGCCGCCCTGATCACCGCTGCTTGCTGGCTCATCTTCGAGGAGTCTGTTGATTGTCCACGGGTCTATTTGATGTTGTATTGAGTTGGTGGTAGGAAGTTATAGGTCTCTGTGGCGGCCTCTGTGTGCATTTACGTTGTCGCAATGGAGATGCGAAAGACATTACTGACTTACTGTCAAGCCTTTTATATGCCATGCCACCCATCGGTTCGATAGTGAGTCCTGCATTGAAGCAACTGCATACTGTAAGTCCGCGAAGCATCAGTCATCAGCCTACCTTCCTAGAACGATGTCACCGCGGGCGGACGATAAAATGCCCGTTGTAGCAGTCCTGAGACCAGAGCATATTCCATGATTCTTCGGCCGTGGAAGTGACTGCCTTGAGCCACGTCAATCCATCTCTGTAGCGAGGTGGTGATAGCAGTGCTCGGCATCCGAGCTTGGCAATCGGCTTATAAATTTCGCGATGCTCGGTGCCGGATGAGCAATTCATTCACGGGCCGAATTACCTACTCGTCCTGGTTGCGCCCACAAGCTCATTGTGGTGTGTCGTCGCTTCCGATCTCGGTAAGATGTTCGGCATCAACGCATCGAAGCTGTCAACTACATACAACTACTTTCGTTGCGTATCAGAGGCCGCCCTGAAACCAGTACTGAGATTGGCATCTGATCGAATCGCCAGACGTTGTGAGGTCATTCCAAGACGAAGACGACGTCGATGTTGCTGCCTGAATGATGCAGATCGAAGCACGCTTTGAGCTGTTCAAGCCATTCGCCCGTAAGGTACATGATGAAGGACGACATTGCCGGTGAAGAAAGATTCTAGGTTGATCCAGGCCTACGCCAAGGCTTGGGAAGCTCGAAGTTCCAGGCATGCTCACCCCCAAATCTGTCTTCCCACAGCTTCATTCACCTCACTCTCGGGCGAGTTCCAAGATCTCATCATCATCCATGGCACGCTTGCGTTCTCATTGATCAAGATCCAATTGCAGCCACCATGGGACAGCTGCCTTCTTGCATGACGATTTGCTTCGCGATGGTCTTTCGGCGCGTCGCCCCGACGAGGCAGCTATCCAGGTATGGTAAAGGACAGTCATTAATCTTCAGTGCCTTAGTAGCGCCATAGTTGATCTTGGTGTTGTTTCAGTCGGTGCAGATTACGCTGTTGAGCGAATGCGACGAACCAGTAGGGTGCGCCTGGGCCGTCCTTTATCTGCTGCGTTGTTGGCTCATGGATCTGTTCCAAAGGCGGTATTGGGAGGCTTCGCAGACGCCCGTTTAGACAGCTGTCCAGGATATAGACCACACAACTGTCATCCTCACAACAGCCTCGAGCTGTTGCCATTCCACTGGCTTCGCTTGCACACAAGTGCGGAGGAGTGGGTTGGTTTGGTGTTGTGTATGATGGACGTTGGGATGCTCGGATTTGGGACAGATGTACGGTGACCACGTCGTCCTCGTATGGCGATCAGCATCGAGAACAGCCTATTCTGTCGTCTGTCAATCGCAGTCGTGCCGGCTCTAATGCCGTACAACATGGTATGGAATGAAAACCCTTGCGAATCATGATTCCCGCTCTCAGTCCATGGTGGGTCGAAAGGTAGGTGGATGAAGGATGATGGCGGAGACTGTCTGCGAGTACTTCTAAGTTGCACATCCTGTTCGACCGGTAATCCGTGACATCGGCAGCGGGAGTCCCACCATATGTCCATCGGCGACGGCGTCCTCCCGGCGAGAAGGGCTTCCTCACCATCGGAGTTGCCATGCAGCATGTACTAGCTCGACAAGGGGAACAGAGCAGCAGCTACGCGTGGCAGTGAGCAATCTACAGGAACTGGTCGCACCTCAGCTTGGGCAGAAGTGTCTTTGTCAACTAGTCATCGCCGTGGCCGGACGTGACAATCAGAGATCTGGTTTCCCCTGTTACTTTAGTGTTTGGCACGTACCCATGGACAGACTTCTGGCACATATGATTCACGCAACAAGAGCCCGTAACCAGAGCCCGATCACACTTCCAATGCTGCATCTTTATGGCATCGATTGTTTGCTTGGGCACAAGGTAAACCAAGGACCAGCATGGATCCTACGCTGAAGTCGCCGCGACCGATGGACGTCCAGCTGGACTTGGACCATCCAAGCGTGACGGCGTTTATGGATCCAGTCCTTGGACTTCGCAACTTTCGACCGCAACTTGAGATGGCCTTTTTTGGTGTCCTTTCTATTGCATATAACGCCCTTGAGTGTATGCGGGTGGACGATCCTGAATACTTTTCTGGACTGTTCCAGCTCATGCTGGGGACAGGAGACAGCGAATGGTGCAGGAATAGGTTCATAGGTACAGAGCTACAATGCCTACATGTTCCTAAAGTAGGATTGAGAACTGACTCGCCCTTAGAAATCATGAAGAAGCTCCAGTTCCTCTGGCCGCCGCTCCTCGATCGCGCGAAGGACTTCTTCCCCGTCCAACCGAATAATTCATCAGCTGGTCTGCCACGATGTCATATCAAAATCCGAATTGGCAACGATCATGTCCAAAGGAAGCTCTTTCGTATCAGGGAGCTAGGTGGTGCAGCACGGTACTGCTGGTACGACATACACAACGAACCCCCAGCAGACGAGAACGAATACATCTCTGCCGCCGATGGGTTACTGCTCCGTCCACCCTTACCGCCTGAGCAAGTACCCTGGGGATGGCTTGCCAGTTGGTTACACGCCACGAGGTTGGCAACTTGCACACCACATTCAAGAAGACAGGGACACGATTTACCTCTTCCCTGCCCTCTTCGGCTCTGGCTCGTATGCGTCTCTAGATCTGCAGATCAGACAGGGTGACCCTCTGTGGAAGTTCAGGGGCACGGTCTTGGAGGTCCTCATGCACGAGCTCTGTCACAGCCCACTTCTATGCAGCAAACCAGACTGCGACGAGGCGCACCACGATCTGCCAAGTCACGGCCTCCGTAAGCCGTCCATCTACTGCCCCGAAGGAGGAATTGTTTGACTGACCATATACTGCAGTGAAGGACGAGACATATACCACCCAAGATGGCAGGCTAGTCACGATGTATGGAAAGGAGGCAATCGAAGGCGCAAAGCTCGGTGTGTCCGGGTGCATCCACAATCCCGACACTTTGTCTATGCTTGCGCGGGCGCTGGATTCTCTGCAAACTCAGGGGGTCGACTTCAGCTCTGGCAAGGCAATCCTGCCCGTCCCGCCCCTGCCAGTGAAAGTCTGCACCACTCAGGTCCGCACGATTGTAGAGAGTATTTTGGTAAAGTTTGGGCTCGGCCAAGCAGGAAGCGACGTGGATTGGAGAGTAGTCTACGACAGCGCTAAGGCCTACCAAAGCGCAGAGATGCGATTCTTCTCAGCAGGGCTTGAGGCATATCAAAGCGAGCAGATTCGCCTCATTGAGGAAGAAACTCGCGGGCTGACTGCATAGTCCGCTTACGGGCGCCTCAGTCAACACAGACCTTTGCCATCATTCTGTCCTGATCGATGGCTTGTCTGGCGGCACGACTTGTTCATACCTGATGGAGATCCTGCGGGACGAGGTGAATGCTGAACCCGGGCATGTCGACCGAGGCGCGCCATTCCGCGTAGCGTTTCAAGGCAGGTAATGGAGATTCACATCGGTAGCATGTCTGAAGCGTGCAGTTCTTCCAGCCTACCATAGAAAATAGAATCAGAAATCCTGTATTGATTGGCGTTGTCCGCATAGTTCACTTGGCCGCTGCAATGCTGGAAAGCTGCTGTCTTTGTCTTTGTGCCCAGCGCAGAGGACAAGCCTTCCAAGGGTGGGCTTAGGCGGCCAGCCATGGGACAAGGCAGCCCAGAACAATGGTCCCCAGTATGATCTCTCTCCAGCAGCGGAGTCTCTACAAATCGATGTGGACGCGATGAATATGCCATAGCCTTGACAGAATGACTACAGCGTCATCCCTCGCCGCAACTTCACCGCAAGTTGTTGCTAGTAGGTGATACTGAGGTAAGGCTTGTCCCCAGTCGACGACTTGACCAAGAGAGCATTTCAAGATCTACAGCGCCCTCCCTGGCCCGACGACCGATAATGAGCAGCACTCATTGATTGCAATCGATCCATTGCTGAGGAGCGCCCCAGGGTCATCAGTATCGCTATAGCATTTGAACATTGACCATGTCATACAAGGCAACCAGGCCCAGCAAGGCCATGAGCATTACCCAGGTAGGGGCGTCTCGGGCGTGCTTCACGACGATGGTTGCCTCGTTTCTGCTAGGCTCAGGCGTGCCAAACACTATTCGGTGGAGAGGAGTTCCTGGAATCCAGACACTGTGGCTAGTTGCGTCACCAAGGATATCCCATGTTTGCAAAATCGATCTGAGATGCATGCGTCAGGGCAGAGTCGCAGACTCCAAAATGTGGCGGCGATGACGATGGATCAGCAGAAACTTGGATATCCACCACGGCAAGCCATGTCTTGGTCAAAATTCATGGCGCCACGCGTCGCAGATGTCAGTGGTTTCCAGGGCTACGGGCTATTTTGGACTACCCCGAGATGCTGTTGAACATTATTTGCAGCTGAGTTCAACAAAATGTTGAGTTGCCAGCAATTGCGGCAGGCGCTGCTGAACCACGATGTCAACATGCATTGCGGTCTGCACGAAACTTGCTACGAAGTGCACAGATCGTAGCTGAGCCGAGCCATGGCCAGTTTCCGTGCCTGCGGAAACGACATCCGACCAAACCGCAACCCCAGACAGCACTCTTCACGCAGGCGCGTCGAACTTGGCAAGGCAGGCGAATTAGCGACTAGGTAAGCGAGTGCCGTAACGAGTGAGAAGCGACGATGAACCAAGAGAGGCGATGGCGAAAATAATATGGTCAAATGGTCATTTCCTTGGAATTAAGCGATTGTGCAAGATGCACTTTAAGCCCACCCGGCCACGATCAAGCGACGCTAGAGCCAGGGCGATACATTCATTGGCTGGGGAGATGTTAGGAGTGAGATCATTTTCATCATTTCATCACTTCGCGCTCTCTCAGGTTGCTGCTGCTTGCGTTCCGTTTTTGTGCTGTTCACGATTCAGGGCGTCTCAATCGGTCAGTGTCGTCCTAAATTGCCATTGCCGATGAGCTGTGGGGCATCTCGTAGGCCCTTCGATAGTGGTTAGCTAGCAAATTAGTAGATTGTGTGCCGTCCAACGCCCAGAGCAAGGAGAGAGAGACTCACGACTTGTGTGTAGAGACTTCCGAATGACCTCATATGAAAGCTGGTTTCCCCAGGAGACCAGGCTTTTCCAATTTCCAGTGACACAAAACCAGCTGGAGTCTTCCTTCCCATCAATCTGCACACTCACACCCTCCACACCTACTGCGATACCCCTACCTCGTCGAGACTTAATCCATCTGCTTTCGAATTGAGATACCCATACCAGCGCATTACTGAATTGTATGTTGTCCTCCTCGATGGTCCTTGCCGTCGGTGCAGTAGCTCACATTGTGTACAGCTCTTAATTGACCGCCATCATGGCCAACGTCAACGTCCCCACGGACACCAAAATCAAGGAGAAGGATGTCAACCAAAAGCTACAGCTCTATGGCATCTACTCCGCCTTCGCCAATGGCAAGGTCCCTTCCAACAGCCAGATCGATGTTGCCCTCAACAGCGCCCTAGCCTCCAAGCTCTCTCATCGCCATCAAAGAGGCTGTCCAGCGAGGGTCAAGAGCTAGTCGCAGACTGAAGGAAGTCATCAAGCAAGCGAAGCACCTGCTTCTGTCCAAGAACCAAGGCAACTTGTTGCAAGACTTCATCTGGGACTGCCAGAATCTTGATGGTGGCAATGCTAGCTTGCCAGGAGCACCTACAGACAAGGAGACTGCCAAGCAGCACGGCAACGAGGCTCTCGATGGTCTCAAGACATTGGGCACATTGATCCTTAGCAATGGTCAATTCCGCAAGCTCCTCGACGATGCCATCATTCTCGTCCGTGACATGGCTGGCGACGCTGCGTCAAATGCTGCCAACAAGGTGCGCCCTGACGAGGAACGTCTCAACCAGATCGATCAGCCAGCTGAGGACAACACCTGGCACGATGTTCCAGACTTAAGTAAGGATAACATCAAAGGTCAAGTCTCATCAGCCTACAACAAGAACAAGCCCTTCAACCGTGAGCAGGCCAAGGATGCTGCTGCCACTGGCGCCGACCAGGCTCAGCAACAGCCTACTGCTGACAACCAGCAAGCTGCCCAGACTGGTGCATCCACAACTGTTGGTCAACTCAAGGATCAGGCACGTTCGAACATTCCCGATGAGACTCAGGAGAAAGCCCGCGATGCCAAGAATGCTGCCGCTCAACGATCCAAGAACTACCTCAGCAAGAAGATGCCTCAGGAACGCCGCGAGCAGAGCATTTGGCGGCTCAAGAAGATGATTGTTGAGATTCAAGGTCACTCCGACTGTATGTTCCCGACTATGCTCACTGATAACCGCTAACGTGTCGCAGACCAACAAGCAATCGAGACACTTCTCAATCTTGCTGAGACCTATGCTGGTCACGCCAACACTGTCGCAAAAGACAGTCATGGCACTGTCAAAGGTGCCCATACTGATAATTCTTTGCAGTCTGCCGAAGCTAACCTGAAGGTGTGTACAGGAGCATTCCAATCCAACAAAACAACGCTGACAAAACTCAAGACCCTCATCGAGCGCTTCGCCAACTCCACGAGCACTGACGATCTCTTCGATGCCCTCAACCAAATCTACCGCGATGCGCAACAAGATCCTGAGCTTCGCAACTGGTTCAAGCAGGTTGATGCTTACATCCGCAAGGCTCTACGCCAGCAAGGTTTCATTCTCCAAGACCAGGCCAATGACGAGTGGAATGCTCTCTACGACAAGGGCAACTTCCTCCTGCGCGAACGCTACCGCAGCCATACCGATCGTCTGCTTGATGAGGTTAAGTTCCTCAGCAGCCAATTCGAACAGGACCCCCAGAACCGCGCCTTTGGTGATGCTGTTCAGAAATTATTCCTCGACCTTGGCAATGATGAGAATGGCAAGTCAACCTTTAAGCCACACTTGGTCAAGGATGTTACCGAGGTCATCATCCCGGCTATCTTTGAGAACGTTAGATACGTACCCATTCCCCGTATTGAGGTCTCAGATCCCATGGTCGATGTCGTTGTGGAGAACCTCGTCCTTGAGAGCAACAACCTATTTCCCAACGTCATGGAGTTTGGATCCGACAACTACTTCCGCATGGGCCGTCGTCAGGTCAAGAACAAACACGAGAACAAGGTCATGATCTCTGCCTCTGGCATTCAATGTGACCTTCGCGATGTTGCATACTACATCAAGAAGAAGCAGGGTTTCCCGTCGATCACCGACAAGGGTGTCATGGACATCATTCTCGGCGGCGAAGGCTTCAGCTTCAAGATCGCTGCTCGCAATGCGCAAAAGAGCGACCGTACCAAGTTCATCGCTGTTGACAACGTTGACGTTCAGGTTAAGAACCTGCAGGTCAAGATCAAGCAGTCCAACCACAAGTTGTTGTTTGGTATTGCCAAGCCTCTACTGCTCAAGGTCATGCGTCCAGCGATCCAGAAGGTAATCGAGAAGCAGATCAAGGATGCCTTTGAGAAGGCTGATGCCTACCTCTGGAGCATTCACCAGGAGTCTCGCAAGGCGCTGGAGGCCGCCAAGAACGACCCGGAGAATGCACCTAATCTGTACCAGTCATACGTCGATGCTATCAAGCGGAAGGCGACCGAGAAGAAGCAGAAGGCGGAGGCCAAGGCTAGTAACACCGACGTCAACCTCGCTGTCACGAAGAATGACTCCATGTTCAAGCATATCTCTCTGCCAGGTGGTATTAGCACCAAGGCTACTGAGTATCAGAATTTGGCCGCTAAGGGCGACCGTTGGGAGTCCCCTGTCTTCTCCATTGGCTCGGCCAAGGAGTCCAGCGACATCCCCAAGCTTGCTCAAGTCACCCGCAAGCCGCATAGCACAGCTCAAGCTGGTCTTCGCGACCACTCCTCCGCCGGAACCGGTACCACAGGTGGCGCAGGATACGGTTCCACTGGTGGTGCAGGATACAACTCAGGTGTCGGAAGCGCCCCTGGCAGCGGTATCTCTGGTTCTGGCGGCGCTGGCCAAGCTCTGGGCTCTCAACTCGATAGTGCGTTCCAACCCAACAAACCCCTAGGTGCGATATCGACCACGGGCGCTGCTAACACGACTTCAGGTAACACCGGTACTTACTACGATGGCGTCACCAAGCAGCAGTAAATTGCTCGAAAAGCCTTCTCTGTCACTACAGGAGATCATGACGGGATGAAGTTTCGTCTGCTATGATACCCCAGGGATTGCATGCGTGCCAGTCGACTGTTTGGTGGACGAAAAGCGAGGACTTTGTGGTTGTATGGACGAAGCCTAAATTTGGGCGGCTGGTAGTTATTCTACGACACTCTCAGCACTAGCCACCGCCCACAACCTAAAACACTCTAGGCTATCGGCAGCATAGGGCGCATTTGTTGTTGCTTTGCGCTCGTTGAACTTATTAGTTAGCATACAGGGTAGCGGTAATGAACGTGGTAGGAAAACAATGCTATCAAAAAAAACGCGGTTCCAGATACGTGCCCCAAGAGGTCGCCCAAGGTCCACGAATCTCTACAGGATCCCTCGGGCGGACACACTGTGGTTATGGGACTTTCCAACGACCTGGCTAATCGCCATAATTGTCCCAAGCTCCCATATTGATTGTGCTGGACACGGTGCAGTCAGCTATCCGGCATGGCTGTCAACAGACGTCCCTGCCACTGTCACAGCCTGATAGCCTCAAGAGTCGATCGGTATGTCGATTCCAGAACCTCGTCAACCGGTCCCTGGAGAAGCGGATTCCTCGTCATGTCATCCGGTCTGCTGGGTGCCCTGTCAACGTACCTAAGTATCTACCTCCCGCCATTTCTCAATAATCGCTGTCGGCATTGGTCGTCCGCATCCTAGCAGGCGCACAGTACTTCTTGACTACTTGGGAAAAATTGCCCCGAGCCTCGTGGATTTCTCTCTGTTGCAACGACTCGTATCCACCATCGCTGCCAGTTGTGCGATTATATTCTACCACGTAGGAGCACAGACCACAGCCCAGTCAGTGTGGCCATATGTCTCCTTAGGCACGCCGTGCTCAGTGGTGCTTCCTTCGTGAATGTTTACAACGAAGATGCGGACAAGCTTAATACAAGGTGTCTCCAGATCCATTTCTGTCATCCGAAGGTCTCCGAACGTGGCCTGTCTGTGCACAAGGCAAGTACACTGTTCCCTTTCCGTCAAGTATCGGACAAAGCACTGTTGCTCCTTTATTGTGCGTGTGCTTCGAAGCATGAAGTGTCCGATGACGATGTACGTATCGTTTCGGGGGCTGGCAGTACACCTCTCGTAGTTCACAGCGCCGCCACGACACCTACCCATCCAACAGCAACCTCACCGAATGCACAATGCCGCCCCATCAGCGACTGACTTCCGCCGTGGGTTTCTTACGTAAGAGCACCTTCATCGCGGTGGTCGTCTACTTCCACGTGGCCTTCCTCAAAATCGCCAGCGACTCGGGCCCGTATATGGACACCATGCACGCGATTTCAGGATATGCAATATGCCTCTCACCTGTCCTGTTGGTCTGGACGCTTTATACATATTTCCCCGCCTTGTCGCAATGCTGCGAACTGGCCTTTTGGGCACTGCAGCTGTACCAGGTTTTGGGGTTGTTAATAGGTACGATACAGTTGGGACAGATCAGTGTGGAAGACATGGAAACGTTTCAGTCGGAGCCACGGGGTACAACAAGATAGGAGGCGTTGAGGTTGCGGAAAGCCCCCTCTGCCCAGCACATTAGCAGTACACATCTATACATTCGACCTACAAGTTGCTAGGATATAACACGGTGTCCAACCGGTTGAACTCTTCCTTCAGCGTCCTCGGCGACACGAACCTCCTCAAGGAATCGGCACTGCCCGCCTTATCATTCGTCCCGCTACTCCGTGCGCCGCCGAAGGACTGTTGTCCGATCACAGCGCCGGTCGTTTTGCAATTGGTGTAGAAGTTGCCAGCGGCATATCTCAGTTTCTCTTCTGCCTTCCGAATCGCTACGGGGTCGTTCGCGAAGATCGCGCCCGTCAGAGCGAAACCGCCGCCTTGCTTGTCAATCGTGCTCAGGAGAGCATCGAACTCGGCATCCTCGTATACGTATGCCACCAGGACGGGACCGAAGAGCTCCCTGTCAAAGAGCTCATGTTCGAGGGTGCTCGAGAGGTAAACTGTGGGCTCGATGTAATAGCCTCTGCTGCCACCGAAGCTGCCACCAGCAACCCGCGTCAAGCGGGAGTCCTCGTTGGCCGCTTTGATGACGCCAGTGATCCGATCGAAGGCGGACTGGTTGATCACAGGTCCTAGAAAGTTCGAGAAGTCCTCCGGGTCGCCCATCTTGATGTCTCCCAGATGCTGCTTGAGCTCGGTCAAGAACTCTTCTGCTCGACTTTTCGGCAGGTAGATCCTCGAGCAAGCAGAGCATTTCTGTCCAGAGTACTCGAACGATGCGCGCATGGTGTGCTTGACGGCATTGCTGATGTCCGCTGATTTGTGCACTAGATGGAAATTTTTGCCTGAAGTTTCGGCCACGAAGCGTGGGAACTCGCGGTACTTCTTCTCGGCGATGCCTGGGCGCCCTTGAAGTAGAGGCTGCGGAAGACATCTGAGGAGCCTGTGAAGTTGAGTGCGGAGAACTCTGGGTGGTCGAAGACGGTCTGCGTGATCATCTCGCATCGCCGTTCACCATCTGGACCACGTTGGGAGGCAGGCCGGCTTCAAGGAGGATTTGGTGGACCAAGTGGCTGGCGTATACCGATGCAGGAGCTGGCTTCCAGATGACGACGTTGCCAAGTAGTGCTGGTCCCGATACCAGATTGCCTCCGATCGCAGTGAAGTTGAATGGGGAGACGGCGTACACAAAGCCTTCCAGCGGACGCCAGTCTGTTCGTCCCGCATGACCTTGTGCTGTCAATTGTGGCTGACGATCATAGATCTCCTGAGCGAAGCCGACGTTGAAACGGAAGAAGTCGGCAAGCTCTGCGGCTGCATCAATCTCTGCCTGCCAGGCATTCTTTCCCTGTCCGAGCATGGTAGCTGCCATCAACTCGAAGCGGTATTTGCCTGACACCAACTCGGCTGCTCGGAGAAAGATCCCAGCCCGGTCGACGAAGGGCATGTCGGCCCATTCCTGTTTGGCTTGCAGTGCTGACTCGATGGCGGTTGAAACGTCATTTTGGGTGGCGGTTGTGTAGTTGGCGAGCACGGTTTGGTGGTCTTGGGGTAGGATCTGTGACAAGTGTTGGCTGTTGGAACTGAAAGCAGTGCGAATCGAGACTGGTAATTGTGAGCGGAGCTGGCTCAGGGTGTCTTCCAGCTTCTGCCGCTCCGGCGATGACTTTGCGTAGTGCAGATTGGGCTCATTGAAGGGCTTTGGTGTCTTCTGTGTTCCTGCTGATGCTATCGTACGGCGCAGTATACTGCTTGGACGCTGGTCAATGAACCTTAGCGTCTGTCGAAAGCTGTTCGTTCTGAGGCCCTGAAGCTGCATGTTAAGTGATCACTGGACAGCTGCTTAGAACTCGTCAGCAGCAATGAGATCTATGTGAATATCGAGGGCGGCCAGAATGCCTCTGATGAATACCTAGGTACAAACTGGCTGTCGATGGATGTAGCACCCCGCGAGTCATTTCTTCGGCAGGGCGCCCGTTGCCAACTAGCAACTGCTTGGTCTGCATCTTCAAGCCGCTTCGGCTTAGTCGATCAGCAATTGATATGTTACAAAGCTCACAATCGTTGTGTCACTGTGTGAGGTGAGATCCATCATCGGCTGGGCTTCCGATCGGTTCTGCGGCTGGAGGGCCGAAGAGTCCTTTGCACGCCTTGGCATTTAGACCGCGCTATCAGGCGACAACGTGTCGAAACCACACAACGTCTGGCAGCGACTTCACGTATTGCAGATTGTAGCATAATGCGTGACAAGGACCTGACTATCGCTGTGCTTGGTTGTGGTAGGCATGGCTATGCGTGCCACCTTCGGGATGCTTGGCTAACACCTGGCAGGCAGCTTGGCAAAGCGATCATATGTGGTCTACTCAAGCAGTCCGATGTCTCAATCAACAGCATTGAGGCAGCAGTCAACAGCGACACGTCGAAGGTTGACCTCAGCAAGCAGTTGCGCGAAGGCGTGAGAGTCAGCAAAGGAGGAAATGTGAAGGCAGCAAATGCGGCTGACGTTGTTATACTGGCATGTCCTCCCAGAGCAATGACCTCGATACTTGGGGAACAGGGCATGGACGCGGCTCTCAAGGGCAAGCCACTCGTCAGCGTCCTAGCCGGAGTCACAACGTCCGCCATGGAAGATGTTCTGAAGGGCGGTGGAGATGCTCCATTCTGCATATTTCGCGCCCTTCCAAATCTTGCAATTGCAACATGTGCATCAGCGACGGCGGTTGAGGCGCCGAAGTCATCGATACCAAGGGAGATGGTGGACGTTATTGACAAGCTCTTTCGGAGCCTTGGTGGCATCACTTACGTTCCGGCCTCGAATATGAACGCAGCTACAGTAATGTGCGGATCGACACCAGCCTATGTAGCACTGTTTCTGGACGGAATGGTGGATGGGGCTGTTGCGGCCGGCGTACCACGAGACAAGGCGAGGTCCATGGTGGCACAGATGTTGTCGAGTACTGCTGCTCTTTTGCAGTCACACAGTCCGTCCGAGCTCCGAGAGTCGGTGTGTGCCATGCCGGGCTGCACGATACAAGGTAACTTGGTATTGGAGGAGGGCTGCATCAGAGGCACCTCCGCGCGTGCGGTGAAGACTGCCATAGATGCTGCTAGCAAGCTAGGCTAATGCTCTTCGGACTTGCTCAACGCTAAAACAGTTAGCAGGTGGGTATGGGCGTGGATCAACTAATGTGCTTACACAGTGAAACATCCGGCTGAGGACAGCGATGTTCTAAGTAAAGTCGGCGCGAGCCCACGCCAGAACCCCATCATGCCGCCCCTTCTCCATGTCTCGATCACCGCCGCCCAGGCGCTGGCATATCTTGCTGTCTTACCAAAGCCATCGTTCTGTAGCTTGTTCTTTACCACATCAATGGGATAGCTGCCAATCCAGAATCCAAACCCGCCTGTAGCACCACATGGAATCAGCTCAAGCGCACCAATGTCGGCTCGTTGCTTGCCGGATAGCCTGCATACCAAGTACAGACTCGCTTCGAAAGCAGTAAAGTAAGAACCAAATGCCTGCGCTTCCTTTGCAAGTGCACAGGATACGCCTTGTAAAGCCCTCTGAGCCCGGCTTGGGCGACTATCTGCTTTATACAATCCCACGAACTCGCATACAGGCGTGCTGAGCCGTTGGCTTGCATTTGCATACGCGTTCGAATATGCTCAACTGGCCCAGTGATGATGCTGTTGCCCGCGCCTGCAACAAAACCGGATAAGTAAATCTGACCGAGTGTTATGGCTGTCGTCTTGGAGTGCGACTCGAACCACTCCCTCATCCGGTGAAAGGCTGCAAATTGTACGGCCACTGAGGCCCCGGAACCAATGAACGGCATAGTCGCACCTTTGTAAAACGCTCTGGGAGATTCTTGCGTCCATATACGCCGTGTCATTGCGAGAACACCGCTTGAATTGGCGGCTTGAAGGCGAACTCTGACGAGATCGAATGGTTGGCCAAGTCCCACCGACACAAGCCCTCCGCACGTTCCTGCGATGAGATCTGTAGACCATGGCGGCACCTTTGCTGATGCATCCAGACGGGGTTGAGCATACGTTGACGCCGAAACGATCTCAGCAGTGGCAGACATGTATTGCTGTTACTCCTCAGAAGCGCTTGATTCAAGACATCCTTTCTACCGCCATGCGGTCGACTGTAGAGCATAAGTCGCCTTCATGCTGTCCACTGGCATCGTCAGCTTCGCACAGACCAGTCAAATGATCTGAGGAGTCCCAAAAAGGCAACCGAATCCGTCGCTTTGCACTGAACGAGTAATGTAGATGAGAGACCGTAATACTCGGATGGGCAGCCGAGCCGTAGCACTGTGAGTTAGGCTCCGTCGCTCCAGCCCGGAGATGTCCACGCTTTCCTTCACTGCCTCCATCTATCTGCCTGCAGCCTTAGCATATCGTGAGCTCAACGACGTATAGTCCGGTCGATATATTCAGCAATTGACTGCATCGCAATGTCAGCCTTCTAATGAAATTAAGGATGACTACCGATAAAACAGCGCCCGTTGTCGTCGCCGGAGCGGGAGCTTGGGGACTGTCGACAGCCCTCCACTTGGTCAACGATGGATATACGAATGTCACCGTGCTGGATCGCGCATCAGAGCTCCCATCGCGCTACTCTGGAGCGTACGACCTGAACAAGATTGTGAGAGCCGAGTATGAGGACCCCTTCTACACCGATCTAGCATTGGAGGCTATTAGGGAATGGCGGACACCATTGTTTGGGCCTTATTATCATCACACCGGCTATGTCGTCGCCACATCAGACAAAGCTCCAGCGAAGGCAGTTCAGCATCTGGAGAAGGCATTGAGCTCTGTCCGGGATCATGCGTCGTTCAAGCCTTTCATATCGTCGTTAGATACGCCACTGAAGTTTAAGGACGTGTTCTGGCAGTTCAGCGGACCATCCAGGTTCAAAGGGTATGTTAATCGCCACGCGGGATATGCACATTCCTCCAATGCAATGAAGGGCATATATAGGCACCTCACAACGCGAGGCGTGCGATTTGTGCTCGGAGAAGCTGGGCGTGTGAGTGAATTAGTGTACAGTCGCAACCCACGACGCTGTGTCGGTGCACGGACCGCGGATGGCACTACTCATCAGGCGGCTCTTATAATAGTATGTTTGGGTGCATATGCTGCAGAGATTATACCCCAGGTTGGTACGTTTGCTGTGGCCAAATGCTGGTCGGTTGCGCATGTGCAACTGACGGAGGAGGAATGCGACTTCTTGAGAGGCATACCAGTGCTGAACATCCGGGATCTTGGCTTTTTCTTTGAACCAGATCCTGCGACCAGGCTTTTCAAGATTTGTCCGCTAGGCGCAGGGTACGTCAACACGAGTGAGACATCTGGCATTTCGCTGCCTCCTCTGGATGTGTTGCCACCACCACAAGATCACATTCCGCTCGAGGATGAGCGGAAATTGCGGCGTCTGCTCAGAGAGACGTTCCCGTGGATGGCAGGAAGACCTTTCGTCGACCAGAAGATGTGTTGGTTCTCAGACACATCGGATTCCGAATACTGCGTTGATTTCGTACCTGACACAGATCAGTCTGTCATAGTTCTGGCAGGCGATTCCGGTCATGGCTTCAGTATGTCCCCTTTTCGCAAGCCTGAACCAGTGAACAACTGGGAGCTAGTCTAGGTTGAGCAGCAGAGACACTTGTCTTGGAGGCTTGATCCTGCCTACCCTGGTCTCCTGGACCAGGTGTTTCCTTTGTTCTGCCAGCCAATATGATCTCCTCCTAACGGCCACTTCGTGGTTGTTTAGCTTTTGATCTGTTTCCCCATCTCTCATCTCACACGTTCCCTCAATGTTCTGGTTCAGGCTAACCAATACCGGCGGTGAACAGAGATGATGCCAATTGTCGGCTCATGGGTGCTGAGTCTCCTTCGTGACGGTCATCAGAAACTTCCAAGGTGGCGATGGCGGGCCGATAAGACCGGAGAAGGGACGTCCTGGGGCGACTCGGTGTCATGGCGGATCGGGCAAACAAAGGAGATCAGAGAGGTGATCGAGGAGAAGACACGCGTGACGCGTGCCAGGCTGTAGTCGCGACAATAAAGACGGTGGCATCGACAGCTGGCGTTGTGTTGCACTGAACACCAGTGTCACAGCACAGGCTGGTCCTGCCGTCGCCATACATACATCTAGGTAGCGACTGTCCTAGATAGTAATCTTGATGATAAGTGGTATGTAAGGAAGTTGGAAAGCGCGAACGGGTCATGAACGGTCATGGACGCCCATGCTTGGCGCGATCTCGATCTCGGCGAGCTTTATCGTCTTGTTTTCCTCCACCTTCTCTGGCCCTTACCTGTACGTCTCTTACTGTGACTCTGTGCTTCGTGTGCTCAAATGAGGGTCGCGACAAGTGCTTGTGCATGGAGCGCCGCCAGGACGGTGTTCGAAAGCGCGTCACAAATGCGTGTCTGCGATGCCGCCAGCAAAAGATCCGATGTTCGGGTCGGATGCCATGCGAGCAGTGCACTAAGCGCAAGCTGACGTGCAACTTCAACGACAGATCCGAGAAGATCTGGGTCACCAGAGGGTATGTCCAGATCCTTCCATTGGCTCTCAAAATGTCTGAGCTTCAATGGCTCATGGTGCGTATCTGCTGAATGCTGACCTCCGGAAAGGCTCATAGAAGACCTGGAACGACAGGCTCAATTGCATCAAACGCGGAACAGCCCTGGCGACGCGCGCAACTACGAGAACGACTTCAACCAAACAGATGTCCTGGACGAAGGTCAAACTACAGTGCTACCTACTGAGAACAGTCCCGGCGGAACGCCATCGGCTCAGCTAACGAATCCTTTCTCCCATCACGCGCCTCGGTATGTGCTGATAGCTCTGGGAGACCATGGTATCTTGGAGTTTCGTCCAACTGGGCGTTCAATCGGCGTGTCCTTGAGATCGTTCATGAGCGCCTCACTGGTGTTCACGCTCCAACGGACAACTTGTCGTTCGATGGGACATTGTACGAGCTCGGTTGGAACGGCGAGCGTGAGACTGCTGGGAGTCAACATCTTGTTCCGTCTGCTGACTACGCGATGTTCTTGATCAATGCGGTGAAGTTTCATTGTGGCCAAATGTTCCACCTCTTCGATGAAACAACATTCATGCAGGGATTCAAGAACTTCTATGACTCTCCTGCAGACGCAGACATTCACAGCTTCTGGTATATTCATTTCTTGTTAATCCTTGCCTTCGGGAAAGCCTTTGTGGCCCGGAAGAAGATGCCTCGCAAAGCACCTGGATCTGACTTGTTCGTCCAAGCCATGAAGCTCATGCCTGATATTGTGTTCCTGATCGAACAGCCTCTTCAAGCCATTGAGATCCTTTGCTGCAAGGCACTCTACCTGCAGTGCCTTGATTTTCGATGTGCAGCATATAACGTGATTGGTCAAGCATTGAGAATAACTTTGGAACAAGGCATGCAAACAGACATGCGCAACCAAGGTCTCGACGAACTGCACGTTCAACGATGTCTCAACGTGTTCTGGACGGTATACATATTGGATCGCCAGATGTCTTCGTTGATGGGCGTGCCGCTAGCGCTCAAGGACAGTGAAATCAGCACTCCTCTACCAACATTTGCTGGGGCACCTCAAAAAAGCATGGCTTTGCAGCTACACGTCAAGCTATCGAAAACCATTGCGCAAATTCTCAACACTGTGTATGGTAGCGAGGGAAGGCTGACGAAGAGATTCATTCAGAGTACTAAGTCATCCCTCCAGAGCATTGCAGAAGTCACGGTACAGCTCAGAGAAACTTTTGAAGAGCTGAGAGGTCAGAGCTCTGGGGGCTTATCAAGGCTTGCCGCTCATTTGGACCTTCTGCATCATCAATGTGTCGTTGTTGCTACCAGGCCACTTCTATTCAGTCTCCTCAATAAGCGATTCGATGAGCCAAGCGGCATTTCATCTCTCATCAAATCGTCTTCCAGTGCCAAAGCGCTCCTGCAAATGTGCGTTGAGTCTTCTCAGCATATTGTTGCTGTACTCGACCGCTTGAAAGACCAAAGCCTTCTGGAAAGCTTTCTACCTTTTGACCTGGAAGCTGCTTCAGCTGGCAGCATGGTTATTCTGATAGCCCCTGTACTCGACGCAAACCTGCTTAGCAGCAGTGCGCCGTGGCTTGATATACTGTACTCGGTACTGGACGAGATGGTTGCACAAGGTCAGGTACAAGCATCGAAACGCAAAGAGGAGCTGCAAAGATTACAGCAAGTCTTTGAGCAGTTGCCCCTACCGCTGACAGAAACGCCGGAAGTTCAGCAGCCTGCTCCACTGGACTCCGGCCAGGACGGAACAAATGCATATTCAACGATCCCTGGTAATGGGCTGGACGATTTTGGATTCATGGACGACGCCATCTGGCGGACGGATCTCACAGCAGAGCAACTGATGGCTGTAGCGGACAGTCTGGATTTGGACGGCTTTGAGTGGATGACAACCGTGTCTTCGGGCCTTGGCAACGACTAGCAAGGCGTCTGACGACTCTCTTGCTTTCCCTCACATCCGCGATAACCGCACAAAGATCAATTTCACAGATGATTCCCAACTTGGAATATTGTACTTGCAGCCGGGGTGTGCCAAGCTCTGCTGTGGTGCACTCCCATGTGTTATCGGATGGTCACCCGAGCATAGTGTACGAACCCCACGGCCTATGGAACATCGTTCTACCCCGCCCTTATCAGTCCAACAGTATGCTGCAACAGTTCCGTGGGGATCGTCTCGATCAGGTCATACAATCCAGTCTTCGATCGGTTTTAGGCAGCCCAAGTATGGACCGTCAGATAGACCGAGTAGAACTCAAGCTCGATGCCTGCCGTCGAGGACACAGACAATTGACACGGCACGAATATGGCTAACAGTAAACCATCATGTCTGCGTCTACGCTCGATCTTTGCACCGAGCTTGTCAAGAGCATTCTCTCGTCGCACAGACGCCATGTCCCGCCTGCAGAACAACTTCTAGCCAGTACTCCGTCGCCGAATGCCGCTACCACGGACGCGGGTGAGCCCATGGCCGCCAGATGTCTGGCAAGACTACCAACACCGAGTGTCCTACGTAGTCTTTTTCTGAGCATGTTCTTTACATCGCCGATGCTCTTCAGGCCTGGTCTAGCAGTGTTCAAGACCATTGCAAATTCGAAATCGCCATTTCTCAGCCCGGATAGGAATCCGCTGCTACGGGCATGTGTCAAGCCACTGGTGTATGACCAATTTTGTGCTGGGACGAATGTCGCGGAGATCAAGAAAACCTCGGCTGGCATTAAGAGATTGGGCTTCTCGGGTGTTGTGTTGTGTTATGGCAAAGAAGTGCAGCTCGACGCCAACAACAAGCCTATTGGCTATGATGGGAAGGGCTCCAGTATGGAGGCCGAGGTTGACGAGTGGCGGGATGGCAATTTGCGAACACTAGCCATGATGGATGCAGGGGATTGGCTAGGTATGAAACTGACAGGAGCCGGTCTGCACATCACCAAAGCTCTGCTGGATGGCGGACCTGCTCCAGCCAAGTGGGTTGAAGCTATGGACGCTCTTTGCCAACAGGCCCGCACTCAGAACGCCAGAATCTGGATCGATGCAGAGCAACAAGTGTTGCAGAAAGGCATTGACAGGTGGGCGTTTGACGTGATGAGACGCTACAACACAAGCACGCGAGCCCTCGTGTACAACACAGTCCAGGCATACCTCAAGACAGCCCGTGACAAGGTACAACATCAACTTGCAACTGCCTCGCGGGAGGGATGGCGGTCAGGAATCAAGCTTGTCAGAGGTGCATACATCAGCAACGACCGGAGAGATCTGATTCACGACACGAAAGAGGGGACGGATAAGTCGTACAACAGTATCGTGGAAGATCTGCTCCACGGCAAAGGCTTCCCTGTTCTAGAAAAGAATCCGAATTTCGAGCATGATCTACTTCTCGCCGGACACAATACTCAGACCATTCGAGGGGCAGCGAGAATGGCGAGCAGCCTTCGTTCAAAAGGTCAGCTGAAAGTCGTGCCAGAATTTGGGCAGCTGCAAGGTATGGCCGACGACATCGGGTGCGAGTTGATCCAAAGCGGTGAGGACGCACTGCGCGCTGACACCAACGCCTTCATCCGAAAGTCTACAAATGTTTGACATGGGGCTCGGTCCAAGAATGCATGCAGTACTTGACGAGAAGACTGGTCGAGAACCGTGGTGCCGCGGATCGAATGCAAGAAGGGGCTGGGTTGCTGCGGCGGGAGTTAATGCGAAGGATCGGGATCGGCAGTGAATGAGAATGATTCTTACTACCTCAAAATCTATCTGGAACGACTGTAACGACCCAGTGCACACTTACCTAGTTCTGAGAGCTGATGCAACGGAATGCCTGTGATGGCTCTACCGCCGAGTTTCCATCCCGGACCATATTGCGTATACCATCGACGGAGCTTCGCTCTCTCTAGCTCGCCTCCTTGGGTGCTTTTGACTCCGCCTTCAGATCGCACAGAGTCTTGAGACGAGACTTCTGAGTCAGATTCAAAGTCATCTCCGAATGCCCATTTCGCAACACGGTCGAGATACTGATCTGTCGTTTCTGACTTACCGTTATAATCACACTCATCCTCAGCCAGACTGCATTTCCGAGAGCGTCTTCGGTGATCGTCGTTCTTCGGACTTTGAGGCGTGTTCTTGTTGACTCTTCCTCTTGTGAATCCGGTCTTCCTTTCAACTTTGTGTTGCCGCTGCTTATGGAATCGCAGCTCTGCCTCTGTGTTGAATACTGAACTGCATTTATAGCAGTGATGTTTCGTCGCTCGCCTTCGCGCCATGTCTGTTGTACAGAAGAGACAGAGAGTCCTCCACAGAGTCGCTCTTGCTTTGGCCCAAGTCGCCGACAAGTTCAAGTCTGCTGGCTTTGTGTCGAGGACAATTGAACGATTGGATCAACAATGAGAATGTAATCGAGGAAGATCTGTGCTCAAAAGAGATGCAGCCGTCCATTGTAGCAACATCTCCACCCGACAATGGAAGTCGCTGTGCCTCCACTGTCCATCCCCTGGTGGAAAGTGCCAGTGATGGTCGATGCCCCTTCTAGTTTCGCGAACCACAGAATGTGGAAGGTACGATGCCGCTACTGCAAATTTTACATCACGCTCGCACGAGACTTGAACAGGCACGATGAAGCAGAGAGAACGTACCTAGGTAGTCTCCGCTGGTGGCAGGCTCCAATCCCGGGTCACGTGTGATCAGGAGAAATCTCAGATCTACTGACGAGAGCGGGAGCGCACAGAGCGGTTTCTTTGACCCCACGGAAGCGCGAGCAATGCGAGGGTGGTCACCAGAACCGAATTTTAGAGCTCGCAGGCCTCTCCGAAGCGCATGCTCACGGGCTTCGTACGTTGGGAGCATATCTGTATTACTGTCTAACACGATTGGTCGAGTCCGTAGTCGGTTCCGGATACTTTTCCCGTGTCCCTGCCGAGGGTGGCTTCAAGCACACTTGCTTGTTCCAGCACACCAAGGGTCGATAGCGATAGCGCTTGCTCTACTGGGTTGAATGCAGTTGCCCATGATGTGATTGACGCGTGAGAAGCGACCAGAGTCCTAGAAGTGAAGGAGCAGATGTGAAAAGTGAAAGAAGTGCAGGCGAGACGGCACTTGTTCTTGGCGTAGTAGCCTGATTGCGCCTTCCCGGATTTAGCCTAGACCGCTCTTTCCACAATTTCAGGGCTTCAACTTTTGTTCAGCGATTTCTTTAACACCAAGTCGCAGTACACTTTCTTCTTGCCATCTTCATCACCACTACTCAACACCCTCGGTCGTCTGTTGTACGTCGCAGTCGATCGTTTTCTTGCACTTCTCCCACAGAAAACCTCCTGCACAGAAAAAAAACTTGAAAACCCCAGAAAAACCACGAGTCGTCAGATGTAAGTATCTCCTAAATTGCTAATCGAACCAACTTCGCCGCAACGCTCCCAACCCATCGCCTGCGGAAGACACATCACTGACGGACATTCAGCGACGGCTTCTACCTACATATCGCCCACATCCTCCAGCTTACATTAAGCATCAATCATTCACCAGAACAGTTGGAATTAGCCCCTACAAATTGTAAGATAACCCGAGCGGTCTGGTTGATCTGTGGACTATCATCCAGCCAGCTGCTGACAATTCTCATAGCAATATGTCTGCTGAAGTTGCCTCTAACCCCCAGGCTGAGGGCCCTAACGGCTCTGCCGACACTCCCTCCCAGAATGGCACCGCTCCCATCAATACCAGCGTTCAAGCCGATGGCGCAGGCGACAGCGGTGACCAGACACCTCTGTCTGCCAACCCCAATGCGGCTCACTCTGCCTCTCTCTACGTCGGCGAACTCGATCCGTCCGTCACCGAGGCCATGCTGTTCGAACTCTTCTCTTCCATTGGTCAGGTCGCCTCTATCCGTGTCTGCCGCGATGCAGTCACCCGTCGCTCGCTCGGCTATGCCTATGTCAACTACAACAACACCGCTGATGGAGAGCGTGCTCTCGAAGATCTGAACTACACCAGCATCAAGGGCAGACCTTGCCGTATCATGTGGTCGCAGCGCGATCCTGCTCTCCGTAAGACCGGCCAAGGCAACGTCTTCATCAAGAATCTCGATAACGCTATCGACAACAAGGCTTTGCATGACACTTTCTCCCAGTTCGGCAATATTCTTAGTTGCAAGGTTGCGCAAGATGAGATGGGCAACTCAAAGGGCTACGGCTTCGTCCACTATGAGACCGGTGAGGCTGCGAACAACGCCATCAAATCTGTCAATGGCATGTTGCTCAATGACAAGAAGGTCTTTGTCGGTCATCACATCCCCAAGCGCGATCGCATCAACAAGTTCGAAGAGATGAAGGCCAACTTCACCAATGTCTACATCAAGAACATTGACGAGTCGATCACTGATGAGCAATTCCAGAAGCTCTTCGAGGAGTATGGAGATGTCATCTCCGCCAGTATCACTCGCGATGAGTCAGGCAAGAGTCGTGGCTTCGGTTTCGTCAATTACACCAGTCACGAGTCAGCCAACAAGGCTGTTGAGGAGCTCAATGACAAGGACTTCCACGGCAAGAACCTCTACGTTGGTCGTGCCCAGAAAAAGCACGAGCGCGAGGAGGAGCTGCGCAAGCAATACGAGCAGCAACGTTTGGAAAAGGTTGCCAAATACCAGGGCGTCAACCTCTACATCAAGAATTTGGCCGATGAAGTCGACGATGAAGAGCTACGCGAACTGTTCACCCCCTTCGGTACCATCACCTCAGCCAAGGTCATGCGCGATACCACCGACCGTGACGTTGAAGACGATAAGGACAAAGAGAACGATAAGGAGGAGGTTGAGAAGCCTGCCGAGGAGACCAAGTCGGCTTCCGATGAGGAGAAGAAGGACATCAAGGAGGAAGACACCAAGAAAGACATCAAGGAGATCAAGAAGGACGGCAAGACCATCCAACGCACCTTTGGCAAGTCGAGGGGCTTTGGCTTCGTCTGCTTCAGCAACCCTGATGAGGCTTCCAAGGCTGTCTCCGAGATGAATACCAAGATGATCCGGGGCAAGCCCCTCTACGTTGCCTTGGCCCAGCGCAAGGATGTGCGAAAGAACCAGCTTGAGGCTAGCATCCAGGCTCGCAATACTCTTCGTCAACAGCAACAGGCTGCAGCTGCTGGCATGCCTCAGGGCTACATGCAAGCTCCTGTCTTCTATGGTCCTGGTGGTCAGTTCATGCCTGGTCCCGGCGGTCAGCGCGGAATGCCTTTCGCTGCTCAGCCTGGCATGATGATGCCCATGCAGGGCGGCCGTGGTCAGTTCCCCGGTGGCTTCCCTCAACAGGGCGGCCGTGGCATGCCTCAAGGCGGTCAGATGCCGCAGTTTGGCATGCCTGGTCAGATGCCGTTCATGCAAAACCCCGCGGCCATGGCCAACGGCATGTACAACCCGCAAGCACTTGCTCAAATGGCTCAGATGCAGCAGCAGGGCGGTCGTGGTCAGGGTCGCGGCCAGATGGGTGGTCCACAAGGTATGCCGCTTATGCAAAGTATGCAGGGCACTGGCCGTCAACAATTCCCTCAAGGTGGCCGTGGTAACATGGGCGGAATGCCGCCAATGGGTGGTCGTGGTGGTCCTCAGGGCCGTGGTCAGCCTGGTCGTGAGGATGCCGCTGCTCCAGGTCAGCTAACTGGCCTTGGCTCGATGCCCCCTCAGCAACAGAAGCAGATGCTTGGTGAGGCCATCTATCCCAAGATCCAAGCCATCCAGCCCGAGCTTGCTGGCAAAATCACTGGTATGCTTCTGGAGATGGACAACTCCGAGCTTGTCTCCCTGTGAGTATTCTCGAAGACATTTCCTTCTGTCTCTTACTGACCTTCTGTCACAGTGTCGACGACGATGTCGCTCTTCGCAACAAGGTCGACGAAGCCATGGCTGTGTATGATGCTTACATGAAGGAGCGTGGTCCCAAGGACGGTGCCAATGGCACTGGTGAGGAGGCTGGTGCTGAGGCTGCGGCTGCTTGAGTGTCCAGCGACAACACTCTTCCTGAGCATGCTCACTCGTTTTCGATCTCGATACCCTCTATGAATAGTCCAAAAGTTTGATACCTTGCAGAGATTATGCTGCTGAGTTGCGACATCAAACAAAGGTGGACCGCTGCTTACCGGCGAATGGCGTTCATTTCAAGCTAGGGACAGCTCGAAACGTTCTGAGAGGCTTATTCCTTGAGTCATATGTATGAATAGAGATTCATCTTCAAGAACAGCAATGCCAAACCTTCTCTTAGGGAGAAATCTTGGAGGTTGCTACCATAATACTGCGCGAGACCAGACGTGATCCCGGCCGTTGATGACAGACCACTTGGTGGACCTTCGGGTCAATTCTTGCTCAGTGAAGTACTAGCCATTCGCACCAGCAGCTGGAAGTTCGAGATGCCCAACGAGGCATAACCAGGACTGCCTTCGAGGAACTATTCGAGCATCTGAGAAATACTATTCAGGCGAGGCGGTTACAAAGAGCACATTGGCGACAGCTCCCATCCGCTGGTCTTGCTGAAGGCCTGGAAAGAACAAGAAGTAGCCTGCTGCTCCTTCCCAGCAGTCATGTTGCCCAAGTCTTGCTGTTCAAGTTGTGAGCATTGTCAGGACAACCCTTTCATCACCGATAGCAAACATGCAACTGATTTGCCCATCAACTGATAGTCACTGTTGCCTCATGATCCCATCACAACAACCTAGAACTTCAAACGACACCACTATCTGCATTGTCAGCGTCTTTCGCGTCTTTTCATGCCTCTTCACCAACCCTGAGTTTCACCTGCAATCCGCGACATCATGTCTGCCGAAAACACTTCCACCAAAAACCTTGACCTGGAAGTCGCCCGCCATCAGAAAGAGTTCGCCACAATCAAGAGCAACATGTCGTTCCTTCAAGCATACGACAACTTCATGTCGTCGCGATCTCCCGAGTTCTTCACCGTGTTCAAGATCCGCATGAGCGACCTCACTCGCCGCGATCCCGACCCGAGAAAGCAACAACTCACGCTCAATGATCACCTCATGCTGAACCATACCAAGCAAGGCACCGACTTCCACAGCCATGGCGCCATCTACTACTACCTCTTGACCTACTACAAGATCGATCTCAACCAGCCCAATCCCAATTTCAGTCTGGTCGATGAGGAGATCGCTGCGTTCTTCCCAAACCACGATAGTATGACGTGCCGAGTCACTGCCCAAAGCTGCTGTCGCTAATTTGTACTCCCAGTCAAGCCTGAAGATCGCGACATGGACGACGAGATTTCTTCTGCTCGCTTCGACTTTCCATCTTCCTCCACCAATATCAACGAAGATCGCCCGGTCAACCCTCAGCCTCAACGCCAGCGCCTCCTCGATGCTTACGAAGAAGCATGTAACGAGTACATCGCTGTCGCCAACGCTCGCAATGGCAGCACCCTCCAGGCCGCAAAGTACCTGCGCGACACTGCCGAGAACTTGGTCATGTTCATAGATGACCTGGAAGTCGATCCCAAAAAGCGTGAAGATATCCTGTTGATGTTCGAGACTGCTAAGTTAGCTGTTCAAGAACTCACTGGTGGCAAGATTCGCAAGTTCGATACTGGCTACCGCAGCTATCAACGTCATAACAGCGGCGGTGCTGAGAGAAAGCCTGCTCGACCCAACTATCGCACTCGAGCCCGCCTTGCTGAAGGCTATGATGTTCGCAACAATGGTCGTCGGTCTGTGTCTCCGGTCCAAGATCGTCCTTACTACCACAGTCCGCGAGGTCAATCCAGCACTCCAGGTCCCAGACACCCATCCCAGTACAGTACCTCGGAGCGCTACTATCCGCGCGACGAGCCAGCCCGTCAATATTACGAGCCTCGCGATGACCCGATCCGTCAATTCCAGGAACCTGTCCGTCGCGATTCCGTCCGTGACACTCAAGATCACCTTGATAGCCAGCGCGGCTCCTGCCGTCTCCCGTCAGAACGTCCAGCTGCTGCCTACCCATACTCCATGGGCGCCTACGAAGTCCGAGCTCCAGAATACCGCCTTGGCGATGAATACCGCGTTCGCGACCACCAGCAGTCCGGAACCTATCGCGTAGAAGGCAACACCATCAACACCTCGACCGGCTACACCGGGAATGATTTGAGAGGCCGTAACAAGGGTCGCGGTCACTCCGGTATTCCATACGGCTACAATCAGGACCGTCAGGTCGACTCCTACAAACCTGGCCAGTCTTAGGAGGACAGTGGTCGCTATCATGTAGAGCAGGTTCAGTGGGAGGTTTGTAGGATATGTGAGTCAACGGGATGGCATGACAGGATGAGTGGCCACTCCTTCGGGGAGGACGCTGTAGCGGTGAAGTCGCAGGCGCTGCGACACGACAAACGAAGTGTTCCATATCATACCTGAATCACAATGTCTTCGACAGAGTGAGTCGTTAGAATAAAGCTGAGCTTTTCCGCCCCCGGAGCCCGCCCTGAGACTGGGGGCATCTTAAGCTTTCCCCGCGCTGACCTCAGGTGTACCCGTTGCAGTTTCTTACCAGCGAATTCCTCCTCACCACTCTGCCTACATGTAATACCTGCGCAGACAGCGCCACCGAGCACCGCAGCACAACGCCGCCGCCACAGCATGAACATGTGTTGAGCAACTTACTATTATTATGAAGAGGTCACAGCGACCAACACTTCGCGCCTGTTACCCAGAGGTGCCTGCCGGCGCATTACGAAGTGACTGCCGACCTCGGAGCCATCCAATATGACCACAGCGCCCTCGAGCGGAATGCCTTGCGGCGCAAGAGACACTGGCTATGCCGACAGCTATGCCGATCACGACCGTCATGAAGGCCAAGCAGGCTCGTCGTCATCCGCCGCTGCAGCACCACGAAGTCGCCACCTTCCACACCTCCAGCCTAAGCAGGCCGAGGACGGGGATCACGACGACGACGATGTCAGTAACGCCAGCGTACCACCCACGCCCTCCTTCCCTCCACCCCACCGCTCAAACACCCTCTCAAAGTCGTACACACCTTCAGAAGAGTCTTCTCTTGTGCGCAAACTCGACCGCAACCTAACCCTCTTCCTCTCCCTGTTGTACCTCCTCTCCTTCCTCGACCGCTCCAACATCGGCAACGCGCGCATCGCCGGCCTGTCCACCTCTCTCGATCTCACCTCCGCCCAATACTCCAGCCTCCTGACGGCGTTCTACATCACGTATATCCTCTTCGAGCCGCTGATCCTGTGCTACAAGTTCCTGCCGGCAAGATGGTATATCCCTGCCTGTGTGGTCGCGTGGGGCGTCGTGGCGAGCTGTCAGGCTACGGTGACACGGTATGGGCAGTTGGTGGTGTTGAGAGGGATGTTGGGAGTTACGGAGGCGGCGTTTGGGCCGGGTGTGCCGTTCTACATGACGTTTTTCTACCGGAGAAGGGAATTAGCGTATCGGGTCGGGCTGCAGGTCAGTGCGGCGCCGTTGGCGACGAGTTTTGCGAGTTTATTGGCCTGGGGGATTGTGTGGGTGAATGAGCGGGTTGGGATTGGTGGGGTGGAGAGCTGGCGGGTGTTGTTTCTGGTGGAGGGGTTTCCGAGTGTGCTGGTGGGCGTGTGGGCGTTGTGGTGGGTGCCGGATGGTCCGGGGAGTGCGAGGTGGTTGTCGGTGCGGGAGAGGAGGGTTGCTGTGCTGCGGCTGGTGGGTGAGGGTGGGAGTGGGAGCGAGAAGCATACTTCGACAGCAGCAACGTCGCATATGGGATTTGGGAGCCGCACGACGACATTTCTCCGCGAAACAGTCAACACCCTCCGCGACCCCAAGTGCTACCTCACCGCTTTGATGTTCTTCTCGGTCAACGTCAGCTTCGCTTCGTTGCCAGTCTTCCTCCCAACAATCGTCAACGATATGCGCTTCTCACCCGTGGCATCCCAAGCACTCGCCGCACCACCCTACCTGTGCGCCTTCGGTTTTGTACTCCTCGTGGGCCACTATTCCGACAAGATCTCCGACTCCCGCGGCATCTTCTTGTGTCTGTGCGCCGGCATGTCCAGCCTCGCTTACTTTGTCATCGCGATCGTCGGTGCTGTACTCAACACAGACTCCACGCTGAGCATCGTGTTGAGGTACGCGAGCGTGTACCCGGCCGCAATGGGGCTGTTCAGCAGTGTGGTGCTGATCATAACGTGGACGCTGAACAACCAGGAGAGCAGTAGTGGGAAGGGAGTCGCGATGACTTTATTGAATGTTTTGGGACAGTGTGGGCCGTTGGTCGGGGTGAGAGCGTTCCCAGATGGCGATGCGCCGGGTTTTGTGAGGGGAATGTGTGTTTGTGGGAGTTTCATGGCTGGGGTAGTGGGGCTGAGCGTGTTGCTGAGGTGGTGGCTAGGGAGGTTGAATAGGAAAGGAGGAGGCGCTGGCAACGGAGGCGAGATGGAGATGCGGGAGAGGTTGATGGGTGGTGACGGTGATGGTGATAAGGAAGAAGATGATCTGAAGTTGAAGGAGGTGAGTAGGAGGGAAGAGGAGAGATTCGCATTCATGTTGTAATGATTTGACGAGGCAAGCGCTGTCTATATGACCAACAGTCCATGCCATTAGATTTCCGTTCGTGTACTAGTAGGGTATGCGCAATGACCACGTCAAGGGCAAGTTCAACACGGTCATTCCAAGGTTGCTGCGAGGCAAGTGCGACGCTCAATTAATGCTCGCAAGCCGGTTGACGGAAATCAAGTTGCGAGGGCGTTCGAGGATGGTCCTAATACAGCAACATACTCGACCGCTGCTTGAGAGTATCGTTCTAGGAAGCCATCAATGTAGAATGTCAGTTCGGCACAAGTGCTGTACTTCATCTCCATCAATTCTTCACTGCCGAGCTATGCAATCAGATCTGCTTCGCATCACCCTCGACAGGCCAAATACCACGGCTCTTACACTCCCTGTATTCCGCTACGCCTTCTTCGAGCTCTCACTCCCAGAAGGCCTCTTCCCATCCTCCGCCTTCTTCGCCCCCATATCCTGCATCTCTTTCATGCTCATATCATTGTTCTCATGCTGCGCGACCTGCTCGCTCTGGCTGGCCAACTCTGGCTTCCATTCGCCCTCGCCGGACTTGGCCTTGCCAACGCTGTCGTGCTTGTGTGTGTCGATCTTCTCTGAGCGCTTGTCGTCGTCTTTGTGGGCTGGTGTTAGAGGACCTATGTATGAGTGGGGGCGTTGCTTGCTTTTAAGGAGAAGACACAGTGTAGGTGCGGAGGAAAGGGAGAGGAGGGAGGCTGCTGGGTGTGAAGGGGTGGGGAGTGGACTAACGGTGGTCTGCTTCGGACATGGCGCGGTTTATTGAGCTTGTGTGGAAGGTAGCTGGTACGGCGGCATGACGGCGAGCTGTGAGGAGAGTCGCTGCTCGTGAGGAGCGTATCGAGCGGGCGAGGTACGACATTGTGTGTTGAGTGTCTTGGTTGTGTAGACGGTGGAAGACGTATAGTTCAAGGGCAGTCGAATACCGTGGCCTTGATCGCTACTGCAGAGAATGGTCAAGGAAACGAGACAGGAGCTTGGAGCTGCTACCCGTCCATTGTTACAGTTATCGCAGCCGAGGCCGTTACCTAACCGTGACGATGGTGCTGGAAAAAATGGCATCCGCAATCATGACGTAGGGCTACGTAGGTCAGGAACGACCCGTGCGATCGGCCGGGTCTCATTTCCGACTTGTGAGCGGCCAATGATGGGAAATGAATTTCCAGCATCACATTGTGTATAGAATTTCGTCCTGGGCTGCCTCTGGTAACGAGACCCTGTTTCTACTAATCTATATGGTATCTTACATCAGGCTTGAACCCCCACAAACAAACACTCGCCGCCATCGCCATTGCTGTGCACATTATCAATGCTGAGCTTTCGCCCAAGTGCTTCTAATGATGCTCCAGTATCGCTCCGGATCAGAAGCCATGTGGAAGACGTGAGGCGTGTCAATGAATTCTTCGACCGTCACCATCTCTCCTGAAGCGCCCTTCTCAGCCATCAGCGCCCTAGCAAATTCGGCATGGGCTTCGACGTCGCGGGACAGAATCATAACATCCTTCTGAGAATGTATGTATGTTCTGGGGATGTGCGACTTGAGAAATGCTCCTTCTGGGTCGTTCAGTACACGATATAGCTTGTATGTGGCAAGCTCGGCGATGCCAAGGCGGTCGATCACGATTGTTGATGAGATGGCAGCATGTATCATTGCACTTCCTACAAGGTAGGAGAACCAAGACTTGGGCAGGCTGGTTTGAAGAGCTGAAATCGTTTCGTTGTAATGTGGTTTGCCTGGGGTGCTGTCCATGACTATTGCTGATATCGGCAGATCTTGGCCGAAGAGATTCTTGTAACATTCGGCGAGTTGGACAGCGCCGTGAGATCCGCCGTTGGAATAGGTCTGCAAGAGTATTCGGGGCGTTCTGTCGGCTACGCTTTCCACATACTCGTGGATAGCCTTCGCTGCTGGGTCGAACATGGGCCTCTGCGCGGCGTCCCTCCGGAAGAGCATGTTGTCAATTTCTTGCTGAACTAACAGTATCTGGCTGTTGGGATATACCCCTTGGTACCCCTTGAGGTACTTGCTTATGTGTCGAGGTCTAGCGAAAGCCCACGAACATATTATAATAAACCCCGGATCGTTTGGGGCGGATGCCGTAGTCTCTGTTGGTGTATACAAATGCACCTTGTCACGTATCTTCACAAACCCTTCCAGAGGGTCGACCGGTAGCTGCGTTGTTGCAATTTCAACGTTGCCATCTGCTGTTTGTCGTGGGAGCTCCATCGTAGCTGGTATTTTGCGCTTATGAGGTCGATCAGCCAGGTCGAAGTCGACCATGACAGGGACCGCCATGGTGTATATAGTCGGAAGATCCCAGCCAAAAACTCAACAGATTTTGTGCAATTCACTCAACTGTGGACATGCGATAAGCCTAGCGCAATGTTCACGCCAGGGACTGTACGATCGCTGAATAGTGCTGTTGCCTGTGCTGCAAGATTCCTGGTCTAATCCGTAGAATGCTCCTGCGCAAGCAATGCCGCTGCCCAAACCCGGTAACTCCTAAGGACGATGCAGAACTTGGAACCTTAACACTTGCGAGCCGAGGTACAGCGGACGAAACACGGCGCAAGACAAGCAAAAATGCGCAACGGAAATGCTGGAAAATGATTAATCAGCTCAGAAATGAAGCCGCCGTGGACGTGTATGAAATGTGTTCAGGAGTGGAACGCCGGCCATGCCGAAGCGGATAGGAAGTTGGAAGTTTCTTCGAGGAGGCCTTGGCGTCGTTTCCACCCAATTGAGCCAGTAATCCGATCTTCTGGGCGCGCTTACCGTTCCTCGCGAGATCAACCCTGGATTGATACGCTATACGACCAGGTAATCGATGATAAGTCAGGCACAGAAGTCTTCATCGTCATGTCTGCGACCAGGATCTAAGCAGTACTGTTGCATTTATACATGTATTTTTGTCACGAATGACTCAAGCCGCTGTGGGCATCTTGCTGTGGCAAGTTTAACCTTTCCCATCCAATTTGTATACTTCAGAGACATTGTCCTCAAAGATCGTGACCACAACGTCACTCGTCGCCGAATGTTGTCTGCTGCGCCCAACACGCCGGGAAAGCCCAAGGCGTACGGCACAAGGTGACTGGTCATGCTCTGCTGTGATGCTCGCCAAGTGGAACGCGATGTGTATCAACACCACGCATACTTGGCTCTGCTCATCCATACCACATCTGATGGGTCCGCGTCGACACTCGTCCAACGCAGACTGCAAATATGTTCTTGATCGCGTTGAACGACTTGCAGGTCATCGCCTTTGTCGCTTCTGAGCTTCCTGGCGGCTGAAATCACAACCTCAGAAGGATCCCACAATTCGACACCTGCTGGCATCTCTGATACACTTGCTTCCTGCTGAGCACGCAATAACAAGGCCTCCAGGATCTCCTGTGCGCCAGGGCTCTCACGCGCTGCAGGTGGCATAGCTACATGTAGAATGTGAAGCATCGAGCCTTCTCTGGACGCAGCGTACGTTCTGGTCCAAATGACAGCAATCCCCGATTCTCTATGAATGGCGCCTTTCACTTTGGGCAGAGGTCGGCCCAAGGCCTTTGAGACAAAGTTCTCTCGTGCATGGTGCCACCCGAAATGGGGCAAATCAGGCGCCACAGCGACGATAGTCTTGCAGGATTGGACCTGGAAACGGAGATGAGGTCATCTTTCAGATAGTCGGTCGCAGGAATGGAGGAAAGATCGTCCGCCATCAAGTCGGTAACGGCAGGTAGGTCTTTGCTAAAGTGTTGATAGTCGCCATCGGTCATCGCTGCAAGGTGAATGTGTGTCGAAGCGAAAGCCTGCCAACCGAATCGAGAGTAGAACTTCTGGCCAATGTCGGAGTAGAGGACGGAAAATGGGCTCCGGTCGCCGTTGTGCTGCTGGAATGTCTCGAGCTTCTTTCCAAGCTCGGTCATCATGCGTGACGCGTACGACTTGCCTCTGTGCTCAGAACGGGTGAAGACCGATCCAATGCCATGAATGAGGACTTCTTTCAACTTTCCGTTTTGTGCACAGTAAGCCTGCATTGGTATCGTTTCACACGATGCTAGAATCGACCTGTTGCCATCCTGATCGAGCGGCAGACGGGACGATGTCAGCAGCCATGCTACCTCTTTTCCATCTTTGGTGAGATCTTGTGCTAGGAGATGCTTCTCTCTTTTCAGATACTGCTCGATCGTCAAAGGACCTCTCCATTCGTTCCCGTTGAGCCGAGAGGTCTGCATATGCTCAGAGAACGTAGCGATCACTAGCTCGATGTCGTCGTCGTTCGAAGGTGGAAGCTGCGCCGAGTCGACTGGAGGCGGCAGGTCGATAGGTCCGTCATTGTTCGTGACCGAGATCGCCATGATTGAGTACAAAATCGAGGCTGGGGAAGTAAAAGCTGCTACAAATCAGCCTGCCCAAAGATTACACAAAACGAATAGTCGGTCTAGAGTCTGTAGGGACAGGATTGAAGATGGTATATTTGAGACCACTTCACGGCACGAAATGGAGCAGATGTGTCATCACAAGGCGCGCATTTACCACTCTGACGGTTGTTGCTGCCACGACGCAAGCGCGACGATGAAATCCGGGGTAGCGATGTCCCCGTTACCACAGTGTGGACCACAAAAACTAAGAAACTGTCCGGAAAAGGGATCGTCAGATGAAGTCTTTGTCAAGGAAAATTGATGAGAGGTCGAGCACATGTCACGAGCCGTGAGGTCGCTGCAAGGGCCAGCCGCGAATAGCCGCCGAAGTTCCACCGTTCGTGCTAATCTGAGGTAGTATAAGCGCCAGGAGATACGCGAGACCTACCGCCGGGAGGGAAATGAGGGAGCATCATCGAAGAAAGCAAAAGAGCAGTTTGCTTGCCATTTAGTAGCGTCCGAGGCTGGCATCGGACAGCTCTTGTAAATATACTTGGACGCAGACCGGTGTGTCAAGCTGAAGTTCTGTGGATGTTCGTGCAATGTTTGATTCTATCGCATGCATAGCCTAGGCAGACGCCCGGGCGCAGGTGACCGGTCACCTAAATCACCATCCAGTCCCGAAGTCTCAGATAGGAGCGACGAATACGGTTCACTTATGATCCAGTACTTTCCCTTGCTTCCCTGTTGAACGCGATGATGAACAGGTCGGGATTCTCTTGACGGAAGTCACCACAAGCCTGCCCGACAAAGGCAACAGAGCTTTCCCAAATCTCCATCACCTGAACGATTTAGACATTCCGGATATCACTGTGCTCATGAACCTCAGCCTGAGGCGGGGCAAGAGCAAGCAAGGCAACGACTTGACTTCACCTTGCAGCTTCACGCTATCTTGCCATCGCTTCAACTTCGATCAGTGTGCCTTGCCCTTGGGGGGCGTTCGCGTTCGCAGTACTGCTAGCGCGCGCCTGCTAAAGCACTGAAAGGTCTTTCCTTTCAGATCTAACTAGCCTTAGTTGCAACAAGCAGAAGTATTCTGTGAACTTTCAGCCCTTCACCCACATGCTTTGGCACGGTACAGCCCCAGAGGCCCGCATGGGAATCCTTCAACACTTCATGCCGCAGTTGTTCCAGGTGAGTTGTCGTCTTTACTTCTGCCTTTGTGTGTCTTGTCCATCAGCTTCGCTGCTATTGTTGCGTTCATAAACAGCTTTCCATCTTCTTGATATGCCTCAACCACACAAGATTCGAATCACTGATCCCGTGACTAGATTGTTCAAAGATCTGCGAGTGTCTGGTGACCGTGAGACGCGCAGCCAGCGCAGACGCGGTACTCAGCAGTCGCGGCACGATATGAGTGGTTCAAATCAGAGACCCGTTGAGATATCTGACAGCGACGATGACTACAGTCCTTCGCTTGACCGAGCCGAACGGCGATCATCAGTGGTCCCAAGGTATCGCCAGCCAACGGTAGCCTCTCAGCGCCGACAGTCCGACAGACGCACAACGCCATCGACTGCACCTGGTGCCACGAATCGTCACTACGCTTTTCTCATAGAATCGGACTCGGACGACGAGCCACTGGCGGAGGCTGTGCGACCATACACAGGCAACGGCAAACAGCGGGCTACTAGTCAGGACGACACGCCTGGCAGACAGACTACTCGACGGGATACGGATCAGATTCCTCCTTTGCGCAAGGCCTTCGACATATCACATACGAGAGCTTCTTTCGCCACGGGTGGGACCGATCATCTCGCGCAGCATTTAAATCAAGGTGTCGCATCTGACACGGATTCCGTTCAAGAACTCCCCGAATATGCGCCAGGCCATTCATTTGGAGGCGACGGGGCCCTATCGCGTAAGTCGAAGGTCCGCTCAACACCTGGACCTAGTACAAGTGTGCCGATCAAGCGAAACCGAACCGAGACCGAAGAGCGGAGACCTTGGTACTATGACACAACGCTCAAGATCGATATGTACAACGGTCCTGGCTATGAAAGATTTCCCGTGGCTTTAGGCACAATCGAGGGACATAGCGAGATCTGCAGAGCTTTCCAGGGCAGACTAGATAAGAGAGCACGCCACGAGACCGACCCAAACCTCGAGAGGACCGAGAAGATCAAGCAACGAGTGTTAGAGCAAGTCGAACAGGTCATTCCAGACATCTGTCAGACTTTCGTGGAGGGCCGTATCGATGCCTACGCCATGCCAGCTGGTCAATCCAACGACGAACTGGCGCACGTTATCCTGAATAGAATTCTGGAATTGGATTCGTACCCGAAGCGTCCGAAGCAGAAGATTGTGAAAGAGCAACCGGCAGCTGATGGCACGGGCGTCACTATACCGGTCAAAAAAGAAGCTCGCGACAACTATTTCTATCTCACAGAGGCCATTCTTCTGCTTGCTGAGGAGTTCCCACACGTTCCTACACATCATATCTCCAGAATTGTTCGCGACAAGCGAGCGATCTACGACTCGTATCTTCACCTGCACGAAGCTGAGCAGAACTATTATCAATCCGACAGATCGACACGCCCCTATCGGAGATTGAAGCAGCAACGAACTCAGACCGAGAAGAAGTATCAGCAATCGCCAAACTTCACTCGCAATCCAGACACATATGGGCATTGGGTCAACGAAATTGGAGCGGCCAAGCAGCATATCGAACGCGAAACTATTCGAAGCACGCAGAAGGAGGCCAAAGAGAAGCAGGAGGTCGATAACCTAGAGTTGCACCGCAAAAGTGGTGCGCTTGTTGACTGCCAGATATGTTTCGATTCAGAGATCCCGCTAAATCGCACTGTGTCATGTCTAGCTGACGAGGCGCATCTTTTCTGCTACTCTTGCGTGAATCAGCTCGCCGAAACCCAAGTCGGTGACATGAAATTCGAGATGAAGTGTCAGCATGGGGATGGCTGTGATGCCAACCTGGATACTGAGGGGATCGGCAAAGCTGTGTCACTCAAGACCATGGATCGCCTCGCGTTCAACCAGCAACAGGCTGAGATCACGGCGGCCGGAATCGAAGGCCTTGAGGAGTGTCCTCACTGCGACTTCAAGGCGATCCTTGATGCAGTGGAGACCAACCCAGTCTTCAAGTGCTTTAACCCGGACTGCGGGCGTTCTTCCTGTCGCACATGCAAAGAGGACGATCACACTCCACAAAGCTGCCAGGAGTTCAAGGCCGACCGCGGGCTATCAGCTAGGCATCTCGTTGAAGAGGCCAGAACAGCCAGTGTGCTCAGACCTTGTCCAAGGTGCAACGTCAAAATCATCAAAGAGCTTGGTTGCAACAAGATGCTTTGCACAAAGTGCAACTGTCTGATGTGCTACATCTGCAAAATCGACATCACGAAAGTTGGGTACGACCACTTCAACAAACCTGGCAGTAAATGCGCGCTCTACGACAACAATACAGCAGCGCTTCACGATGCGGAAGCTGACGCAGCTGAACTCGATGCAATCCGGAAGGCCAAAGCAGAGGACGGTGATCTCGACGAGAAGAAGCTACAGATTGAGACAGGCAAGCCAAAGAAAGTCGCGCCTCCGGCGGTTCAGCGTCCACTGAATGTCGTGCCCCCACCAGTAGGTAATCAGCTAGGTCGGAACGGTTTCGATTGGGCTCAATTTGAGCCAGACGCAGCGCATAGGCATCAGCTCGATGCTCTTCTGGACGACGTGGACGCATTTAACCGGATTGATTGGCAGCCCCGACCTGCTCCTGTGGTGAACCAACAAGCAGGGGGGATGAATCAGATACGACAGCAGGCTCAACGAGTCGTGAACGGCCAACAAGCGATGCCTCCGATGAATGCGGTCCCTCCTGCCGCTCCCAACGTACAGGGTCCAGGTCTCTTCGACAGGTTCAACGGATTGTATGCCGGGCCGCAGCGAGTCTATCCTCCTCTGCCAGGTCCTCCTGCAGTACCGCCGCAACATGGTCAGGGTCAGGTACCTGCAGCTGGTGGTTATGATAACGTTAATCGTGTAATGGGCTGGCTTGGAGGCATGTGGAATGATCCCCGCCGGTAGGGGGATGGTGGTGATGACTGCGATGAATGTCTCACATCGTGGCTTGAGGTCCATGAGGCAGAGTATTCTTGGGTCGTCAGCGGAGGCGTTTTCGAGGGTACGGGCGCCAGTCTTTCGCAGGGACTAGGAATGGCTAGAGGCGCAATGGGAGCATGCACGGCTTAGGCGAAATGGTTGCATCATCTTCCACGGGACCAATGCATTTTATTCCACGGAGCGCACGGCTGTCATAGCGAGGAGTATCTTTTTGGCTCAAAGGGGGCCACTTTTATGACTTATGCAAGGTAGGGGAAGAGGCTTCGTAGACAAGCATTAGCATAGTATAGCGAAATATCAACATTCGCTTTCGATAGCATCTCTCCCTCATAAGTAGTACCTTCTCCTAAAAGTACACAGAGTCTTCTGAGAAAATCCGAATCCGAATGACTTCTGAGCCCGGAAGCCCCTCGGGGTGCGCCCATCCTGATCATTTTTCATATGCTGGTTTGGGAGCAAATCAGTAGTCTCGCAATACATACTTCAAGACTCTGGAAAGCGTCAGGATGCGTCCCAGAGTCACCACTTCGACGCAGCAGGAAAGATGTTATCTGGTCTTTCAGTCAGTCTCGTTTGGCTGTGCTACTCTCTCTCACTCCACTTACCCATGACCGCCTGCTGCTCCTCGTTCATCCGAAACCTCGGATCATCGCCCATAACGTCCTTCTTGTGCCTCTCCACTCCGCTCTCCAGCTCTCGATACTCACTTCCCATGATACTTATCGTACAACCATTATAGCTCTCATTCGCCGCCAAGAACGCAGCCGCCCTTGCCGTCTCTTCAACCGTGCTCACTGGGATGCCAACCCTCAACAGATCCGGCACCAGTGTCGGCAGACTCCTCACTGCCGCCGTGTCTGTTACATGCGGTGCGATTGAGTTGATGCGGATGTTCCAGTGCGGCGTCTGGTTGCGCAGACCACGCATGAGGCCGATCATGCCGTGCTTGGAAACGGCGTATACAGGGATACTTTGACAATCATAGCCGCTACGCGAGACGGTTGACACGATGACGCCGCCTTGCGGGCGTTGCTTGCGCATGAAGTGCATCGCGAGCTTTACCGTGTACATCTGGCCCACCAGCGTGACCTTCATGCAGTTGAACTCCGGCTTGATTGGGTCGCCATTCGGATGCTTGTGGTCAAAGAAGTCGCCCCGGTCGCCGAAGCCAGCATTGGGCACGACGATGTCAATCCGGCCATTGGGAAAAATCGATTCAGCTTTCTTGAATAATGCTAGAAGGCTGTCCCAGTCGCCTGCATCGGTCTTGTGGTATATTGGTCCCTCAATGGGGGAGGTCGGAGGCTGTAGGTCGCCGATGAGGACCCTGCACCCTGCTCCAGTGAGGTAGTGAACGATGCCTTGACCTATGCCCGATGAGCCACCAGTGACTATGGCGGTCTTACCGCGTAGTTTGTCTCCTGTCATCAAAAGTGTCTCAGCGAAACCAGTGCCGAGGCTGTGAGGAGGCGGTTGGTCACTGTTTCTTGGCAGCTTTGGACTTACCAATATCTGCGTTGGTGATTTTGACCTCAGTCATGGTCGGTACTCTTGAAATCGCTCTGGCTGAAGCAGCTTGCTATAGTCATTTGAGCTGTGAGCCATTGCCAGCGAAAGTGCATCATCCCCAGAAAATCTTGCTAACCTCGGCCTCGAGAAGCGGTACGTCGTGATGTTCGGCTATCCAGTATCATGGACATCAAATGCATGCGTTGACATGAACTCTGGCGATCTCCATTGCACTTCGGCTTGAACTGCGGGGAAATGGAACCTCAGGACACTGCCAGTGCTTACCTCAAATATTTACAGTCGTGCTTTCCCAGCATAGAAGCACCTGAAGTTTGGCAGGACATACACAATCAGGCTTCATCAACAGGAGCATCTGAGGCCCTACCTGCCTCAGCTCACTGGCGCCTGGGACTCAGGACGTGGATCGCAAGCAAAATAGATTCCGGCTCGTTGAGAATACAGCACGACAAGCTAGCCGCATGATGGAGCGGCCAAAAAGTCTGCGCTCCCAGCTTACAGGCTCATGGTCGCTGGAATCATATTATGCCTACCTTCCCAAGGATCCTTCGGACATCTACCATCCAATGGGCCCCAACGCCACGGGCATCATCATGTACGAGATCGAGCGCAACGGCTCTCCCATGTCCATACCTCACCCTAGATATACTGACTGTCGCCCAGGTACACGTCCGACGGCTACATGAGCGCCCAACTCTGCAACCCGGAGCCATCTTCGACTGCAGCTCAGCCGTATATCGCCTACACAGGAGCATTCTGGCTTGACGAAGCTGGCGACGAAAAAGGACCTCTCTTGCACCATCAAATGCGAGACTCGAATTTGTCTGCATTGAGAGGTGATGTGCAGCGCCGATTGATGAAGATCACCGACGAGAATGACGGCAGCCGATACTTGACGCTCGCGCCAGAAGGTCCGATGGTGATAGGACCGGACGGGTTGGAAAGAGTGCTTGTGGTTAGGTGGAAACGGCTGGAGGATAATTCTGATGGGTTGAGAAGTCACCCGAGCAAAGATGTTGGTGGTAAGCTGTAGTCAATCATATCGTACACTGGCCGTTCTTGGTGTGAGACTCTGAACTTTTTAGTTGCTCGCTTGTCTCGGGTCCCAGCCCTGGAGACTGTGGGCATCGTGAGTATAGGACTGCTGCGGTCCAGCAGGCAGTCAAAGAATCACCTGTATCGAGAGTAGTACTCCTCCTCTTTCCGCCTTTTGCCAACAACCTTCACCACGTCTGAATCGTAGTATTCCTCTGGATCTATCTTGGCTCCGAGCACTTCCTTCTCATGCCTTTGTGCCTCTTCTTTCGTCATCAGCACCAAGTCTGCGATGCTCAATTTCATATACTTTTGACCAGGCTCATTGGAGACCAGGGAGGCGAAGCCACCGTCAGCTTTCCATGGCACGAGAGCCAGCCGAGTAGACAGACCTGAAACAACGCTCCGCCCACGGAATACTTCCTCTACTAGGTAGGAAACATCGTCCTTGCTGACAGGTAACCGAAGACCGACGCTGTCTGCGCCCTCTCCTCGCACCAAGCGTTCCGCAGTACCCTGGAGGCTAGACAAAATACCGTCATACATCTTGTCTCGACCTCTGTCGCCAACTCGATACTCCATTGGGTAGCCGGCAAGACTGCATAGCACGTGGTTTGCTGCAGTGTAGCCGAACACGGCGGGCATCGTTCCCAGCACCGGCAAGATCCTGACTCTGAAGTCCGGGAGCACGCCGAGCCCACCAACATCGCCCTTCTCAACCTCTTTCTCCGCCACGGGCTGCAGCTGTGCCTTCCCCTCGCCTGGCTTCTCGGAGGAGAATACTACCGGGATGCCGTCTCTAATGCCCAGTATCCGCAGCCTCCTACGCGTGCTTGATGATAGCGGGTCCTCGAAACTCGCACTGATATCACTGACCATGACCCTGGTTGGGTCGCTCTTGATGCCAGCTCCCATAGCACTGATGACCTTGATCCCTCGATCGTAACAGTACTTCAACAATTCCACTTTCGTGTCGATGTTGTCAATCGCGTCCACAACCCAGTCGACCTTCCTATCCTCGTCCTCTTCCCCACTCCTCAATTCGTAATTCCAGTCGCCCAGTAATCGATCTGCACTCTCCGCCTTAAGCAGCTCGTTCCTCGCATCCACCCTCACCCACGGTACGATCGCCTCCAATCGCTTCCTGACAACCTGCACCTTCGGACTGCCCACATCCGCACCCGTGGCCAGTGCATGCCGGTTCAGACTGCTCAACGTGACCTGATCGAAATCCACCACCCGAATCCTCTCTACACCCGACCTCGCCAGTGCCGCCACAGCATGACTGCCGACGCCACCTAGTCCCACCACTACAACACAAGCACCTCTGACTTTCTTCAGACCCTCATCGCCCAGGAACACTCGATTCCTCGCCAGCTGCTCCAGCACCAGCGCCTCATCATACTCGCCCCTCCGCGCCCGTGCCGCGACTTTCGCCGCTCGTGTCTCATCACTGCTAGCGCCCGCCGCTACAGTAGAGCTCTTCCGACGAGCAGCCGCGCCAAACTCTGTCAATTGTATTGCTTGATGCGTCTCGGAAATTTCTGGGATCGATGCTTTCAGGTCGTCTGTCGCGATGCGTCGGCGGATGGCAAGAGAGCCAAAGATGACGGTCGTGGCTGCTATAGCGCCTATAGAGGCTGCGATTGCGAAGGCTATGGGCTGGGAGGGCTGGGTGTTGAGGATGGGCATTTTCCTGGGAATACGGTGTGTGGAGAGTGCACGCGGTCGGAGGGCGGGAAGAGAACCTCCGAGAGACCTGACGCCTCACGTCCGTTATGGGAAAGGCTCAATGCATTTCAACAGGTAGTGACAGGGGCAGGACGAGCCGCGCATGCACTACAGCTAGGGCGAGGATTTCCAGTGGTGACTCGAGGTGCAGCGTCAAGCTCACGAGATCGAGAAAGCAACCTCGGAATGATGTCGATCCTGCAATTGGAGATCTGCATGCAAAAATAAAAGTCGGCGGGCGGCATGGGCCACGAGGCAAATACGAAGAAGGTAAAATAAGCAATTCTGTAGGCTTTAGCTTGGGCCAATAGACAAGCGCAAGCCGGTTGACAAGCAACAGTATACCACGAGTGCCGATGTTTTCCTATGCTCTCATCTGCTGTCAGATTATTCATGATGGTGCGTTGCCTAGGATTCCATCATATCTGACCCGCGGTCAGTGTTCCAGCGGTAAAGAGAGGACCCTAGTCTGGCAAAGTGAATCTGGCAGGCAGATATATTTGCTAAACGTACCATGCTGGGCATGCGCGAAGATCAAACGGACTCGCGCCTATACAAGTTGTCCATATTCAAAAAGCTTTTGATTTCACTACTGTATGCTAGCATCACCCAGGCTCGAGCAGCGCGATAGCAGGACTCGGAGTCGACATAAGGACTGCCCGAGTTGCTAGCCACCAACTTGTTGCCAAAGTGCTATCCGACCTGACCGCCTCATCACATGCAGCACATATCAACTCCCAGTCGATGATGGGGCACTCTTCGAACCAAACGAACTTCTGTAGACAGCTTTTCAGATCAAAGACATCAGCGACACTTGCTAGGATTAGTGCTCGTCGTGCATATCTGACCCTGTCGTTCACGTCGGAGGCAGTTGTGATCCCCACCATAGCTGCCCACAATAGCAGTTCATAGCATTGGGAACTTTGTTCGACGCATCGCAGCAAGTTCGGGTGCGCGTGGCTGGTGATGTTCCGGTAAGCTGCCACAGCTGAGCTTGCTTTCGTCAGGAGATCTCTCATGGCCCAAGTCATATACTGCAGCCAGATCATCGAAGGATAGATGCATGCTGTCCTCTCGGAGTTGGCGGGCAGCTGTTCCCGGAGGGTATCCATCAGGTCCTGACATCTGCGAATGACTTTGTTCTGCATGACCGAATCTTCGGATCCCTGTGCCCAGAGCTCTTTGCAAAGAATACCGGCACGGACGGCGTCGATCACGAGGGGCAGCAGTCTTGTGAGCGTTGTGCCCAAGATGTCAGCATGGTCCAGAAAACCAATACCAGCACTGTCCGTCACATTGCCAGATATCAATGGCTCCCACGCAGGACGCGGAGAACTCGGCTTCGTGAAGATCGACGGATAGTCAGACCACCAGCCCCTGTCCAGTCGCCGCAGATAGACCTTGGTGACCTCATCTAGATACTCCATACCACCTAATTCGACGATTGCTTTCAGATGAGCCCGGCCTGCCCATACTGTTTGCGAGCCGAAAAGCTCATAGTGCGCCAGGAATATGATGGGCCACACGACCTCCTCCAAAGTAGCCATTCCTCCCTCAATGCGCGCCCGGAGCTCCACAAGAGCCTTGACAGCGTTCTGAGTCAGCGTAACTTTCGTCGCGTCGACATTGGGCGCTCGCTGCAGGACGTAGGACATGAATGCGTTCATATGAAGCTCGTCAGTCAGGCAGCGCTGGACGATACTCCTTACTGCGACTTGTGTAGCTGCTTCGCGGTCTTCGTGATTGGGTATGACATCTGCGGCCCATCGCGACCACAACTTTGGAAAGTACTCGATTGAACGAATCTTGTTGTTGTCAAGAGGTACTGGATATGAGTTGACTGGAGCAGGAACCGCTCCAAATAAGGCCTGTGCGAATTGCCAGTTCTCTTCTGGGGTGAGAGAAACTTCCGATCGGGAGATCTGGGAGAGTGCCTGCTGAGGCGATTGATCTGCGCGGATGGGGATGATCGTCCCGCTGGGCGTTGCAGCCGGTGTAGTAGTCGAACTTTCTGATTTCTGAGACTCAGCTTCACCAGTCCTGTCTGCCCGTCGTGGAGCACCCGTAGACCGCCGCGATCCTCGTAGCTTCGACGACCATGCGTGTTTCGCAGCATGCGCTCTGGCCCGCGAGTCGATGAGTTCCTTTTCCCGAGTACTGCGGCCTTTCGCGGCATATTCTATGAACATCGAGCATGGCCAGACACCGAGGCATCAAGCATGATGAAGGGTCAATGAATGTGGACCTCCATCAAGCCACGCGGTAGATCATTTGAGTGAGAAGCAAAGACGAGAGTCCATGAGAAGGATAGGCCTGGAGTGCGAGAAGTTCAGTGTGGCGCTATGTTTCCGGCATCAACGTGGCATAACGGCCTAAGGCTAAGGCTGCCCAGGTGCGTTCTTCCGAGATGGTTCGGCTTTTGGCGTCTAGTTCCCGAGATCGGCAGGGGAGCGGAGTTGATGCGTTTTCTATGTTCCTATAGCTAGGATTGCTTGCGAAGATCACCTCGAAGTACTGGTCGAGGTGCGTCAATAGCAGAGACACGTGGATTTCGTAAGCAAAGGTCAATTAGGTAAGCAGTCAATGCGGAAGGTGCGGACGTTAATTTTCGCTCAAAAGGGCGGTGCTATTGTACAAGTTACAGTAGAAGACCTAGAGGATCTGTCAAATGCGCCTGCCCTATGCCATTCCGTCAACGAATCCGTCCTGATAAGGTGATGCCGCTCTGGCTACATCGAGTAGCGGAAGCCCTCCATCTTTTCCAAAACCACCTTGCCTTCATCTGCTAGCTTGTTCAATCTGCCACACCATCGTGATAGAAAGATCGAGAGCAGAACTGTTAGGCTCTGCACAGTCATTATTGTAGTTAGACCAGGGACATATGCTGGGGCGTCCTGTGGATTGTGTCAGTGCTAGGGCTGGAAACGGGGGCAGAAGCACTCACCTGCTGACGTAGAATATAGGATGCTACGAGTCCACCAGTCGCTCCGCACATCACCTGTAGGGCACTCGCCACGCTCCGCTTCCTTCCCTCCCTGCAGTTGTTCGCCTGCCAAGCAAGCGCCGAAGGAATGATTGCATTGGACCCTGCTGTGCCCAGGAAAGCCCCAACAAGTCTGGACGCTGGTGACTTTGTCCATGCTAGCAGGCCTAACCCGATGATACTGGTGACAGCTTGACCGGTGACAAACGGTCCGCGCATCCTTACCCTGTCAGACAGCCAGGACAGTGTGAATGAGACGATAACGGCGAATGTATCCCTCGCTCCTGCCAGGCAGAATGCGGCAGCTGTAGAAAAGCCCAGACTTCGTTTCAGTATGATGGGAAGGAAGAACCCAAGTGCGTACGTGCCAATTGTCGCACTGAAGTAAATCCATGCGCATGCCCAGACCTTCCAATCCTTCAGATCCTCTCGTATGGAGTTCCAGGTCACGTTGTGATGCTCATCCGTGCCTCGCTCTTGTGCCAGTCTGTCGTTCACAAAAGCCTTTTCCTTTTCGGTAAGAAATTTGGTTCGAATCGAGTCTGGAAAATCGATGAGCCAGAAGTAAGCCATGATTCCCAGAAACACGGTGATGGCACCCTCAATTATGTAAATCCATCTCCAACCCTTGTAAGTCGTATAATCCCCTATTTGCACCAGACCATAAGCGAAAATGTTCGAAAAGCCTTGAATGAACAAGGAGCCCAGGAAGTAAACAGCCAGTCGTTTTTGAACTTCGTATCGCTTGTACCATGCCGAGACAAGAAATATTGAGCTGAAAACATGCGAGCAGCCAGGTCAGTAATCCTCTCTGGTCAAATATTATCGACTGGCATGACTCACCCAGGCGTGTTCCCTGCCTCAAAGACACCGAGGAAGCTTCGCAGGATCGCAACAGCAACCCATGTGGTCACGACCCCAATGCCAATTGTTGCAATCCCCCATGCAATGGTGATGATGCCCAGGAATCGAGCGGCACCAACGATCCGTATCACAACGTTGCTCGGAATATTGAACAAGATATATCCAATGAAAAAGGTTGACGTGGCGATCGACGCCCGTGCGCCAACATCGAGCGAGAGGTCCTCATCCATACCAGAGATGCGAGCGACCGAGATATTTGTCCTGTCGACGAGACTGATGGCATGGAGGCCGACCTACTGCCGTCAGCTTTGTTGGCACCGCTGGTCGTCGAGATTTGGGTTTTTACCACTAATGGCAGCAATCGCCAGTCGATCTTTCGAAGGACAGCCTTTTCGTTGACGACGTCGTTGCTTTCTAGACTAATTTCTTCTGGTGAGAGCTCTCCATTGCCTGTCAAGCTCGGACGAGGGGGCACCTTGGCATCCATCTCGAAACACGGTGCTGTTATGGCTACGCAAACAGTGATGACTTAGTCAAATGAGGACGTTCTGGTCCGACTCGACATCGAGTGCCCATTGATATACGTTGCCCGCCTTCTATGACGGCTTGGTTCGGAGGATTGAGTCAGATCGAAATGTTGTAGAGTGTGGGCACCAAATACAAATCCATCGTGCAGCGGGCCGTCCTGCATACTGACTAATCGTGACAAGGTGTGGTCCCATTCGGTGGGAATTGTCTTGGAGAACGCGTCTATTAGCCATAACGGACGTCGCGTGGGATAGCAATTGCTTCCACCAGGCTCATTGTAGTGATGTCCCTGAGATTTGCAGTAAGCCATTGCGTTGTCAACTGCGACGCCGACTGTTCTGCCAAGCCCACCACATTCCCGATCGGTCATGTTCACGAGGTGCTGCAGGCCAATGCCTGCAACTCCAATGTCTGTGTACCTCGCATCGTCTGATCAGAAAGTCTGCAAATTGTCCCTGGAGCAGCTTTGATTCGCAGCGAGCTTCGGCCGAGCAGCTCTGCCTGCTCGAATGCTCGAGGAGGGGCAGTCCTCGTGTTTGCGGGGCTTGCGACTCGTTTCTGTTTCCAACCCTACCAAGCGAGGCGTTTGCATCATTCTAGATCTCTACGCTCTTCACTGCTGCACCGAGCATCTCAAGATACCAGCACGATCGATGTTGCCAATGTTTCGTCCGTGCATCTTACTGCTTAGGGGAGTATGTTGCTGTTATATGCTTGCCGAGGCTAAGATGGTGCCTTGCACGGCTTCGGCGGGCTTGGCTGACTTAGGCCCGCCGAGTCGAACCAAAAACTCATTATACACGCAGCTGCCTTATGATGGAGACACATCGGAACGTGATCCGCTTCTGCAGCCTTAGTAAGGGGATCAGTATCAACTGCAAAGATCCTGAGCTCACCAGTAAGTTCTGGATCGCCAAGAATAGGGTCTGGCTTAGTAGGTGAGGCCAGACTCTCGTAGTCGACGCCAACATATCGTACTCGTGATAGTCAGTCAATCAACACAACAGAAGTTTGTCGGGAACTGGACGGCGAAACAGTAGTTGTACTGGTCAGAACCGTTGCTGTCATGCCAATGCTCTGGGTGTGGTGCCTCGGGTTTCCGCCAAAAGCATCGTCAAGGATCATCTTAGGTCATCAGGCCCTTGCGTTGTTCGCTTTCATGGTCATCGTCGCTGTCTTCATCGCTGTCCTCGAATTCGTCACCAGACTCGTCTTCTCCACCGTCGTCTTCCTCACTTCCAGTTTCTTCCTCTCCAGATCCGGAGCTTTCTTCGTCTTCACTTTCTGCGAGCCAGTCATCCAGAGTTTGCGCCTTGTCTTTATTCTTGAGAGCAGAGCCAGGCTTCGAAGGACCCACGGCAGCGGACTGCGCAAGACCCTGCTCTCTAATGGCTTCTTCAAGCCGGCTACTAGCCGTTGCAGCGGCCTTTTGGTCCCCTGCCCCACCTAGTCCAACGTCGTTCTCCCTCAGCTCTGGATCAGGTTCATTTCCAGTCTCCACCCAGGGCGGCAAGTCTTCGTAGCCTGGTAGGCCATGCAGAACAATTTCATCGCGCCCGAACAGAAGTGAGGTACTGCCGATGAGCAAGCCTTTACGGTTTGCAGATGGGGATGGCACGTGAGGAACTGGCTTCGGGGCAAGTAGGAGCAGACTTGCAAGCTGGACTTCGCGCGGCTCGCTCAGTAAGTTTTTGAAGAGCCGTGCACGGTCTCGCAGATCGTATGAGGTGTCATATCGGGACAGAACAAGCACGTAGTCCCATAATTTGGGGATTGCATGTCCTGTGATCTCCAATGGAGGATCGGCATCATCTGAGTCTTTGGAAATGTTCTGTTGCAGCCACAAGAGATAGCATTTCGCCGCGAGCAGTACGATCTGCATCTTGACCTCCTCGACTTCTTCGCTGAAGCCTTTCACGAGTATCCGCAGGACGTCTGGAGCGATGCTGGCACCAACGCCGCCCGTATTCGTCTGGCCTTCCAAAACCGCAAACTCGCCCACTAGCCAAATTATAGTGGCCCTGGCTTGAGGACTGGATGTTTTGTCCAGATTTCGAGCGAGTCGAACAATCGTCTTGTGATGTGATGCAGCGTCTCGCTGTATCAAATGGCGCATGACAGTGAGGACCTCGGAGACCAATAAATTATCGAAATGGGAAATTTGCTGCAATAGCACCTGGAAACATTTCGACGACGCCGACGGAGAAGTCTGAGCACAACGACCAATTGCTCTGACAGATTCTTGGACCTTGTCGACCGACGCTGAGTGCGCGAAGTGCTCAAGCTCATTCAGAATCAGTGCTTGTATGCTTGCAGAGCCATGTGGAAAGATCAGAGTCAGCATTTCAAGCTTCAGCGTCCAAATGCTAGGCGTGTCACCGCTAGCGAGTAAGAAATGGGACAGCCATGGCACAAACAACGCTGGGTGCTCTAGTGCGACAGCGACCATATTCTGCAGCACTATCTCCTCTGTCTCCTGCGATGACCGCAAGACTGAGAGTAATGGCCCGATAGCTGATTCCAGGTATTCTGCTGTTCCGACATAGAGGTACGTTGCAACCACTGACGTGATCACCGCGGCGCTTCTAGACTGGAGTAAATTCTGAGCCGCTTTGAGAAGCGCTTCAAGATCTGGCTGGAGGACACGGACAGTGTCATCGGTATCTTCGACCTCGTCCGGCTCGTCTTCGTAGAAACCTTTCCTCGTAGTTCGCGTGACCTTCTTGGTCGTATAAGGAAAACATTGTCGACTGTACTTGGCTAACACTTTCAACGTCGCGAGCTGACTCCATTCATCCATATCGACAAGCTTGCGCACCAGACCACGGTAGTGTTTGTGTATGAGGTCCGTTCTGTCCGGACATATCTCCAGAAAAGCCTGGACAGCTGGCCCAGCGACAAAGTATTGCTTGTCTCCGAGAAGGATACTAAGGTAATCAAGGAGTTGCGGCAACGAATTCGGTTCCAGGTTGTAGCACTTTGGTATCGCTAGCGCCGCGGCCTTTCGAACGTGTGGACTCATGTCGCTGATGCCGCGTTTGATGGCCAGCGAGACTATCTGACTGATAACGGGCACTCGCATACCAGACATAGTACGAAGTGCCAGCGCACGAACTTGAGGGTTCGTGTCGGTGAGCGACTTCTGTATCGCGTTGACTGACAACAAAGCCAGGTCCGGATCTGATTCAGCATAGTGAAGCAAGTAGATATAGACGAGCTTCTTGACTTCAATATTAGGATTAGCCACGTTCTTGACCACCGAAGAGAAGAACGGTAGGCAAGGCTTGTTCTGATAGATCATTGCCACAACCCTTCTCAGTCCATCGAGAATTTCGCGGTCGCTTCTGCTGTCGAGTAGAGCCTTCAACTTCGCGTGGGACAAGCCCTTCGATGGTCCTCCAGTTCGCACAGCTCTACCAACACCTACCGCTTGCGCGGCCTCAGCTGTGAGATCACGAGCTGTTGCATTGGGATCAGTATATTGAAGCCACGATGAGTCCATGGCGATGGAAACGCACCTGGGTCCAAGGCGGACGACACGCGAGCCACAGAATCCATTTTGAAGCGTCTGGAAGGTCTGTGTCACCGCTCTTGCTGTTTGTGTAACCTCCACCCAGTGAGGTCGGCAAGTGCCTTGCTAAAGAAACGCGGACAGCTGTACAAGATCGAGGTTGCCTTGCGCCTGAAAACACTGCTCCACAGCTCGGCAGACGCCGGACTTCAAGGTTGGGCAACACCGGTTTGCGGTTGGCACTTCACGCGCTCTTGCACAACAACTTTAGCGGCACCCGCATCCAGAGCAGTAGGCCGGCAGCTGCACCCATACACCCAATGCGAAGTAATCAGACACGGCTTCTATGGCAGATGCGCGTCTGAGTAGGACACGAAAACCTGGAGGACGCGTTCCGTGATGTAATCTTCGTTCAACGGAATCCACATCCATTTCCGAGCAGAGCATATTGCTCCAGTCCTACACCGACTCTTATCTGTTCACATGAACGTGGTCACAACCAAGTACGAGTACTACATAGACCTCCTGGAAGATTTGACCCGCAGCCAGCAGATCGCTGATACTACAGTCATAATCTGCCTGTCGCGAACGGATTTCCTCAGCCACGTCGCAGCACAGATTCACCGCCTTTCCACCTCTGAGCAACCAGAAGATGCAGGAAGTCCAGGTGATCTTACGGCGGACGTTACCGAGTCTGCGTCCAGCCAGCACAGATTCCTGGTCCCAACACTACAGCTCTTGTCTGTCGGCCAACACATGAGACTAGCGTACTGCCCGAACATTCCATCACTAAGGGCATACTTGTCCACGTACGGTAGCCAGCAGGAATCAACAGCACCAAGTCGCTCTCGTCTGATTATCGTTGATCTGCTGGCTCTCCATCACGGCACATCAGAGTTTACTTTGCAGGGCCTCTCGAGGACGTTAGCCACAGCGGTGTCGGTTGCGAGCTCGGCGTCGAGCGATCTCGCGCTGACCGAGTGCAAGGATATCCGAGACCCGACACACCCGGATCGTGGCTCTCGCTTGTGGGAAGCTCAAGTTCCGCTTCTGAGCGGCTCCGTCAGGATCGGTCTCGAAGGCTCCAGATGGTCCGGCCGGGCTCTCACAATCAGGAAAATCGCTTCAAGATGGTTTCAAATCGAAGATGAACCAAGACGAGGTACTGCCAGTTGACATGATATTCCAAGTTAGGGGGTATCGCTAGCAAGATGTACAACGCCGTCATGGTCTTCATCTATCATGTGCTGCTGTCTCCTCAGGAGATGCTCTGTTCCATCTCAGTGATGTACAACTTGATATGCGACTCAAGCTTCTGATACTGCTCACGGATGTCATAGACTTCCTTCTCGAGTTGCTCTTTCAGATCGGCCATCTATTGACTTTTTAGCGTTGTTTGACAAGGCTCACGACGTAACATACCTTTTTCTCCAGCTGGTCGACCCTTGCTCGCTTCCTCTCAATAGCTCGACTTTTGTCCGCTTTCTCCTCTCGAAGCTCTCTCTGTGTGATACGCAACTCCTCCATCTTGGCCTTGTTGGCTTCATCACGCTCCTTGTGCCGCTGTGTGAGCCCAGCAAGCCGCTCATTGGCCTTGTCGAGTTGTCGCTGGAGCATGGCGTGTGTTTGCTCGATTTCGCGAACGTTGTTGCTTCGATCGGCAACCTGATCCCGATTCCTGGCTAGTTTAGCTTCCTCCTCCTCTTCCTTCTGCAACTCTTTCGAGATCTCGTCGAGTACCTTGACACATGACTGGACTTCGTTGTAAACCACGCCAAAGCTGTCGCCGGAGGTCTGCAACGCACGGATCCGTCGTTCAAACGTATCGATCTGTTGCCGCTCTTCTTGTAGGTTCTTGTGCAATTTAGCGAGCTGTTCTTGCAGACCATCCGGACTTTCAAGCACGTATGGACGAAGTTTTTGGCTCTCTTGTCGGATCCGCACAAGCTGTCCGGTCTTGTCCTCGAGCACTCCCTGCGCCTGCGATTTGTCGGCTTTGGCTTTCTCCAGCTGCTCTGCGATGCGCTCTTGATCCTTCTTGAGCTCTAGTAATCGTGCTTTCAACTCGTCGTTTCGTTTCACCTTGTCTTTGACAGCGGCCTCCATCGATTTTCTGTTGCGCTTCATGTCCTCGAGCCTCTGCGCCATGTCTTGGTTGTCCATATACAACAACTCGATTCGTGCCTTAACCGCCTCGGCTTTGTTGAAGTTCTCGTCGATCGTCTGTGTCTGACTTTCTCGGAAGCGCACAAAATTGATGACATACGAGAAGATCTTCACAAGTCGTTCGTGCGTCGGCCGAACCAGGTCGTTGAAAGAGAAATCATGTATGCCGCATTCCACCAACATCCGCCGCAGACTGACAAAGAAGCCCATAAGCATTCTTGTCTCGAATGGCACAATTTCAGTGTCGCTCGAACAGATGTCTTCGGCGGCCGCGCGCATCGCTGGATCTATCGAGTCGCGTGTGGCATTCAGCAACAGTTCACCAAGGTGCTCGAAAACCATCTGTATTAATTGTGGATTGGGTTTCTGAAGGTCGGTGGGCTGGAAAGGCACGCCAATGTCGCTGATACAGCCAGCGATCTCTCTGTCGGACTACACACGTTAGCATGGTACTTTCCACATGAGAAGGGAAGCTCACGAGTCGCATGAATGCATCGGGATCATCATCCTTCTTCTTCGTGCGCGTCTGCTGCTGAGACTGCTGAGATGATCGATATTGAGACATGGCGAGGGCGAGAGCCGAGCGTACTGTAAGAGACCGTGCTCGAAAGGTCGAGATTGTTACAATTGCGACTCACTTGTCTGCGAGGAGACAAAGTACTGGTCTGTTTTGGTTTCCAGTTTAGGTTAGCTCGCGCATCGCTGGGGAGGCTCGTCATCCGGCCAGACCTGGGTCTATGGAAAGTTTCGAGGACCACATGCGCAACCTCCACATTTTCGATAACCACTGTTTCCTCAGCGACATACTACCTACAACTTCGCGCATTCGCAACATTCGTGTCAACCGAAATAGCAGAGGCTGTGACAGACATCATACCATCCCGCTGACAGGTGTACCGACGCCGCACAGCAATTGCAATTGTAACTTGTACCAGGACATTTCCAGAAACACGCCAAGAACACTCAAGCAAACCGGCTGGGGTTGACTCATATTGGCTTGGAAAGCACACAGGCGACGTGACGGTGAGTTGGCCTGGGCGAGCGACCTTCTGTACACCCACAAGGACGGTAGTCCTTCAGAGAAGCCATCATGGTGCCAGGTCTGGCCAGTCCGCCTTCCACAGCGTCCAGCTACAGTCCATCAACTCTCAATGCTCCACCTCCATCAACGACATTCGACATCGTAGCACACTACAACAAAACCACAAAAGCAGACCCCGACTTGCCAGCACCACTTGCAGCCATCGAGTCCCTGATCACCCTGTTGAAGGAGAACCCTCTCACGACAATAGCGGAAACACTAGCCCTCAACGAACACCAAACCACAGTCCTCTTATCATCACAACGCAATCCCATACCTCTCTCCGCCGGCACAGACCTCTTCCAACGCTACATAATCTCCTCGTTCCAAGCTAGACCTTCGTTCCTGCACCACGCCGACTTCAGCGCACTACGCAGCCACCTCATCAGCAACAGCCGCCTATTCATCGCCCGGGCAAAACTCGCCTCGGGCAAAATCGCCTCACACGTCCTCCCATTCATCAAAGACGACTCAACCCTCTTCACCTACGCCTCCTCCTCGCCAGTAATCAAAGCAATCCTAACCGCAACCTCCGAGCAATGGCACTACACCTCCGTCGCACACATCACCTCAGCCACATGCCCGACCCCACCCATCATCAAATCCCAATCAACAGAAACCACAAACCTCCCCTTCCACGAAGTAACCTACGCCCTCTCCAGCCTAGGCGTCTCGCAACACAACACCACCCTCTTCATCCTCCCCGCACAAGCAGTCCTCGAGAACGGCTCCGTCGTGGCTGCACTCGGCACCCATCAACTCGCCATCCTAGCCCGCGCCTACGGCATTCCATTCTACTTCGTCGTCGAGTCCTTCAAGTTCGTGCGCTCTTTCCCGCTCGGTACAGGCTCTTCAGATCTGGCTCGCATGGATGTGCGGCAGCCGACGTTGCGATTTGCGGACAGCGAAGGGCAGATCAGCGGCAGTGAAGAAGAGAAGTCGAGAAAGGGCACGCAGCACGCAGGACCCCTGACGGAAGAGGAGGAGAAGGTCGACATCACGCCTGCAGATTTGATTACGGCGCTGATAACGGAGAATGGGACCATGACACCACAAGCTGTGAGCGAAGAATTGATCAAGCTCTGGTTTTGAGCGTTGTTCTCTGAGCTAGGTAGCTAGTTTCCCAGTCGACTGCATCTTGCCGGGCCGTCGCTTCGAAACTACTCAAGCATCATTGCAGGTGCTTCATTCTCTCGTAAGCCATTCGCACTCCTTTGGGCATATGTCGACCTATTGATTGCGACCGCGCGAATCTGTCGGCGTCCGCTTTGAGTAGTCAATCAGGTCAAGAATATCGTAGCTCGGCGTCGACGTGTGGATTGAACGCGCCTCTCACACACGGACCTTATAACTCGTCCATCTCTCTTTCCTTCGCCTTCAGCGCCGCCCTCATTGCTTCCATCTCACGCGCGAGTCTTGCCCTCTTCTCCTCCTTCCCGTTGACCTCACCACCTGCACGGTCTCCACCAGCTTGCAGAGCCGGGTCGATAGAGCTCGTCGGTGCAATGATCTTCGCCCTCCACGCGTCTCCTGTGCTTTCCAATGGCGGCCTCGTATCTAGTGGCGCGGACGTCGGCGGCGACCCTGCTTTGAGTGGCGGAAGTCGCGGCGGCGGAGTGTTCCCATTCCGATGTGAGAGTGCCGGTGTCGCAGGATTGTATCCCGTGAAATCAACCGGCATGTGCCCTTGTGGTTTCCGCCTCTTCACCGCGGGCTGATTCGGATCCAATGGCTCGGTGGGCTCGTAGCCGCTCATTTCGACGTCATCTGCCATCGGCTCGGGCGAGGTTGACCCGGCAAGTTCACCTGGCGAACTGGCAGTTTCGGAACGTGGCGTCAGGGCCGCAAGGCTTGGGGTAGTCGAGTACGCAGGTACTACTCGTTTCCGGCGCTTGATCGTGGCTTTCTTCATCTGCACCGGCCGATGTGTTCCGTGGAGTTTGAAGTAAAGACCGCAAGCGTTGCAGATTGGATGTCCTGACTCGTCCCGGCGCCAAAGAGGTGTCAATGTTGTGCCGCAGTTTTTGCAAGCAACTAGCATTGAGGATTGGGTAGATGGTGTGGTGGTAGGTGGTGGGCCTGATGGGGCGCTGGTAGTGTTTGCATTACTGGGCTCATCGTTCTGCACAGTGCTCTGCGGTGGGTTCGCTGGGGCAGGCGGCGCATTTGCAACACCTTTCTGTGCTCGTGCGAGACGATTGTTGAATGCTGGACATCCGCCGCAACCCTCAGCGCCACCAGCACCGTTGCAATTTCCACCACCTGGACATGAGCCTGCTGTATGCTCCGCTTCTTTTAGTGGAGGTCTAGAAGTCTGAGTCTGTGCAGCAACTGGTGCAGGAGCGACGGGAGAAGCTTCGACACGTTGCCTACCAGTTTCTGGTGGAGGATTTGATGCATGGCGCTTGAAGTTGGTCGGGCGCATTGTGTTCCGTGTCTTGAGGTACAACCCGCATGCATTGCAAATTGTGTTGCCTGCCGGTGATCGCCGCCAGAGCGGTGTTTTGGTGGTGCCACAGTTGCTGAAGGCTTGTCAGTCCACCGTTCACGGTTGAGTACGCGGTGCTATCTGCCAAGAACGAGCAGTCGTACTCACTGGATGCTGAACTTACCTGCATATTTGATTGAAACCTCCTGCAGGGTCTCGCTCAATGCTTTCGGAATCGCCATCCTGCTGCTGGATCTCTGTGTCGGCTTGCGGCTCCGATTGCTCGACAGAGGTGGTCGCGGGCGCTGCTTGTACGAACGAGCTCTCGCTGGTTCTCGGAGGACTGATCCTCTCGCCTCGAGCGGATGAGACTAGCTGATGAGCGGCATCTAGATCCTCCGCGGACGGCTGCCGTAACATGTCGGGATGGTCGGAAGAATATGATGTCGAACGTCTCAGGGCGTCCATCACGGGCGCGACCTTCAACATTCCGTGACCGTCCTCTCCTGGCTAATTAAGCAAGAGCATCACCATCTATGGCACTGATTGGTCCTCAAACGAATGTGTTGGTGGATTGGAATCCTGTAATGCCTGTTGTTTGGGTGCACTGAAAGTGGTGAATTTACGTTCGAAAGTGGGAGCCTTGAGGGTGTAGACTTGTGTGGTATGACCCAGATGGTTGTGTACGAAATTTGTTGACCTGTTGGAAGAATCAGAATACGCGGACGTAGAGAATGCTATTCCTTGGTGGCAAGGACGATGATGGCTACAGTCGTAGTGGTAGGGAAGGCGGTGACCATTAGTACTTGATGTTGCAACTACGCCCAAAATGACGACGGGCAAGGAGACGTGTTCAAGGTCAGCAAGATCAGGTTAATTGTCATTGGTTGGACATGCGAATCCGGGGAGCGGATCACGTGCTGGTGCAGGCCGACGGCCTCAAGTTTTACTACATACTAGTACTACCACTGCTAAGACAAGCCAAGTCGCATTTCTGCATTGTCAAGACCGTCTCCACCAGTGTTTCGCATACACAATATCCCCAACTGATTATAGTACATCTGCAGACGGCTGCCGTCCGTCATCTTCCGCCATTGGTCATAGTGTCAACCCCAGCTATTCATGACCGAAAAGTTGCCGAACAACTCAAAAGTCTGTTGCAAGACACGAGCTCGAGTAACCACTGGGCACCTATACGTCCATGTGTCGGTATCTTGAGCGAAGCGCACAACAGTGTCGCCAGCATTCCCTAGCATGGTTTGGCGCGTAGTGTCGCGCCGTCCAGAAGTGCTCACGGTCGATGGATAACTGCCGTTGCCTTAAACCTGTTCCGCACCCCAGCCAGCATCGGCGTCACGCATGTTAGATGGTGGCTCGATCGATGGGATGAACTCCAAAGCAGCGTAGCCTAAACCTGCAACCATGATAATGCCTCCAATGATGTAGCTGAACGTGCCGTGCTCGAGTACCAAGCTACCGACGAAAAGGTAGACTGGGACGCGTTAGCTTGCCAGACCGGCTGTAGAAGATCCTCCAGACTCACAAAGACCACGGCCCAAGAATGAGAACAGAAAGCTAGCATATTTGGGCAAATATGGTGGCACCTGCGGCAGGAGCTCTAGGCCGCCAACGGCTGTTTGTTTTGTCAGTCCATGTGTCCGTCGTCGCGGACGACCGTGCTTACCAAGGCCGAAGAGAATTACGTATACGGCAACAACGACGTTGCGTCTGGTCGAGGGTCAGTAGTCAGGCTGTGCGAGAAATGTTGCGCGGTCCGACTCACATGCTGATACCTCCAGTCAAGATGGCGATTGCTGTTCCTGTTGTCAGTCGATACTTCCTACTACGATGGCCGTGCGCGACTCACATCCGACAAGCATTGATGCTCCAACGGCCATGTTGGCAATGCGACTGTAATCGACCTTGTCAGCACTCGCGGTTCCGTCGTATACGTCGTGCACGACGATGCGCATGCATCCCGACACACCCGGGAAGCAGGGCTGGACACCCACAATATGTTTGAAAAGTCCATTGCGACGTTTTATTCTTCACTGCTCTTAGGATCTGTGTCGTGCGGCTTGATGGGACAGCGAGGTGGTTTCAGGGATGGAGTGCGGCGTGTGTCGATGGGGCTGCAGATACTACAATGCAGAAAGGCAAGTCGCCAGAGACAAAGGTGCTCGCCTGGAGGAGGAAATACTCGAATTCGACAGGAGGCGATGAACAACAGGCAGCTACGAAATGTTTCGAGAAGCAGTGATTGAACACGGTCGGGGAAGATGATGAGGGTGCAGTTTGGGGCAGAAGCTCAGCAAGAGCACCTGGGCAGGGAAATTCGTGGGTCTGCAAACAGCCAATCGCTGCAGGCTGAAGATTCATTGGCCTCCCGCCGCAGCACCAGGCACAATTGTCATGAACATACAGAGTTATCCTGCGATGGCTTATGATTTTCTGCAATATTCATTCAATATAGCTCGCTGAGCTGTTGTAAGGGCTTAATTTGGATGATCTGCCCAGCTCGTATTGCAGAAACCACTGCCAACATGTGGACAACAGATCAATGCTGTTACACTCAACAGCTACTGAGCGCAGTGTACCATTTCTGTTGTGGTGGCCTTCAAGATTCCTAGACGCAGCCGGTCCCAAACACCTCCCTTGGTGCCTTAAACGTCTTGGAGACAGCACAACTCCAGCTGTAACACAAAATCTTATCATATCGTTTCTAATGCAAGGTATGCCATCCATGTTCCAGTATCGCAAGCAGCATTCGTTCTCTAGATTGCTGGCCAATCCTTTCGCTATGCAGAATGTACCATTGTCGTTCTGGTCCTGTCCCTGGTCGACCCAACTCCGTAACTCCTGAGAATGCTATGTTCGTAAAGCGAGCTTGATGGTGGTGTTGTTGTTCTGAGTGACCGACTTGTTGCTCGCAGTAATCCGTGACGAAGGCTTCAAGGTCTTGCGTTTCACGACGCGGCTTGACTTGGTACCATAGTCGCTACCATCGTCTTCGTCGTCCCGCTGCTTTGGTTCGTACTCGTCCTCATCACTACCAGAGATGTACTTGTCGGTAGCGTCATAAGACACTTCGGTGTCTTGAGTGCTGGCCGGTGTGTTGTCGGTTGGTGAGTGAACACGGATGTTGCCTTCCTCATCTTTGTAGGCGACAGTAGACATATCAGTTCTTTTGCGGGTGCTCTTGCGTCGATCAGCACGCTTCCGGCGAGGATTATCACCATCGTCCTCGAGAGATCTCTTAGAGCTTGAGGAGCGGTGTGATGATGATACAGAAGTACTGCGAGCCCGGTGGTTGAATAGACTGGCATCGGTCTTCTGCATGACCTCCTGGAAAAGTTCGGCACCATCTGCGTTTCTGAGAGCTCGCGCAGTAGGAGTGCCGCTGAGCGGAGATGCTTCGTTTGGGACAGACGAGTTCCGTCGAGAGTCCTGTGCTTTGAGACGGGGACTCGGGACATTGCGTGGGACCGAGCCGTCTCTGGTTCTTGCAGAGTCATAGTGTGCTCGAGTCTCTTCATCCCCACCGTAGCAGATGTGCAAACACACAGGGTCCTCTTGGTCTGGTTTCTTGATTCTGTGTTCGTTGGAATAATTTAGGTGGTCTGAGGGTAGACCGGTGTCCTTAGGGAGATGTACCATCACATCTTGGTCGTATGATCTGATTCACCTGTCAGACTGGACATGTATAGGAAGAACCAGAGTCGAGAGCGTGATGTCTCGCCCGATTCAAGATCAATGGAATACGTACTGACAGAACGCAACAAGCTCCGGCTCTCCGCCATAGGTACCCGGACGAGCCATCAGGATCAAGTAGTCCTCGAATGGATCGACAGACTCTTGAGCAGTAGCATTTGTCGCGGATCGAAGCATACGGCGTCCTTGAACATCGTCCTTGTGTACGTGGTATTCGAAGAGGGGTTTGAAGTTGCGCATGTGCTCGATGACCTTGGTGCGGATCTCGAAGTGTCGGTCTGGGGTACCATACAATTGGTCACTCAGGGACGCAAAAAGACAGTTCCCTTGCAATCCATGGTTAGGACGATGACTGGCAGGATGCTGAATGGTACTCACCATCTCCTGCTATTTGTTTCTGCAGCATTCCGATCCTTGCCAATCCGGGCCAGATTGAGCGAGGTCTTCGCACCATCTGGGGCAATTGCTGTGGATGGACAGCATGGTTAGTGGCCATGGTCTGAACGCCATTTGACAAGATCATGAAGCAAAAAACACAGAAACAAATGATAAGCAGACTGCCACAGTAACAAAGTAGCAAACGTCAACTTGAAGCTGACGCTGCTGTTGAACAGCTGGGATGGGTGAAGGAAGGAGACAAGCAGGTGTGCTATGAGTCGTGTGCAGGATGCCGGTGACCAGCAATCGTGACGCGCTCTCCGATTTAGTGGGGAGCATATGCTGATAGGCACGCCAAAACGCGCCGCAGACACAAACCCAGGAGGGTTTTGGAGGAAATGCAGAATGACGATGATAAGGCTGCTGGGACAGGAGGCAGCGCGGGTCGGCGCAGCTCCGGGGGATGCGCTTACCTGGAGGACCAAAGCGTTTTAGGCTGTGGCGGCTTCCTAGGCGTTGCCTGATAGGCCGGAGGCCGACTGTACTGGAGCGGCGGACTTTTTGCTTGTAGACGATGTGTCGATCGTACTGGAGCGCCTTGTGATGAGGTCGATAGGTGAGCAGAGGAAGACAAGTGGAGGCGAGTTCGCAATATCAGAGACCTTGAAGAGTACTTTGACCTGCAGAGTATCTTGACTTGCGGCTGATGCCAGGCGATTGAACCAAATTTGCGAATGAACGAGTTTGAGTAGACTCACAACATAATAAAACCTCGGACAGGTGACCAACCTCAAGACAGCAAACAAACGAACAACTATTGTCGACTCAGAAGATTCTATTGACCAGCCTCCCGATTTTCTGCTCAATGGCAGCATCGAACAATGTGGTCGTTATCGGAGTAAGTCGCCTGGCTGGGCTGTATTCACTGTCGACAAACGCAGTCATGGGATAGCTACCAGAAACTAACGGAATCATAATCACAGGCTGGAGTCATAGGACTCACTACTGCATTGCTGCTATTACGACAGGGCCACAAGGTCACGATTGTAGCGAAACACATGCCAGGAGATTATGATATCGAGTACGCAAGCCCTTGGGCAGGAGCGAATTGTACGTATCTTACAAGCCTTCCGGATGCCTCATCTCTGCCCAGAGCCTGCGAGACCGTCTTTCCATCAGCACAAGTCATAGCTCATATCTATCGCGTTGCGTCGAGGCCTCAAGCGTCCGCACTGTCCCTTCTTGCTGATGCTATTCAGATGCCCCGTGAGTTCTTAGCCGGCCCGTGATCCAGACGCACGCTGACAGCAGGAAGTCTCATGACAGTTTCTGGAGAACGAGAGAATGAATGGGAGAAGGCCACATGGCCAATTCTTCAGGACCTCGCACAGGACACCCCAGCAGCAGGTATTCATTTCCAGCCGTTGCAAATTTTTGTTCGCGAGAAGGACTTGGGGACCCCAAAAGCCGAGAAGTACCAGCAAGCTCACAAGAGCCACGCGTGGTTGAAACACCGAGACATTCCGAAGGGTGAGCTAGCCGAAGGCATTGCAAGCGCAACCGAATTCGAGTCTGTATGCATCAACACTGCAATCTATTTGCCTTGGCTGGTATCGCGCTGTCTGGAGAACAAGGTAGTATTGAAGAGAGCCGTCCTCGCTCACGTCCGGGAAGCCGCTCACCTACACCATGGTGGTAGAATGGCAGACATCGTTGTAAATTGCACGGGTTTGTCTGCGCGCAAGCTAGGTGGTGTCGAAGATGAGAAGATGGTTCCCATCAGAGGCCAGGTCGTTGTTGTCAGGAACGATGCCGGCCTTATGACCTCGATCTCTGGAAACGATGCGCCGGACGATGAAATCAGCTACACGATGACTCGTGCTGCTGGTGGAGGCACCATACTTGGTGGTTGCTATCAAGTAAACAACTGGGATGCTGTTCCCGATCCAAGTTTGGCCACGAGGATCATGCAGAGGACCGTGGCAGTCTGTCCAGCGCTTACTCAGGGAAAAGGCATAGAACACCTTTCCATAATCCGACACGGCGTTGGACTTCGACCAATGAGGCTTGGTGGCCCGCGGGTTGAGAGCGAGATGGTGGAAGGAGTCAGTGTTGTTCATTGCTATGGGCATTCTGGGAGTGGCTATCAGTCGAGCTACGGCAGTTGTGGTGAGGCTGTGCGCTTAGTTAACCAGGCCCTGAGAGCAAGCGATACTCGGGCCAGGCTATGACGGACCAGGGTAGTCAGTTCTCGGAACTTGGAACAAGCCTGATCTGGTCGAAACAGCAGCAATGATGACGAGTTCCAAAAATGCCATAGAATTGCCATGTGGTCCGGAAGAAATGACCGGGGCAGCATCCGAAGGTCTCGGACTGAGATTCGCGTGGATATTCCTAGGCTTGGTTCGGTAGACGTATTGTCGAATACAAACCTGACGACAACAGGCGCGCGTCGAGCGACCATGTCACCATGCTCAACGTCTGTCAGAATTAAGACATGCAGGACAACTGCAAGGAACCACTTATGTGACAGGGTATAGCAAGCCCTTGAGCTTTTCTGCAGGAGAACGGCTGGTGATGATCACCGCAAGAATGGGAGCTAGCCAAGACCTGCCAGCACGTCGCCGTCCTGGCTCCAGAGTCCTGGATAGCACGGCATGGACTGGTCTGTTGGCAGTCGGTGCAAAGAGATCGAGCAGTGTCTACGTTAGCGTCAAAGGGCTTGTGTTGCTTGCCCCAGCTCCAATCTGTGGCGTGCCACTGCCGTTTGCGAGACACAACAGAAGACAAGCACTTCTTGCTTCGTCGGAGGGTTTTCTGTTTGATACCCGGCTTTTAGTGCCACATACGATTGTGCAGTACGCCACTCCGCATCTGACTTTGTAACTATCTAACGCCAGCTCGAGGAGAACTCTAGCATCAGATACACATTAATGAAGTAAAATGAATAGCACTCACCATCGAGGTTCGGTGCGTCACCGCCCAGATGCTTGGTATCGACAGATTCCAGCTCCGAGGGTCGATTGGATCGGCGCCTAACGAGCCTTGTTTGCAAGGGAATTGCCTTGCAAGTGCGAGCCAACCAATGTGCTCTCAAACATCTGCCGTGACCCTTTTCGCGCACCTTGATACTTTTACAACAGGCGACTGTCTACGAAGCAGCAGCATTCGAGCAGCCCTGGAGGGTCTCGGATGGATCCTCTTTCGGGCACTGTTCCATGTGAATATCTCGATGACGGAGGTGCAAACTTGACGGAGGAGCAGGCGTACACAGTAGCGGCGTGCCCCGTTCTGTGGCTGTTCTAGTGGCGTTGAAAGATGACGCTGCATCGCTAGCCAGCCCACTTTGATCGACCTCTAGTGCTCTCTCTTACAATTGTCCCATGATCTTCACCACCTTCATCACCCTTACCTTTCGGCCTGTCGCATTACTGCATTCTTCTATGTAATAACCACGTTGCAAGATTCTGATGTGCACGTTAGGTCTCGAACCACTTCCACTCGTTCACACCACAGAGGCCCGTCGCCTGCATCGAAGCTTCCACTGGCATCATCTTCTACAGCCCTGACCCTGGCACACTTGGGTACCGCTGCTGATTTGCCCTGGCCTTTTGCGCGACACCTGAAGCCCCTGCAGCAAGTCTCGTCATTAATAGAAGCGACCGCAAACGGATGTGTTCCGAATAGATGCCTGCCGAGCGTTATCGATTTGATGCCGCATCCCTTGCAACCGCAATCACATCTGAGGCCTTGAACCCAGTCCAATATGGGATTTTGGCCGTTTGGCGCCACTAAGAGAAATCGCAAGCGGGCTTCCGACGATCAGACCGCTAGCACTACATTGCTCGAGAAATCAGACCCGACTCGAATGGCTCGCAATGCCGGCCCCGCAATCGAGCAGGGAAACCCTCAGACTGCCAGCGCCGAGTCCAGGCAGCAAAATGAAGAGAGGACTAGAAAACTGTCAAAGCCTCGTCCACCGTCACAGAAGAACTCGGCCTACAATTTGCCACGTTCCGCCACCGCACCCTCTGGATTGATGAACCAGAACATGTCGCAAACGTCAATCGGACCCGAGAACTTCACGGCTGTGCCTCCAGTCCCTACATTGTATGCCCGGCGTCAGGGTTCCAACCCTTCCATTCTGCGCAAGAAGTCCAGCAAAAGAAAAGCGGACGATCATGCGCGCGAACGCGAACTCAAGGCGATGACCGAGCCCATGCCTATACCCAAACCTCGGAGACCGGCTACATATTCTGGATCTGGCCCGCTACAGCGAGAGATCGTTCACATAGGTGGCGATGGACGAAGGCCGCCCTCACAAGTGTCGCTGCCAATTCCCGAGAACATATCAGAGGTTGACGACGTCATGTATCAGAATTCCTTCAAAATTGGCATCTTTGCAGCACTCAGCCCACGACCAACAGTCAAGTATGACGGGAGAAGTCGTGGAAGTCTCGGCAAGCATCCTGCCCGCTTGGACCCTGTTCAGCAGTCTATCGAAGAGGAGGAAGACCTCTCATCATCCAAGAGAAGGATAGACGATCTGGCTGACAGCCTCGACTCGGCTGCACTCCGCGAGCTGCTTGAGCGTGACCAGAAAAGACGACTGAAGAAGCGTGAAACGGACAAGCAGAAGTTGCACAGGAAGCTGCAGAAGCGCGCGGACAAAGAACAAGAGGAGAGGACGAGACGCGCGCGCGCAGAAGAATTCGCACGAACTTCCTCCGCGAATTTGACCGAGCAGCAGCACGATGCCAGTCAGGGGACCGAAGCTGCTACTCCCGACGTCCCCGACGACGATCCGTTCTCCGACCCACAGCCCGTCGGAGTTGCTCATACAACGGCGATCCGAAATCCTTTCGAGGACGAGAAGGATGTGGATCTGATGCAAGAATCTTCGGACAGGGAAGAGGACGCGCCTCCGCCAGTACCTGTGCAATCTCCACGGAGGAAAGCGGCGACTGTACAGTCAGGACAAGCCCTCAATCCTTCTCAAGGAGCCATATCACCACCCAGCTCACCTGTCGAGCCATCTGTCGGCGACGGAAACATGTCTCAGCTTTCTTTCAAGAAAGAAGCCGTGCCAGCCGAAGTCACTGCTGGTCTCGAGCGGGACCGCCGAGCGTCTGAACAAAGTATGCCATCAGGCAGTTTGTGGACAACCTTCTTCCGGCGAGGGACCCGACGAGCCGAACCTACTGGCGAGCGTGGAAGATTGACTCCGTCAGAATTCTCAAACACAAGCGGGAGTCGTTCGCTCGCAAAGCCCCTCCACCACAACTGAATACATCACAAAGGACGTTCAGGCGGACTGGCAGTGCTACTCCGCAGAGGACGATGTCTAAGTTCCGCGAGGACCTTCCGGAATTGCCACTTTCACCTCCCGACTCGAGGATGCAGTCACCAGAAGCTCAGCCAGCTCAGCCGATCGACATTGCTGCTAAACCACTGAATCACGCTCGATCTGCACAGCTAGACGGCCGAAGTTTGGCCACGAGCTCAAGCATACCAACGTTGGATCGGGGCAGGGATCACAGCAGGGTGCATTCGCTGCTCTCGGGAGACAGTGAAGCACCTGTCCATGCTCTGTCCCAATCGCTTGCATCGGTCGATTCGGAGGCATCCTGGCTGTCAGGCAAACCAGTCAAAAGGCTGTCCGGCCCACTGAGCCCACGGAATCTCGAGTCTGCGCAGAATCCGGATGAAATGGAAGAGGTTCTCGCTAAAGATGAGTATCTCAATCGACTGTCCCCTGAGCCGGATGGCAGGCGCCAGTCAGCCATTTCTTCTGGAAGACGACCGAGCAGTACGCTGCTCGATCTCAAAGCCGAACAGCAACCAACTTCAACATCATCCAACACTGCCGAAGCCGCCGCTGCAGGCGAAACCTGGCACGCTGGGGTCGCTCGACAGCCGACAGTGGTGAAAGCTGCCTCCAGAGCCAAGTCCCGCGAAGGACTGCTAAAGGACTTCCAAACAGCCGACATGGACGCGATAAGCTCGGACGAGGACGACGATGGCCAAGCCTCGTCCAAGAGCGAGGAAGAGGTGCAACTCATGCGTGCTCGCAGTATCGACTACGGCAGCAGAAAAGGCCATGCACGGCACATTTCCGCTGGCAGTGCTAAGATGTTCGACGTACGAAGGGGCTCGGCACAGTTCGCTACTACTCCACCACTGAGTCCCGCCATGAGAAGCTCGAATGCTCTTGCTGGACAAGAGACGAGCACGAAGGAGGAATGAGCGCCATATGACCTGACGGTCTCATCTTCTATGTAACGATTCAAAAAGCACAAGTAATCATAGTGCAGCACAACAACGCGGTTAGCGCCTGCGTGAGATACCCACTGGCAGTCCTTGCCAGCTCTTCGAAAGCTCCGATGGATGATGAGATTGCCGTACGTACAGGCAGCGTTTACGACTGTCCTGGTCGGTTTTCGATTTTGTATAGCAACATGGACGGGCTTGGTTCATCTGTGACGGCCTCGATAATATAATCAATCACCTTGCTGCAGTAATGCCAGTATTTCGCGGCATCCCACTGCTGATTACCCTAGCGTGCATAAATATCTTGAAAAGCCGCCCCGGATTTGTGCTCGAGGAACTGAGAAGATTGCCATCTGGACGGCCCTCAGAGTGTCACGTGCTCAGATCAGATCTCGAATCAGACGGGGTAAAAGTATTTCAAATTATAGGGGATGATGCCATTCTCGCTCGCTGCTTCTGCTCCTGCTTCACGCTCTTTCCAAAATATCACCTATCCGATTTCTAAGCACTGCGGCAGTTGCTACCGACATTCTCCCTTTCGCATTGCAGGCGTGCTTTACTTGTTGCTCAGACTTCACCGCATTCAATACGTGCTTAATGCAAATGCTGTAAGTGATTCGGACGCCGATGCCGTCATCCCCCTGCGGCTGTAATAAGGCCCTGGCCCCTACTTTCGGAAAGAGTCCCCCCACCACCGCTTTCAAATACTGTACAAACCCTGCCACGTTGCTCTGACCATTAGATATACACTCGCACCTTCCAGTTGCTACTGTCCGTATTGTCCATAATACCTCACGCATAGTCTGACCTTGCCCTGAATACCAAGACCGAAGATAAATACCATCGTGGCTGCCTCAAAATCCACCCGAGTCTTTACCACAAAAATACAACACCCCACGTCACTACTATCATCACCACTCCGAGCAACTTCAACCACACCTCTTACCGCCACTACCCTCACCAGACAACCTATTCGTAAATACACAACCACCAAACCCACACACTTCACCCACACAACCACCAAAATGGCGTCCACACCTCGCAGATACGTAGCTACCACCAGAACAAGCTGCGCGAAGAGCAGCTGCGCTCTGCACCGCAATTCAAGAATCCCACCACACCCAAACCCAAGAAATCCTCTGCGTACGGCGTTAACCCAATTCACAGTAAATCATCCTACCAGACCTCCGTCGTCGGCGGCGACAAGATCGTGCTGCTCGACTGCTTCGCCACCTGGTGCGGCCCTTGCAAGATGATCGCCCCGAAAATCGCGCAGATGTCCGGCGAGGACAAGTACAAGGATGCGGTTGACTTCTATAAGTTGGATGTTGATGAGGTTAGCGACGTTGCGGCTGAGCTGGAGATTCGGGCGATGCCGACTTTCTTGGTGTTCAAGAATGGCGAGAAGGTTGAGGAGGTTGTTGGCGCGAATGAGAAGGCTATTCGGGCTGCGTTGGATAAGCATCTGTGAGCGGTCGAGTCAGCGATTTAATTTGAGGAAGGCGGCTACAGCAACAAGTTCTGATCGAGCTCGAATCGCGTTCGCAGGCCTGTCTGCTCATGGCACAACTTTCAAAGCATTACGGATGCGGGTTTTGGATGAACAACGCCTAGCATCGTATCGACACAACCTAGGTCGGTCATAAGCGCGACCGTCAGGAAGAACACTCGGTAGCAATTCAGAATGAATCAATCACAAAACCCATTGGAGGCCACAAGTTTACTCCTTTGTGCTCAATCCACACTCTCTGCGTTCCCTCTGCTCAGCGATTGCTACCTGTTTCAAGCCTGCTCACGGGCTGCCACGAAGTTGCTTGTCCCTGAATACCTAGCGGGCAGGACTGACATGTGGTCATAGAACACGGGATATCCAATGATGACATATACCCGTCACCCACGAAGATGACAATTCGATCCACTCTTCCGCAGACGCAGGCAACGCTGTGCAACTTCTGCTGTTGCTACTTGGAGGGACTGAAAGACGGCAACAAACCTATCTCAGCAGGTCCAGGCGAGTTGATCCGACCGAAATGCACTTTTACCTCGAAGACTCCTCCTGAACCTTCACCAGCGCATGGTGCACACGGAGCTCGTGCAGCATGCGGGTGGTGATGCAACCTCCATACGCCAGTCGTGGGCTTCTATATACCTAGGTATACATGCTAGCCTCGCACCGACCAAAGCCGACGACCTCTCGCACTCACCGATGATGAGTTCGGTACAAAAGGCTGAGGATGAACATCTGTGACGACTCTGCCCCCAAGCATTCGGGCACTTTTGCCAGACAAGCAGAAGACTTATCTTCGCATCAGTGTCGCGCATGCGCTTGACTTTACGGTCTTTCTCGTTGACACTACCCCGGTTGATGCTTATCGTGTGAGGACAGAGTTCTTCGTCAAGTTAGTGCATCCGGGAATGCTTCAGAGAGCGCTCAGGATTTGCGCAGACGTTCAAGGTACAGTCGTTCACGAAATCATCTGCTCCATGGACCATCGGAGACTAGCCCAGGGAGGCGGGCTCTGTACAGTGGAAAGGCAAGTGCAATCGACGGTCTTTCATTCTTGAGTATTTCTACTCAATAGCACTAAGTGCTCGTGAAAAGGCGCCCAGAGGCCGCCCCGGCCCAATTTACATGTCATGAACATTTGCTGATTATCCCTGCCAGCGGCCTCCTGACGGCCCAAAAACGCCTACTCCAGACTCCTCGGTAATGCTAGTAATGTAGAACGTTCTGCTTCTGTAGGAAGAACGCCTTGACCATGCTCGCTCCCTTCTCCAATACCCCTTTCTTGTCCTCCGCGGAGGCCTCCCTGGAGGACTTCCCACGGCAGCCATCACGAACGCGAGCAACAGAGGCAACAGCACGCTTCCGCACGCGCTTCATGAGGCCCTGCTTCTGCTTCCCCTCCTGCTGGGACAACCCAGTCTCGCCGTTGCGGTTCCCCATTTGAGCTAGATGACGCGCGATTTCTGGAAGAATTGGCACCTGTGGACGCGTAGATGCTTCGTTCGGAGGCGTGGATTGTAGAGCTTCGAGGAAACCCCAATCCGACGAGCCTCGCTTCTTTGGTGTAGAGCATTGCTGTGGCCGCTCTCCGTTCTTCTTGGTAGGTGCTGGAATCGCCTTCTTTCGCCACATATTACTCGCAGCTCGATCCACATCATGGTCTAGAGTGCTTTCATGAAGGACTCTTGAAAGAGATGCTGACGCCGACAGACTCGGGACCTTGGGAGCATAGTCGAGGTCCTCCCTGACATCGAGACCAGCAGGCTGAAGCGTAGCGGCATCGATCTCGGATCCAACTGTGATTCCTGCACTCAATCGAGCGTCTCCAGAAGTGCCGATGGCGTCTTGCTCTTCGCCTCGGACGGTATCATCGTCTTGATTGATGCTAACCGAAATATCGGTCATGATGGAGTCATGGCCTTCGACTTGTCGTTCCTCCTCGAAGGCTGGGCTTCCACCGGAAACGAGCCGCAACTTTCTGCGATCATGGGGCAGGTTCAAGTGCGAAGCTTGCGCATAGACTTTGCTACCATCTCCAGTCGTGTCTTCGCCGTCGTATTGTGAGTCGATCTCGATGGAGGCAGCAGGGTGGACAGCCGAGAAGCCCTCGAAGTGCGCCTGGGCTGACCGAGTCAGTTGCAGCGAAGCCATGCTGGACGAGTTGCACAATTGCACCGTCAGGGAGGGCTCTGTGGGTGCAAGATTTGGTTTGCGCAAATTTTTGTGCGAGTTTGGCACAAACAGTGAAGTAGCGTCTTCATTGTCAACGGCAACCACTGTGTTTTCAAGCACCTCATTAACTCCGTGATGTGAATCGTGTTTGTTCAACACTTCTGATGCACTCGCAGCAGTCAACACGACATCTTCATCTTCGTGTTTGACCTCAGAAGGTGTTTGCTCCTCCTGCACTGGGCCCACTTCTAGCACAGCTGTAACAGGAACAACATCGCCGACGATCTCGATCTCGGATTCTTCGTCGTCCACAGATGTCGACAGAAGCTCTGAGCCATCTTCCAGGTCCTCAAGACCTGTGGGCTCTAGGTGAGGACTGTCGAGAAAGTGCTTCACCACTTCTTTGCAAAGACTACCCTCGCTACCATCAGTGGATGTGCTCGAGAGCGTGGTACGAGCGTCCGGAACCGCTGGCGAGTCGTGTTCACAGCTTTCGCCTGCGCTCAGCGAGGTCTGGTCCGTCATGGAGGAAGCAGCCGAACACGTCGATGCTGGTGTTTGTACTCCGGTAGATGGAGCAGAAGCTTGCGCAGCAAAGGCTTCCAATTCTTCAGACTCGTCGGCCCAATCCATCAACTCCTCGTCGTCAGCCCAAGAAATGGCAGCACGATGAGCTTGCACGGAATGGGAAGTCTCCTGGACTTTGACGCTCATGGTTCGGGAAGGCTGGAAACGAGAACGCTTCGCTGCGGTGTGGGCAGCGATGCTCTGAGACTCAGTGGCGCCAGCTTCGTCTTCAGATGAGTCGACATGCTGGACATGTCTGAGACGCGATCGTCTATAGCCGTCCTCATCAGGAAAGGGTCCAGTCACTTCGAGGGTCGCCTTCTCGTCCGCTTTCTCCTGCTTCTTCCGCTCCTTTGCATTGAACACGTTCTCGCTAGCAATGTCGGAGTATTTCTGTATACATATGGACGTCTGGCCGTGGAAGATGACGTGTTCCTTAGTCCGCTTGTCAGCACATAAGACATTCTGCTCCGAAGTGTCATGATCATGCAGGTCACCAACAACTGGTCGGTCTTCGTCTTCGGAGAGCTCGTTCCAACTCCATCTCCCATGTGGAGTGTAGTACTTCTCCGTCACGCCAATGGCTGCATTCTCGAGGGCAGTGCCACGAGCCGTCGTCAGCAGCGTCTGATCACCCGAGAAGATAACTGGATCGACGTAACACAGTCCCAGCTCAATCAAGAGTTGTCTGCGGTCGTCGAGAGCGCCGTCGAAGCAGAGACTGTATTTCTGCTTGGTGGCTTGCAACACAGCAAGCGATGTGGCTGGCTTGGTTGTGGTCTTGCCGACGACAGGCTGACCACGCCAGTTGAAATGATGGATGTTCGGATCCAGCATGGCCATGACATGTTGCCAGCTAGCCGTGCACTCAGCATCTGACGGCTGTTTGACTGATCCAGTCAGGATCACGACCTGGTCGTTTTGATCTCGGTATTGTACGGTGACTGCATCGGCTAAGGCTGCAGCCAAAACGGCTGCTGCAGCTTCAGGTTCTGGATGTTGCTGGAGATGAAAAGCAGACAGTGGTTGATCATTCGGGCCCAACTGAGTAGTGTGGTCCAGGTCTGCTGCGCTGCTGGCCTGCGAAGTCTCGGGAAAGCTGACGATAATGCCTGCAGCATCATCGAGGGAGAATAGGCAATCTGGGCCATGAGCATTGCCGGCATCACCCTGGCTGCAGAGTAGCTCAGTACTATCTGCATGGTCTTGGGCATCAATTGCAGGTCCCGTGCCTGGGGCGAGTTCTGGGGTGCCGAGATGTGCAGTCGAGCCTGGCTGCACCAGATCACTGGCTTCACTCTGATACAGCGGAGAGTCAGCTCGCAACGGTGTAGCCTTGTGTGGTGGAGTGCCTACGACCTTGGTGTGAGGAACAAACTCGAGAGCTTCGGGGTGAAGTGATGATATATGTGCAGCTGAATGCCCGGCGCTGTTCTGTGGGACAAAGTCGTGGGCGACAGCGCGCAATGTCGACTCACGCGCGTCCGAGCGAGCAATGTTGGTCTCTACTGAGACGTGCGAGCTCTGTCCGACAGCCGGAAGTTCTGCATGGGCCTGATCACAATTGCTCTTGTCAAACTGGTCAACTTCCCGCCGTACGATGAATTCAGGGACGTTGGCGCGCAAGGCTGAGTTTGTGCTATCGGAGGGAAGCTGCGACGACTTTGAGAGGCCACCGACAACCGAGACCAGCTCAGGGTCTTGGCTGATACGAGAGGCCTTGTCCTGCGACTCATGCTTTGGACGAAAGCGACGCCGACTCGGATTCGCCCAGTCGCCATCCATGATCAATGCACCCCCAACAGTATGTGTGGGAAGCTGAGCGGTGTCAGTCGTTGATTCGATACCCTCTGGCCGGTGTCCAGATGGAAGGCCGGCGCCGTCGACAGCTAGCGCTGCATCTGAATGAGCCGGCGCATCTCCTGGATTGTTGCTATGGCATTCCTCAATTAGGCTCTTCTCGGTGGCGACCTCCATTGTGGACGTTTGACTCGACTCGGCTCCATTGCACGGTCTGGCATCAAGGAACGTGGAACACTGCCGCGAGGGCTCGACTCATCCCCTGGGCTGCTCTCTGACATGTTGCGCACAGTGACAGAATCATGGCTTCGAGCAGTACCGCAAGAAGGGGAAAACTCGACTGCCTGAGCGTTCAATGTGGACCACTGACGGCTTCCGGGGACGAAGCTGGGATTCTGAACAGCTTTCTGAAGGCTATAGGCAGTCGTAGCAGCCGGCTTGCGTGTCTTGGTCGACGAAATGCGGGAGCCCGTTGCTACTACGCCTGTCGAACGAGAACACGTGTGGGTGCGCGATTGCGCGAGTCGACTATCCGTGCCAACTGTTGTGGAGGGGTTTGTGGCCGTACGTTGCACGCTTGTGGTCGATAGTACCATTCTGGGCGCAAAGACCGCAGCGTTAGGATTCAACGAAGGCATCGTGACTTGCTCTGAACAGCGCAAGCGAGGATCGGGTTCGTTATGTAGACTGGTTCTCGATACTGTTTGCGTGGGCGTTGTGCTAATGTTGCGAACTAGTCTCGGTGGTATCTGTGGCTCGATCAACGCGATCTGGGAAAGATTGATTTATCTTGGTGGTAAATAGTGCTGCAGAGAAAAAGAGAAATGTTTATCTACCAAGCATGGCTGTGTTGTTCACCACTTCACCTGTTCACGCGGAGACATTGATGCGGCTGGGGCAACACCTACTCTGGTTGACGGGGGTGACCTAGTGAAATCAGGTCCATAGATCGCAGGTGTCACCACAGTGTCACATGAAGCCACATCGTCCCCGAGCCCATGTAGATGGTGCTCAAAGCACTGCCCTAGAGACCGTGCCGCAACGGCAGTATGTCGTCGGTCATTCGCAGACGCGAGATCTTTGCCACCATCAGAAGCATATCGTTGGCTCGCACGTCCGACGGCTCGAACGCTTCTCACTTCTCGAAGGGGTGCTTCAAATTATACTGTCGATCAAGGTGCACCCCAAGCGGTGGGCTTCAGGAATGGTCACAAGATATGAAGACAGCGACCGGTAGAGGCACAACAGTATGGATCGAGCAGACACCTAGCTGGTCCGCGATAAATCCCGCGGCTTGCAGACCGCCTACTGCACAGGTTGTTAAGCACGAACGTCCATGCCTATCAGCAGAGTCCACAAGAAGCAGCTTCGCCAACTCGTACTTGTCTCACTTACCAACGATGATCTCTTGGGACACACTCTGGTCGACTGGCATCGACGTGCACTGTCGCAAAGCTGCGGGGATGAGTGCTGGGATTTCATGCGATAAGGCGGCTCTCGTCATGATGAAGTAGCAATGAGATGGGACCAGAAAGGAAGGGCCAGCGTAGAAGGACGTTGAAAAAAGGCCTGCTGGATGTTTTCCCCCTTCGGCCCCCACAAATGGGCTCCGCCCAGACTGCTCCCAACTGCGTGTCGACCGACGATCTTCTTCCTCTACTAAGCTTTCGCGACAGCCCCAAACCTTTGATGTACACTCAACTGTGGTAGAGAAGCGTCATGTCCGCCATCTCATGTGTCAGCCATATCGGAAAGACATCCTGCCAGGGAGATGCTGCCTCTCATCAATTCATGGAAGAAGTCACCAACGCTTACCGTAGCTCCCGAGCTTTGAAAACTTCGACCAGAAGGTCGAACGGGATGAGTCGAATCAGCTTCGAGCTCTGAACTGAGCTCGGCGAGTCTGAGATTGGCTGAGAGTCGCGTTCGACGTTTGCAGCACTTCCCGACCTAGCCTCGGGAGAGCAAACATCTCCCTCCAGTCAGATCCCTCCATACTCAGGTACTAGCAAATGGTCGAAAGACTCGTTCTCGAACGATACAAGCAGTCAGAAGCATGTCGCTTGCACACCAGTGCGTAGGCTCTCTAGATGTGAGCAAGGCTCATTTGTGGGATTGTCTCCCGTACCGGTAGTCGCGACCATCAAGGTTAGTGGTCGATGTCGAGGTTGATATGTCGTGACCGCGTTCATCGTCGAAGTCGGTTCATCCCCGCAAAATGCAGGCACCCGAAGGACACTTCCAGCACGAGGCAATCGTTCTTCTGGATGCTCTTGCCGTTGCCATGTGCAATTTCCATGCGATGAGGGAGGAGCAGCCGCTCACGAACTACCATGGCTGACGTGAACGGCAGTTGCTGCGATTGCAATTTTGATCCCGTTCTACATATACCATCGAGCCATGACTCGTTCGATCGTTCCTCGAGATGCCTTTCTGTCCTCAATCTCCCCCCAAGGAACTCCGCAAGTTGAGCAATGGCAGCACTCCAGACCAAATCCGAGCTCACTGATCATTCTGGCACCAACTTTGCTGCTGGCTTCAACACTCCTGCTGCAGGGTTGGCAGACCTCTCTGTTATTGGACCCCTTGTGGCTTTCGCCCTTGTGAGCAACCGTGTCTACTGGCGTCTGAAAACCTTGGGAAAGGTTTGGTATGATGACGGGTGCATCATTATCTCTCTGGTGAGCTTAATTCAGCACGACCATCATCACAACTCATGCGTTGTCCTAGGCATTCCTCATCGCTCAGTCTGCAGCCATGTTGGCGTCGAACAACAATGGTTACGGGGTGCCTTCGAGTCAGCTGTCGCAACCGGACATCGAACATGCTCTATATGTAAGTCGACCAGGCCCTCATGAAGCCGTTGGCTGATCAACTGGGTAAAGTACTTCTCGCAGGTACAAGTATACTACAAGCTCACCATAAACCTCACGAAAGCCTCCATCGTCCTATTATACTACCGCATCTTCACCACTCGGGCCTTCCGAGCTTGCTGCATAGCAATTCTTACAATCATCTTCATCTTTGCGACGAGTCTCACCTCTACCACAATTTTCCAGTGCACACCAATTAAAAAGATATACATCCAATCTACTCCCGGTCAGTGCCTCGACCATCTCGTGCTATGGCGAGTCAACGCACTTTACAATATACTTTCCGACATCGTCATCATCTGCATGCCCTTCCCAGTTCTTCGATCTCTGAATCTGCCAACCGGACAATTCGTCGGTCTCGCTCTCATTCTCTGCTGCGGCATTTTCGTCATTCTTACGGCAATACTGCGCTTCACCACCCTGGGCACATCAGGCCGCACAGATGATCCCGTCAGCGGAACGCTCCCCTCGACTGTCTGGACTGAAGCTGAGGCTTGCGTTGCCATCATCTGCGCTTGCTTGCCGATGATGCGGGTATTGCTTCAGCGTTGGCTGCCATTCCTGCGAAACTATGCCTCAGGCTCGAGCAGATCGGACAATGCGGTTGTTTCCCAGCCACGATACGACCAGGCATCGGAACTGAGGCCTTACGAACACCTGGAGAGTGACGACGGATCGCGAAGACTTCATGCGCCGTGTCCCATCGTGCCCCGAAATCCGAGTCAGCGCTACTCAGCACAAGGACTACCAGTCACCATCGTAGCAGGATTCAAGGCAGACGCATGAGATGCTGGGGACCGTCTTCCACCTGGCATCGTTCTTGGAGCGAGGGACCTGCCCACGGAAGGCCGTGGCACGAGCCAGGACGTGGACGTAGTGGCCTACATGAAGGGCAATTGTGGAAGTAATGTGTAACAACAGCCAATGTCTATTCTAAAGCGCCTTCTGCAATGCGAGTGGCCTCTATCATTTCAACTCCATAGTTCTGCTTCGTCATCAAACTCATAATCACCATTTGCGCCGGGTGTTTCCTCATCTCACTATCGTATCTCATAGATATGCGCGTTCATTCTCCTCCACCGAACGCCTTCCCCTTCCAAGCCCCCACAACGTCGCAAACGTCCATTCGTGCCTCCGCCTCCGCCTTCTCCCTGCCTCCCTTTCCGACCACATTGCCTCCTTTCCCAACAATAGCCCTCAGGCTCCAGTCACCGAAGACGCCGTCCTCACGACCATACTTGCAGCTCACCGTCTCTATCTCTTCCCAAAACGCGGCCTCTATATCATAGTCGGCGACAAGAGCGTTGGGTACCGGAAGTGATGCTCCCCATGGCTTCAGAGCAGTGCCATTACTATCGAACGATGGGTTCGCGCGGTCAGGCGGCTGGGTCGTTGATAGAAAGAAAGTGGACGGGTCGAATTTGGGAAAGTTGGCATGCAGAAACAATGCTTGAATATTGGGAGTCGAAGGACTTTGGCTGATATTGCGGTCTGGTCGAGGATCTGCTGCGGGGAAATCCGAGTCGGTCTTCTCGGTGTCCTTTGGAGAGTCGCCAGGGGAGTCACCTGATGGTGCTTGGTAGTAGGCGTAGTCAGCGACAGGGTCAAATTGTGCCATGGCACTCCCAACGAAGTCGCCATTCGAATCGAAGTGGCCCATGGGTTCGACACCTTTGTGAACCAAGTAGAAGGAATTGTTGGTGGCTATTGCTGCCCAGCCAAAGGTCTCCTTGTCTCCCTGGCCGGGTGCTCCTTGTGAGTGGAGAACGTAGTAGTAATCTGGTCCGAAATAGTTGTAGTAGGCCGCCAGGAGAAGCGTGAAATTGTGCTTTCGTTTGTTGAGGAATATCTCGCCGGATTCTATCGATGGCCGGGCGGACAGGTTGGGCATCTTTCGAATCGAGGCGATCTCAAAGTAGTACGGGGACTCCGATGGGTACCAGAAATCTGGGTAGAGGATCATGCCATGCCTCTCAAAGACTTCGGACGTAAATACATATGAGGGATCTGTGGTGGGGAAAGCGTCGGCGTCGAGGAGGAGCACCGATTCGAAGCTCGAGAAGAGCAGTGCGATCATTTTGAATTGATAGCCTTGTAGTTCGACGCCGGAGTCTGACGCGCGGACGATGTCGCCAAAAACGATACATTTAGCGTTCATGCTGGGGAGTATCGAGTCGCACAACTTCGCGTTGTAGTCCTTGTGGGAGTCGAGGAAGACTTCGACTGGGAGAGTCGTTCCGGTCTTCCGAAGCATGAGCAGGCTCGTGAGCAGCACAGGGAACCGGTTGCCTGCCACAGTCATGACGATTCCCGTCGTGTCTGCCACATAAGACATGCTCAAACCATCCTCCTTGACATCCTGGAGGAACTTGCTGTGTGCTGCTTTCAGCGACGCAATATCCGCTGGCTTGAGCCATAGCAAATCGGGACGTGGTGGCGAACGTTTTGGATCGAAGCGACATCCAGCTTGTGAGGGATTCCAATAACCTCTGGAGAAGTACATTGCGGATCATTGAAGAGAATCTTGGAATAGAGTGATCTCCAGAATTTTGCTTGCTCGACGATGAGAGGGTTATCGGTGTGCTTGGAATTTGACGTCCCATGTCTGGTCGCCCTGTGGTTCCATATCTTATCGGCCAAGACGAACTTGTATAGCAGGATGACCCATACACTCGCAAATAACAGTGCAGCGTATCTGTTACCGCATCGATTCCTCCATTGCAGCAACATTGCTCCTTGCTATCGAGCTTGACGAGCCATCAGGTCTTTCATCGGCAGCGCCGACCTAAGTGACTGCCGAAAATGTAGCTCAGAAGACAATTGCCGAGCTTTTGTGAGTGAATCGCTGATGTTGCCTTCTGCACCCGTGAGTAACCACGAGTAAAATCCAAGGTGCCTGCCATCTCGAAAGTGACTAAAGTCTGATAGCTAGCAAGGGTGGAGCGGACTTTGTATGAGCGTGACGTGGACAGAGCATGCATCGCCTGACTCTATTTGTGGGTTTGATCCAGGCAAGAATCTAGGGAGAGATGCACGTGCCTGCCGTTGAAATAGGCTCTGTCGGAATCCGGCCTATTGGCTCGAAAACTTGGAACCCTTGCAAGCCCGTTGCACGCGTACCGCAGGCTCGATAAACAAGTTCGCTTTCTTCGCAAACCATCATGATGAAGGCAGGTCATCATCGGTATGACCACCCTCTTTGGATTCCGAACGATCCATGGATAAATTTGCGCATTATTCGAGGATCAGACTTGAGCAGCCGACACAAATTATCTCGAATGTAGGTTTTGATCCTTGTCGAAAGCAGTCGTGTGCAAGCAATTCACAGGAATGAGACGACTTCTTCGCCGTGGCGGCAACATACAGCGTGTGATACCGCACCCGCACCACCACACGGACAGGTTTTCGAAACTTGACAGCCATCTCGAGATGCTGAAAGTTGGCAGTGTTATTCTGATCATCATAATTTGAGGTGTTCTGGTCGCAATCGAAATCGCCAAGTGGAGCTGATGGCGTAACATCGATCTAGGTCGAATCCCTTTTGTGCTTTCGAAAACCTTTCCAGTTCTGTCCTTGCCTCACCTACAAGCACAGGCCTTGGATGGTCTCTCTGTTCGACCGCCATCCATCGGTCTTAAAACATGCAGCAATCGTCAAGAACGTGCGCCTTAACGAAAATTCATTCCGGCACGCGAGCGATGCGATCGTCAACAATGTCATTCAAACGACCAACAGCTGGGCACTCGCCGTGGCACTGACGTTGCTGGTAGCGCTCATGCCTGTAAGTAAGGTTCCTCTGCTGTGAGTTTTCCCTCCACAGTCTACACGTCCGTGTACATCTAACAGTCCTTCTAGCTCCCGACCACTGATTGTCTTACGGAACATGCCCTCAGTCTTATAAGTAACGAACAGTAAGAGTCGAAAAACTTGCTCACCTATCTTCTACGCTGTAGTGTCCACGTACTCTAGGCTCATTAGTCTCATCGCTACGGCAATCATAGTCCCTGATCTGGGCATTGTCATAGCATTTATAGGCTTAGCTATATGCTATACGATCGCTATCATTCTGCCGTTGTTGTTCTACCTTTGACTGTTCGCGCCGAAGTTGTCTGCAGCGATAAAGCTGGCGCGTGTACTGCTCCTGGTGGTTTCGAGCGCATCGGCGCTGGTGGGAGCCGTGTGGGCTTGTGGTGTTGTGTCTGGGTGAGAAGGGGGTGGGTTTTGTACTTTTCGGATACGCTGTGTATAAAGATAATTGCGAAGCGTTGCATGATTTCGTCCACCGGAATCGACTACCAACCTCACTAGTAGTACAGAGATTCCCAACGCCCTTCACGCTGTTGTGATACTGTGGTCAAAAACCCTGCCCAATTCCTAGTTGATCAAGATGCAAATTCCCAACCAATCTATTGCATCATGCAGGCGTTGACGCGTCAATTTGCCAGCTTCCCAAGCGCATCAGATCAGTGTAGTCCACTCTCCCCCGTTCTCGCCATATGCTGCTGGCACGCAACCATCATCTCAACCTGCTTTCCCAGCTCGCCCAGCCGCCCAAGCACTTCCTTGTTCCCGTCCACAAACCCCCTGATACTATACTTGATCCCCGTCTCCGCACAGAATTCCCTGACCAACACCTGCAGTCTGCGCAGGTTATGCCGCGGTACTTGTGGGAACAAGTGGTGCACGGCCTGGAACTGCAGGCCGCCGTGGATAAAGTCCAGCCACTGGGGGCAGTCGACGTCCATGGTGGTGCGCAGCTGGTGCTGGGGAAAGGACTCGGCGACGCCGAGGTCCGCCGTCGGCATGCCCCAGTGTGAGAGGGTGATTTGCACGTGCAAGGGCATGGTGATGAGGTGGGAGATCAGGACAAAGGCGATACGAATTGGCCAGGTGGGGAGGGTGCGCCAGACAATCAGGTAGCCGAACCAGAACCAGTAGCAGGCGATAAAGGCGACCTCGGTCGGACGCACCCACGATGTGAGGCGGCTTTTCTGCTTAGGCGCATTGTACAGGTGGTGGACTGAGAGCGCGTAGAGGTTGAAGCGGGCGACGGCCATTACCGGGTAGTAAGTGTACTTTTGGTACTGGACGGCAATGTTGGCAAATGCGTCCCATGCGAAGGTGAAGTCGTAGTAGGTCGAGTGCACCGATTTGATGAAGGACGGGCAAGTGGAGAAGAGAGGGACGTTCTGAATATCCGGATCATGTTCCTGGCTGGGGTGTCAGTATGCGTTGTAGATCTGGAAATCAAATGTTGCTGGCATGAACAGATCCGACAATCGGCAACGGGACACAGGCCGACGTAGTAGGAAGTCTTACTGGATGATTCGTGACTAGGTGATGGACATTGTGACTGCTCTTCCACCAGCCCATAGAGAGGCCACAGCAGAAGTCGGCAATAAACAACCCGACTAGAGTGTCGGTGAACATGGAATGGGTGATGCCTCGGTGCCCTGCATCGTGCGCAGTGAACATTATCTGATGCTGGTCATAGTCAGTGGCAGGCGGAGGTGTGGGAGAGGAAAGACCCACCCAGAACAATCCAAGAAATGCTGCTGAGACCAAGAACCAGCCCGCCCGCAGGCTAAGGTAGAAGCAGGCAAACAAGAGTGCATAACGGCTGACCTCTTTAGCGTACTCACCAAGGTGGCACTCATAGTACCCTTCCGCTCTGACGCGTTGATGTAGATTTTGGAACTTGAGGTTGATGGCCTGCTGCGTGTCGGCGTCGAGCGATGGATAGTCGCGGAGGTTGGCATCGATCTCGTGTTGAACAAGCTTGTTCACGTATGTTTGAGACCAATCAGGGGATTCTTCTGGGTTGCCTGAAGGCCTTCCCCGCCTTTTGCACTCCTCGTTCGAGGATCTGGAGGAGGAGCAATCGGAGTCTGTATCATCTTCTTCTTGTTTTGCCAGGCGATGTGCACCGCGCCCTATTGGCGTTGTGAGATTGACCCAAGGTTCTACAACACAGCCGATTTGGTACAGGTCCATAGATGATAAGGTTCGGGCGGAATGGTAACTGATGGGTGGAAGCCCGATTCGTCAGCATGATGAATAAGTCATTCCGCCGCATCCGGCACGCCTGTGCGGGTATAAGAAGTCGGACTGCACCCGTCACTAAGACCGTCCAAGGAATGGAAGGTGAGTGCGCTGTCAAAGATATGTTTACACGTTGATTTCGTTTGTGGCATCTCTTCCCACCATGTGCGTTATTGCAAGCCGCCCTCCAGGATGTTTATCAAGCCAGTTGTCGAGTTTCAGCACTCGTCCTTCTGATATTACAATGCTGTTGCCCATCGCAATCATTCCCTCGATGGTCGAGGGAGAAAGAATCTGCGTCTTGCGATGCATCTTGACAGTAAGGTAGGTTGGGGTGTCGGTCGCGCTGGTCGACGTGAGGCACTGTGTCGACATGGTCAAGTCATGTATGAGTATGTCAATGTGTGACCACCTAAATCTTCACACCTGGCAATGCATGTTTCCGAGCTCTGGAACAACAACTGTCCCCTATGGGAGCAACTAACCGAGATGCGGCTGGTGGCGATTTCACAGGGGGCGCAGTCTGGGCTCCTCAGGGTTTTTCGCCATCCGGTCATCGAGACCGACAAAAATCGCGAAAATCGCTGAGAGGCGGAACACGTGTGCCCGTGCGTCACGGTCACTCCGCTTGGCCGTTAGTGGACACGGCTGGAACTTCCACATCCTGGTCTGTGGTGAAATCGAAACTGCGCAAAGCTACGACAATTCTTGCTAGGTGCCGGTATTTTGAAATCGAGAGGCCGTGATATGCAGGTGGAGAGTCAAGGCCGTTCGAGTTTCGTCACAGTCACTTCTCGCAGTTTGAAGTCGCCCTGGTTGGCGGAGCTCATTGACACCCATCGCTATGGTCTCATGTGTGGACATTGCGAGCAAAGCCGGGGACATGAGGAGGTCCCAGCAGCCCAAGACGTGTGCACGTTTACTGCCAGCTGTCCCACAGTCATCCAATAAGGCATGGTGCCAATGACATGGACGCCGAATCCGGGCCATCGAGCATATGAGGAGCATCTACATGCTGTTAGAGGGACTCAAGGTCAAGCTGATTCGGAAGTGAATATTTCGGGCAGGCCCAGGGAATCCAGTCGTCGTGTCTCACGCAGCATGCGTTCAAGCTACCAGGAATCATAAATTTCGCCGTGATTGAATCTGGAAGATCTTGCACCGGAAGAACAATTCCGCACGACTGCAGGACGTAAAATTGCATCGCTGCAAGCCACTCTGGCGTGAATTGGGTGGGCCGGCTCGTGGGAGAAGAATCCGGAGGCTCACACAACGATCCCCACGATTATCGTGTTGAAGAGCTGCGTTTCGCCAGCACCTGTCCCCCACAGCTGCCCTCCGGAGCGGGGAGCGAAGCCTTCTGCTTGGCGGCACTGCAGTGAAGCCTGTGGGGGTTGACGAGCTTCTCAAACCTCTACCAAAAGTCGCGGTGATGCATGGTCGCCGGTGGTCACTCGATGCCACGGCTCCATCACATTAGCCGCGTCAATGGCCGAGGTGATCAGCAGATCGTCCCCCGGCGATGGACAGTCTTGTCCTCTTCAATAGGTCTTCAGCCCACCTAGAATCTCACTACCAGCAATATCATTGACTGACCAAGCCGTGATGTCCAGTAAGTCCGCTGTGTACCGCAGGATCTTGCGAAGGTTGATGGCGCTCAACGAAACTCTGTGGAAAGACTGATCTGTCGAAACATACAGCCGAGTACCTGGCAACCCTCGAGGCCCTTCCCACCGCCACCCCAGACTCACAGCCACCAGTGACCGGCACCGCCATCGTCGACATATCCCACGACACCGGGCCACCACAACACCTCGCTGCAGGCTTCATCTACGGCATTCCCGACCAACCCAACCAAATCCCCTTTAACTTCTACACCGACATCAAATTCCGCTACTCCCGCGCCGGCGGCTCCCAACTTCCCAATAACCGCGGCTGGGCCAGCAGCGAAGCCGGGTACGAAGTCCGCTTCCAATCCGCCCTCTCCAACTACCGCACCACCCGCCAGCACGGTGGCGAATTCATCTGGCTGATCTCTGACAACTGGGGCGCAGATGGCGGGCAGCCTAAAGATGCGCTCTGGCCGGGCGATGACGGTGACTGGACGCATTTCGACAACTTACTTACCCGCTTCATCGCCGACGCTAAGCAGCATGATATCCTTGATGGCTTGGTCTTCGATATCTGGAACGAGCCCGACCTGCACTTTTTCTGGGACAGATCGATCGAACGCTGGCTCGAGCTTTGGTCTCGCTCGTATCATGCTGCGGCGCGAGCTGCCAGGGTTGCGCGTCACTGGCCCTTCGTTGTCCGCCTACCCAACCCACGATCACGAGTGGTGGAATGCATTCCTCGCGCACATTGCCAAGGATGGCAGCTTTCCGGACCAGTGGGCATGGCATATGGAGTCCGGCGACCCAGCCTCTACGATGAGTACTTCTGTAGCAACCTTCCGCGAGATGCTAGCAAAGTACGGTCTACCGAACAAGCCAGAGGACACGGAGATCAACATCAACGAATACGCCACCTACGCAGAACAACTGCCCAGTGCAGGCGCATGGTGGATTGCGCAGCTAGAGCGGGAGAATTGCCTCGGCTTGCGCGGAAATTGGGCTATGGGAGGAGCGCTGCATGATTTCTTTGGCGGACTGTTGGGGAAGCCTGGTGCTGGGAGAGTTGAGGAGTATGATGCTGAGGGAGGTGGGTATTGGTTCACGGCGGAGGGGCAGATTTATGTGTACTACGGGCGTGCGATGACCGGGAAGAGGGTGGGTACGAGAGCGACGGAGGATGGGCTAGGGGATGTCTATGCTACGGTGGAGGGGAAGGTTGTGAGGGTGCTGGTAGGTTCGAGGGCCAGGGTCGGGGAGTGGGCTGTTGACGTTCGGGGGTTTGAGATGGGCGTCAAGGCAGTGAACGTTAAGAGACTGGTATTTGAGGGCGATGAAAAGGATCATCTCAAGAAGTTCGACGGACCCCGGATCGTGTCGGAGGCGGAGAAAGTGGCTGTTGAGGACGGGAAGGTGCTGTTGAAGATTGATCAAAAGGAGACGGCAACCGCGTATGCTTTTGAGATTACCATTACTTGACTGGGAGAAACCGTCCAGTTCGATAGAGCGGCAGCCGCTAAAAGCTGTCTCCTACTTCGCAGACCCATCCGCACCACCCTCCTTCGGCAACCCTTTCAACAACCGCTCCCGATTCTCCTCCAGGAACTCCCTAAACCTCACCAACCCAATCCCCCACTTCTCCTCCAGCGCCTCCACATCAACCTCCTTCCTCTGCTTATTCGACAACAAATGAAACAACCCCATATTCCCCGTCGCCTTGCCCCTCTTCACCGCAATACTCCTCCCACCAACCTCCCCAAGAACCCTCGCCGCCTCCTCCGCCGTCAAACTCTCACTCACCAGATCAATCTCCTTCCCCCTGAACTTCCCCGGATCCAACAACGCCGCCGCCGCAAACTTCCCCACATCATCCGCACTCCCATGCGCAATCTCAATTCCCTCATCCAGACGCGTCGGCAACAGGCCCTCACTCACCAGCTCCGGAAACACGTAAGTTGACCAGGGAGGGAGGTAGTCGTGATACAGCACACCCGGACGCAGAATCGTGATATTGGGCACGCCGCTCTTGCGCACGGCTTCCTCGACGGCGTGCTTGGCGGTGTAGTATGCTGCGAGGAAGCCGGAAGGGTCGATGGTGGTGAGGAGGGGGAGTTGGGTGTGCATTTCGTTCGCGCGGAGGGTGGAGGACAGGACGATGGTGGTTAGGGAGGAAGAGCCAGATTTGGTGGCGTTGATGATGGCGGTGGCATGGGACTTTGCGATGGAAGGGTCGAAGACTGAGGGGTTGAGGAACTGTTTGGTTTGTGCTGTTAGTACTTGTTTGGTGTGCATGGGAGTGCTGGTAGGACTCACCAACCCGGTGCACCCCATTGCGGCCTCCCGGAAGACCTCATCGGGCTCCTCGTGCGTGCCCTGGAACAAGGCGACGCCCTGCTCCTTCAGCTTCTGTGCCTTCACAGATGAGACGTCCCGGACGACTGCATGGATTGCAGCTCCTGCGGCCAGTAAGTGCTTGACTACCGCGCCACCTTGATTGCCTGTTGCGCCCGTGACGAGAAAAGTTGGGGCCATTGTGCGCTGAGGGGCGTTGTTGGCTTCGTGTGGTATTGGCTAGCTGTGAAGACGGTAGACATAGTCTGCTTTGATCATGGCGTGGCGACTTCCACCCGTATGTATACTCAGTCATTGGTTGGAGACCGCTCTCGACGAGCGGCGTCGTCAAGCTTGAACCTACCTTTCCTCCATCTGCAAGCACCACGCTGGTGACCTGAGACCATGACGGTCACTGACTGACTAATATCAGACCTAAACTCCGATATGGGCGAGCACAAGCTAAAATGCGATGTTCGTGATCAAGCCTGGGGTAATGTCATAGAGGGAACTTTTCTCGGCCATGTCATTGGATCTTGAGCTGCCAACGGCTCGTCCGCTGACAAAAGCAGACACGGCTGGGCAAGGTGTGTTGAGCGCAAGCCGTCGGCAGAGCGCCATGTCGTCGGTGATGGAGCGCTTATGGACACTGGGATATACCCATTGCAGTTTGAAGGCGGTGCATCTGGGTGCAGTTGAGGGAACGGGAAGACAACGGAGACATTGCGTTGTGTGGGTGATAAATCAAGCATGTATTTCTTCTGTCTAGCCTCGGCATGACAAACATCGTGGCTTCCTGTACCAACAAAGAGCTCCCCAAATTGAAGATGCCCGAAAAGTGCGCTGAACATGCTACTACACAGCCATGTATGAGACGCCTGCTGGTGGCAGCGAGGCTCAAGAATTTTCAACAGTCGTGACGTTCGTATCCCAACGCAAGAAAAAGGCGACGCTCTCATCACCATACGCCGCATAGTGTGCTCAAGTGTTTGTACAAAGCCTTGCTCTTCTCAGTATGTCTCCTCAGCCTCCGTGCTCCATGCACCTTCGCTGCCCTCCACGCTGGCCAGTCTCTCGCCCATAGGAGGTCGATGATTCTCGTCTGCAAGATATACCATCGTTTGCGTTTGGTGGTAGTTGTGTAGTCGCTGCTTTGCGACAGGAGGCGCCATGTGAGCGTGGGTGTATGCTGCGGGATGCTGCTTGTTCGTAGCTGTAGGGTTTGGTCTCATGCCGTACGCATTACGTTCCGACTCGAGCTCACTGACATCAGAGTACGACTCCCAATTCTCGGAAGTGCTGGTTGCAGTGGTGCCCGTTGTCATGTTCGAAGAGGTATTCGAGGTCTGTCGCGAGGTCGGATCTGGGCGTGGAGGTGGCGGCATCATTTGTGGATGCTGAGAGACAGAAGCATGGAAGTCTTGCTCGCGTGATCGCGATGGTGGACGAGGGGCATTTGGATACTGTGATTGCTGTTGCTGTTGCTGCAGCTGTCGATCTCTGTTCACCAACGATGCCGACATGTATGACATTCGCTCGCGATCATCGTAGACATCTTCGGGAGACATCGGTCGGACGTAGCGGCCACTGTCGTTGGATCCATTGGACACTGTGCTTACAGGGCGAGCTACTGGTTGATGATTGCTATGGTATTGCGGCTGAAGTGGTTCATGCTGCGGAGCCTGAGGTACAGCTTGAAGATCGCGCATCTTTGGCGGAGGCACTCGAGGTGGTCCCATTGCACGTAGTGTGCCACCAAAGTTTGCAGCTTGAGTGGGAGCGTTGTGTCGTCGTTCTGGAGAATTATTGCCGTACTGCAGATTGCCGAGGGGTGCCCTCGAAGGTATCTTGGATGGCGATTTCTGTTGTGTCGAAGGTGCAGCAGTTGATGCCACTGATGCAGCCACTTGTGACCTGTTCGACCCCGATCGTCCAATTGTCGGTGTCTTGCTCACTGACTTCGATGGTTGATGGCCACGCATTGAGCTCTGAGGTCTCGGAGGCTGAGCTTTGACTACGGTGCTCGGTGCAGATTTGGGCTGGGCGGCTCTCGTCTGTTGGGCTGCTGGCGTCTTGGGTCGAGCTGGCATAGCGTTGGGTGTCTTTGAGCGAGGTGGCGGCGCTCGAGTTTCCATTTCCTCCAGCTCATCGAGATAGCTCTGGCCGTGGACCAAGAACGGTCTCCCATAATCGTCCTCGTACTTCTGCAATGTCTTCACCAGAGCAGCTGCGACTTTGGGAAGCTCTTTTGCGATACGTTTTCGCATCTTCTCTTCGCGCAGTAGCTTGCCAGGGTCGCGTTTCTCACCTTTCTGGGGTTTCATCAACAGTCTTGATGCGTCTGCTGCAGAAGCCTCGAGCGACTCCTTGTCCGCAACAAGAGACCGATGTTTTTCGATAGCCTCGAGTATCGGTGCTCGCTGATCCTTCAAGGTGATCAGTCTCTCAATTTCTGCTTCGTGCGCTGACAGAAGGGCATCGCTGTAGACATCAGAGAAGGCAGGTGTGAAGTCCAGCATCTCTTCTTCCGAAAAGAACAGGGCATCCCATAGTTCTTGTAGGCGGACGCGTGCGTCCTCAACGAACAGGTGCAGGTTCTGTCGCTTCAACTCATTGAGCCTCGCCAGCTCATCTTCGAATTCATTGATGGTCCTTAAGCCGCAGCCTCTGTTTGCAGCAAGGAATGCTTTCCGGTCAGCCTCTTCAATGCCCAATCGGTCCCATAAGCTTTCGACGGCCTTCTTCATGTCGGACAGTCGCTTCTCCCGGTTGCTCTTCTCGTCTGTGAGCTTATCACGCCTGCTCTTAAGCCTGTCCAGGTCTGCTTGGTGTAGACCGAGTTGTTCTGGTGACTCGCGGTAGTGCTGAACGATGGAAGAATCTGTCTGCGCTTGTGGGATACCGAGTTCCGACCACAGTCTTACGATCTCCTCTGCCATGCTTTGAACCATGACGACGCGCTTGTTGTACTCGTCGTAGACGCGAGTGAACTCTTCGTCGAGCTTCGCAACATACGAGGGCGAGAGGTCGAAGTTGGGTGGGCAGGTGTTGGTGTTGGTTGGCGGTAATCGGATCTTGATGTATGAGGCCGCTCGAGGTGTGAAGAGTACGATTCCAGAGCTTGTACAAGCTTTTTGACCTGCTCGAATCTTTCGCGGTGTAGTCTTGCGACCGTGTTGTATTTCTCCTTGAGATCTCGTAGACATTCGTTGAGTGGAAAGGAAACTCGTAGTCCAGTAGTCCCAAGATCATAGCCGCGGTCTTTCTCGTCGTCCAGCGACGCTTCCATCTGCTTGATTGTCTTGATGATGTTGGTGGCTTCCTCGGTCATCTCACTCTTCTCACTAAGTCTTGTCAGTACCGGAACATGGAGTGACAGGCCGAGAGCCATACGAGTTGACCAGTCTTAGCTGGTTATGGAGCGTGTCTGACAGAGCCGCGAACAGCTCAGTCTCACGAGAGTCGCGTTCATTTCGAGGTATGCCAATCTCGTCCCATATGGTGTGAAGCTGGCCAATGATCGTATTGACCTGCGTGGTCAAGTAGCTGGTGTCCATGGCCGCGGACATGTTGCGAACCATCCAGCGCGAACGACGTCTTGATGCTGTTGCTGCGGCACGAAGCCGAGCTCAAATTCGGTGGTGGTCAATGTTCGGTTCGGAAGATGTCTGTGAGGAATGAGAAGTGTGACCGTGACGAGGCCATCTAGATTGATCGTCAATTCCGTTCGAGGTGCATGACTCGTTGTAGTTAGCCGCTCAAATCATCGATTGTGCCACTCAAAGGCATTGTTTGGAGTGCCGGCGGTCGTCATGGGCAACGTCCCAAAGAGCGCCCGGAATTACAGGACTTAGCTCTGCAGCCCGCCCCCACTGCCCGCATTCAAGTTCAATGGAAAGTTCACAAGCTTCACGCCGCAGGCAACTTATTAAAAGGCAACTCGATCTCAATTCAACGGCAATTTAATCGCGTCCTGCAATATCCCTCTGCATTGGCGACGACATCGATCATTGCCTACAAGAGTCTCTCCCGCGTTCTGGTCCTCATTAGTCCTGTCCATCATGGCTCCCACAGCTGCTCAGCGCACGTGGGAGGCTGAGAACAACATCATTACTGTCGACCTTCAGTCCAATGCACTCTACCAACTACCGTCGGCCGCAGAATACTCGGCGGCGCATGACGCGAAACCATGGCGTACAGACCTCAATCACTTCACACATGTCAGAATATCAGCACTGGCTCTTCTCAAAATGACGATACACGCCCGCAGTGGTGGCAGCATTGAGATCATGGGCTTGATGACAGGCTACTTCTCAGGCACTTCTATCATCGTCACCGACGCCTTCCGGCTCCCAGTCGAAGGCACAGAGACACGTGTCAATGCTCAGGGTGACGCAGACGAGTACATGGTCTCATTCGGCGAACTCTCACGCAACGGTGGTGGCCAGCAAGAGAACCCTATCGGATGGTACCACTCACATCCTGGCTACGGCTGCTGGCTTTCCGGCATCGATGTAGGCACCGAGCGACTACAGCAAAGCCTAAACGATCCTTTCGTCGCCGTTGTCATTGACCCCGATCGCACCGTCTCCGCAGGCAAGGTCGAGATTGGTGCCTTCCGCACCTATCCCGAGGGCAGCAAACCTCCAACCAATAAAGCCACAACCGAAGACGACGAATTTCAGGCCATCCCATCGAGCAAAATCGAAGACTTTGGTGCGCATGCCAACTCATACTACGCTCTCGAAGTCACACACTTCAAGAGTACTCTCGACAGTCACCTTCTCGATCTCCTCTGGAACAAGTACTGGATCTCCACCATTTCCCAATCCCCTCTTTACACCAATCGAGAATACACCAATGCTCAGATCCACGACCACTCCCTCAAACTGAAGTCCGCAGCAAATAAATCCCGTAACGCAGGCCCATCCATGACCGCAAGGACGAGAGATCTTGTCCCCAGCACAGATCCAGTCACGAACATTAGGTTACAGAAAGACGGCGAAATGGACAAGCTTGCGCGCACAGGTGACCGCATCGCGAGCGAGGAAGTCGCAGGCCTGCTCGCTGACGAAGTCAAGCATAAGCTCTTCTTTGGTGTGGTGCAAGAGGCCATGGCAGTCCCCACTGCGAGCGCACAGGTGTCTGTATAGAGGCGGTCACTGAAACGTAACCCGAATGATGCTGCACAGGGCTTCTTGGGCCCGCCAAGAAAGAAGCTTCGCCGCAGCGACATACCTGGAAGCAACATCGATCATCAAAACATCACGAATGCTCCGGAGGGATCCCTGAGAAGGAGCTTCGCCGCAGCGACATGCAGGGAAACAACATCACCATCAGAGCTTTGTAAACGCACTCAAGCGAATATCGAGAAAGAAGCTCTGCCGCAGCCACATATGGGGCAACAACATCGATCGTCAGAGCTTTGTGACCGCGCTCAAGCAGCAACGTAGGCACCGACGGAACAAGCTCTACCACATCGACTCACGTGGAAATACCGTCTACCGTCAGGGCTTTTTGATCAATTTACCGTCAGGTCTTCTTCTTGCACTCAAGAAGCAATGCAGACAGCGACAACGACGAGCACACCTGAACCTAAACATCTGAAACAACCACCGACTGCCTACTGTGGCACAGCGTGCAACCCTTCCACTTATTAATGGGGCGACAATAACGCGAGCACGTGGGAGTCACAAGGACGAATAGGTCACTTACCCTTTTGGGATGTTCTATTCCAGTTTCAGGTCGCGAAGTGAGCCACACAAGTCGTCGATCATACTGCAAGAGTGGGCATCGAGATAACTCGACGCTCTAACATGACAGAAATGGGCAGCTCGCCAGAAGCAAAGTCGATGCAGAAGCAACGTGCAACGCCCAAGGACGGACAGGCGGAATTCCGAGATATTACAGCATGAAGTCACGAAGCAGCTTCAATAGGAGCATGGCATTGCACAAGTGGTAGATCATAGACAGCGATCCCATACATTCGAGCACGAGAACGAAATGATACCCCCAACTTACTCAAGGAGAATCATGTTTCCAGGCCGGCGAGCTTTTCACATTGCAGCAGACCTTACCCATTCTGTATTCGCCGTTCGTGATTCTAGTAGAGTGGTGGGAGAGGACAGCATCAGTGCACGAGCGGCAGCAGTGCTCTTGGTGGTGTTTCGATGACCCAGTTACTTCGACTTGCAATCGTAGCAGCGCTAACAAAGGAGGGAAAATCCATGACTTAGGTAGGCGGGGAAATCGGCCGTTAATTTCTGTCCATGTCCTACTACCCTGGCTTCTGCTCAGCTATCTGCCCGCATGACTGTCCACCGGATAGTCTGCTCCTTGCGGACCTATTGATAATACCTCATGGCCTTCGATATCGTCCGATTCAGAACCTCACCTGGTTCAGACGCTCCGTTCCCACGAGTTTGAAGCTTTCCGCATGACCCTCTGGCGACTATGCCCGCGATCTCCAAAGGAACAGTGATTTGTCCCAGGCGTTGTCTCTGAGCGACGACGTCCATCCTGAATCCAGCCGGCAGTAAAGACTCACAGACTCCAGGAATTTGCTGCATGACCTACAAGGCCTGGCGGCGGAGATGAGGCAGAGGATTCGTCGAGTTTGTAAGTCTTTACTGCCGGCTGAATGCAGGACGGATGTCGTTGCTTAGCACAATTGTTTGGACCAGGTCTGACAGGACCTATCACGCCGCTCTCTCTCTCTCTCTCTCTCTCTCTCTCTTTTCGGTCAGCTGCCGCTTCGTCCTCCACCGTCATCCGTAAAGTAAATGAAAAGATGTAGCCAATCGCTGGTGAGATGGGCATAGCTCATGCTCTCTGTCTCAGGCGATCGATCGATCAATTGATATCAAAGCATGTTCGCTCGCTCGAAGTGCAGGACTCGCTAAATTAGGTGAAATGGAAATCAGATATGGTCTCCGACAAACTTGTCGCCCAGATATGATGCAGTTTGGCAGGCCAGTAGCCACTGGTCCATCTCTGGAAGACAGTCTATCTCTTCATCCGTAGCCGATTCGCCGACCGGAATTGTGATATGTCGATCTCGGCAATACTGCTCGTGGAAGAGCTATCGTCAACTTCAATCGTCATGCCTGCGGTCGGGACGCCGCCCGGGTCTGAAGCGATCGCTGCTGGATGTCGGGACTTTATGCCTTCCAGTGTTTGTGTTAGGGCGGCCAGCTCAGATGGCTTGTCTTGAATGACGGTCGGCGCATTTAGGGGCTCCATCGATGACTTGTCAGTCAACAGTGAAGGACAGTCACGATCAGAGACACTCTGGCTCCGGCTGGTATCCGCAGTAGCTCTTTCCGCTTCTTCTGCTGCGGCTTGCTGGTCGGCTTTCTTCTGCAGACTATCGACTGTTGCTTTGACAAGATCTTGAATAGCAGTGAGTCTTGCTTCTGCACTGCTGAGTTCCTTGAGACAGTCGCCATCGCGAAGGAATTGATGAGCGGCAGTCTCGAGGAGATTTTGAACCTGTTCTAGGGCTTTGTCGCATTCGATGAAAGCAGCTTCGTCTCCGTCTTGCGGCTGTTGTGCGTTCTGTCGGAGGGAAAATTTGGCGCCAGGAGCGGCATTTCGATATTTAGCGGACATGGATCTGATGTTCTCAAGCGATGGTGATGTCAAATTGTCGTACTTTTTGGAAAGGGAGGGCAACCGAAAACCTCGATTGGCGACAAGGGCATTCTTTCCTTTTCGCAGGTTGTTCCTACCAATGCCAACTGCTTTGCACATCGTGTCGAGTTCTTCCTGGACATATCCGTCGTAATATATGACGACTTGGTGTTTGCTCCGAAACCTTTGTGGCCCTGAGGCGCCAGATCTCATCGAAGCATTGGACTTCCGTTTTCTCTGAGCAGCGGTCTGATCAGCGTACAAGTGCCGATTGCCGGCAGCTAATGGGTCAATCAGCTCAGTGGCCGGTGTATCAGCGTCTTTTGCGGAGTCTGCGTCTCTTGCTTGAGCCGCTTTGCTTTTGCTGGAGTGGATGGAGCACATCGAGGGCGACTTCATTCGTTTTGGCTTGATAGCTCTTACTAGTCGAGCATACTCGGCGACGAACTCGGCATTCTTGTCCTTGGTGTGGGCTGATAGAGCCTTGATCTGTTCGAGCCACTGTGGAATATTGTCGACGAGATGTGTGAAGCTAGTGACTGCATCCATTTGAGACGCAGCCATCGCAAGATTCTGGTTGTTGGCAGGTTCGACAAGGGAGTGTTGCCCTTTAATGTACGACCATTTGCTTGCTAGCAGGCCATGTCGAGCTGTCGTCAATACAATGACACCCAAGCACTATGCCAGACACCTCAATGCCTGATGCAATGCAAGTAGCGCTGGAATACTCGTCGGAAGGCTTCGTGGAACACGAGCAGAAATGGAGGTTTCTTGTGCACTTTTTGTGGGTCGGTCCTGCGTTGTCGATTGTACAGAGGTGTGTAGTGCGCTGAGACGAGCTTGTTTGCGATGTTGTGATGTTGTGATTGTTGAAAAGTAGTAGTGCTGCTGCTGTGGTTGACGAAAGGATGAATAAGTCAGAAAGCAGCAGTTGCTCAGAAACGCTGGAGACGGGAGATGAGAAGCGGAAGCCGGGGAGGCCAGACGAAGCGGCAGAAGCCACCCAAGTCAGAAGCCACTTGGCAGGCCTTGCCTGGGAAGATCCGACGGAGACCTTGACTCTAGGGCTAAATGCAGCACCCCTGTCGCTGACGCTTGCGGCCACTGCCAGCACACAGACGGGCTTGTTCTCTTGCAGCTTAGTATTCGATGACGATCGGCGCAGCGGGACGCGCCAGTCGCAGGCGTGATATCCAGTCAAGTCACCTGAAGGAATGTGATGGTTGTGGTCAGTATTTTACAGGTCTGTTGGAAGGTGCGAACGTAATCCTCCGTCTTCGCTGGGGTGGGACTCAAACTCAGATCGCTATGGACGTCAGAAGAAAGGCAAGTGCTAGCATACTTTACAGAATCGAGGCAGCTCCCCGCAGTCTATCACTGTGTTAACGTTCACGAAACAGCAGGTACATCCTGTACAAGCCAATTTCAGCATCTGCTTTGGTAACTGAGCCACACCCATGCGGCGCCGCAGATTGCGTTGAGCATGATATCTCCTGCTTCACGAATACCGCGTTAGAGATGTCTGACAATCTCGTCTGATGGACTATCTCATCTTTCGATCTGCCCATCAGCCACCATCTGTCCTGACACGAACCTATCCGCTTTGGCTGCACTAGCACAGTCCTCCATTGGCATTGTGCAGAAGTGCTACTGCAGGTCAACGTCGTCGGCCTGATGCCGACCTTCAAATCAATGCAAGGCTTGCAGCGAAACGGTGTCGATCCTGCTCTTACTCTCTCACGTGTTCATGTGGTCCCGAAGCACTGACCAAACCGATAGCTACGCAACATACCTATCGCGTGCCTTGCTGTTTACGGTCCGGGGGCTCTTCGTTGTGTTGCAACTCTATCCTCGCTTATTTCGACCAGAAAGCATGCCAAGCTGCAGCTTGTGACCGCTCTTCTGCTATTCAACCTGTTGAAGCTGCTACAGCGTGCCTCCAAGCGATCCTGTCACAGAGCCAATTGACCCTCGGATTGCGCATGTGCTGTCCAATGGCGGCCAGAGGTAGCGGACTCCCAAGAGCGTCCATCTGTCCAAGTACTGATCTCGCAACCAACCGTTCGCCATGTTCGGGCAGTCGTCAACAACCCTGTCTACGTGCACAACCTGCTACCAGCTAAACATTGGCCTATGGCGAATCATGCTGTAGCGAGCGGCTTCTCGTTTTCCCCGGGCCCCGACGACTAGCTTCTAATTTCGGTCAAAGAAGATCTCCCGGCGACTTCTTTACGATGAACTGTTCCAAGATGTGATGGCTCGCTACAAGCACTGCGCTCTGGATTCTCAATCATTCCTGCGCAGCACCGCAGTATTGATCGAGCAATCTAGGCCAGCTCAACCGAAGAAGATGAAATGGAAAAATCGAAGATTATGCGCGAACCGCAAGCCTAAACCGGCATACCCCGGTCATGTTCATGATCGACAGCAGTTTCACAGGCATGACGCCCCGGGCATTTTCTAGGTGTCACACTTCTTGTTTCCGCCTTCCGTTGGCGCCCCGAGTCAACGCCTGTCAGCTTAAACTTTACTTTGACGTTTAAAGAGGGCTCTTCACAAGCAGACCGTATTTCCATCCTGCCTTTGATATGCCAACTCTCCACAACCCGGACTCTGTGTGGAAACTCCAGACGGATGTTGTCTGTGCTATAGGTCGATGCAGCGTGCAGCATCTTCCCGGAACTGATGGATCTGCTTCGCGCAATGTCCTCGGCGCAAGAAGCCTCCTGCTTCACCGACTGAAGATCTGCTTCTCGTACGCGAGCTTCATACCGGCTCTCAAAGCATTCCTGGCACTGCCGCTGGCTGATCTTGCCACCAGCATCACCGCGGAGGCATGGCCCTGAGCTAGTCGTAAACGCTCCCGGATCAATGCTGCATGCACGCCTTGCCCACGAAACTCAGGTAAGGTTGAATCGAGGTAAAGCTGTGTGATCGTCGTGAATGGCTGAGTGGGACGATCAGTCCTCGTGGACGAATCGAGGGAGTCAGGAACCTCAAGTGTCGCCATGGCTGCTGACCCAGCAAGCTTGCCATCGACATACGCGAAGAATAACTTCGTGTCGTCTCGTCGGAGGGCTAATTCTGCAAGATGAGAAAGCAGCTCTGGCGATCGACCTCCGGACCGGAATCCTTCGACGGACACATCATGGAATAGCTCTGCGTTGGCCGTACGATCCACCTCCTCGATCACAATGTTCGGGTGCCGGCCATCGGGATCTGGATGTGGCCCAGGGATGGTCTCGTTCAGATCCATGTAGTAAACATTCACGGATCCATTGGCAACGTAGCCTTTCGCTGCAAGCCTCTGCTTCAGGTCGTCCCTGGCAAGACCAGCGAGATGGAAACTGATGGCTGTCTGCGCTTGCTCGAATAATGATTCGATATTGTTTAGATCGTTGTCAGTCGCGGACCTTGTGACACCAAGACCAACGGCGCGGTTGAGCTTCTGTCCATACTCAGGGTTGGTGAGCACGATGAGTCCACCTGCTATGGGTGTTATCGTGGCACCTGGTGAGTCCGTTTCCTTTTGGAGGGTATCGTATGCCTCTACCTGGTGGAGGATGTGCTGCGTGTCAGCGAGTTCTAGTAGAAGGGCAACGCCATTCGTACAGCCTGTTTCTGTCGCCATCTTATGCTTTACGTTGCTCAGATCAAGAGCTGTTGACCATGCTTGGCGGCAAAGCTGGAGGAAGGAGTGGTTCTTGTTCTTGAGATGTGAGAAATGAGTCATATGTACCATGAATATAGATGCTAATATGGCGTGGGCGCAACACAGGCGAAGATGCCGCCATCGATGGGGCCCATATATGAGAAACAGACTGTGCCCGGTGGATTAGTTGCACATAGTTATGACAGTTGCAGAAGTCGTCGAGCTGCACAAAACGTAGACCTGAATGAGAGGTTGATGACAGCAAGACCGGATGACAGCACGACCGGGCAAAGTCAAAACCGGTTGGCGATGAAGTCGGCTGCAAGACCGGATGACATGGAGACATCCAACTTTTGTTTCCAGTACAGTCCAGACCAGCTTCGCGGTTCTGCACGAGTTGCTGCTATGTAGATATGTTTGACCGCAGCGTTTCTGGAGTAGTCCGAGTTCACTACCGTCGCTGTCCCTCCGGATATCTGAATCAGGCGCAAGGATGCTCCGTGTCCGCGACGAGCCTCATGCGTCCTCTGCATACACACCTTCTTCTGGCACGCAGCACCTCGTGTGACAGTCTGCACGCACGCACAGCCTAAAGGCGAGCAAATGCTGTGGCCGAGTGGTCTCCTCCCATTCGCCGACAAGCTGGTGTGAATGCATGGTCCCGGCAACAAGCTGGTATGCGTCAATCAGACTTCCTTTGACAGGACTTCCAAAACCTAACGCGCCCAGGCGCTTCGCCATGGACCAATTTGACCTCAGTGCTGTGCCCATGTGACGAAAACGTGGATCAGGCAGGAGTCTTGCGATCCAGTCCCAGATCCGTCCACGAGATTGTGGTCGGAGAAGCAGAAGGTTCGGCCTGCTCGCGTGATCAATGGAGACGCCAGTCTCTCAGCTCGCAGATAGCTTCGCCCAACACGATATGTATCATGCTCCATGGTCGTGATCCTTTCAGAGGCCTTCCCTACTTCACTCCACCCCCTCCCCCAGCACCCCCTCCCTGCCCGCCTTGCTGCTGCCCCTCCACAACTTTCCTCCGCATGACATCCTCCACACTCCGTAGCGTATCTGTCTTCTGCCTCACCACGTCCTCAATCTGGCTTAAATTCTTGGTCAAGTCCTCAATCTTCTTGTCGTAAAACTTCCGCGCTTCGCCCGTAGTCTTCTCCACGTAGAACCCCGTGCCTATGTCGACTAGTACCGTCACAGGCGAGGAGAGCGTCGAAGGTCGTGCTGGGATGTATAGTGAGGGTGTGAGAGGGATAAGGAGGGGTGTTTCTGGAGCAAGTGTCAGTTTTTACCGATTGACGTCTGGCTTAAGAGGGCACTAGGAGCGCTCACCGGCAGTCTTGTTCTCTACACCGTCCTGTATACTTCTTATGCAGTCCTTGAAGCGTATCTGAGCAGCGCGCAGGCGCTGATAGGAGTTTGAGAGGTGCTCGAGTTCGCTGGACATGCGGGATTGGAGTTGCGAGAGTTGTTGGAGGGGGAGTGAGGTCAAGGGGATAGATTGCTGGGATGATGGTTGCGCCATTGCTGCTTGAGTCTCCGAATTCTGCTGTACGAGGTTCGGGGGTGGTGCTGAGGGATCTGGCAAGTCGTCCGAAATATCTGTGGTTTTGCTCAGGAAATTCATTAGGCCTGTTATGAAGCCGGATGACGAGGCTTGGACATGACACCCGTTGACAGTCATACAGGCAGGGCCTACTTAAGGTACACACTTGCTACGTAGGGTCGTACTTACTAGGCAGACTGTACGTCTACATCCAAGTATCATAGCCGCTTGTCACGACCTACCTGGTTTCCGCGTCTAGAAGCAATAGCGCGAGGTACTACAGCTGGCCTGCAACGCAAGCCCTGGGTGAGAGGATGTGTCTTGCTATGTCATTAGGTATTTACTTATTTACATCTTATTACACGCTTGATACATAACTGCTCAGTGAACTCTTCGCCAAATCCCGTCGCTTCAGCAGTCGTCCGACGGCTTTAGGCACATTGTTCAGCGGTACTTCTTCCCTCAAGCCGGCCTGTGCACAAATCAGCTCCGCAATTCCCCTATCTCTGGCTGCGCGCCCGAGCATGACGATGATGGGATACCCTGTGAAGATCGCACTGTTGGACATGTGTTTGTAGTCGCTGAGGCGGTCATCAAGAACAACATCGGGCTTGAGATATCCACGACCCGGCTCGATGTCGTCCAGTTGCTGCGCAATGTCGTCGTAGAGTGAAAGTGCCTCGGCCGAAGGGGAAATTGCATCCGCTATGGAGGACTTAGCTGTCTTTTCAACGGCATCGCCGACTAGAACAGTGTATGGTGCGATGATTTTCGGCCATTGTATGGCATCCTTTGGGGAGAGACATGCCGCGGCGGCGGCCATGAGTCGGGACACGCCTATGCCATGACATCCCATTTCAAGCGGAGTGGTCATGTGCTCTCTGGGCCCGGGGTGTGGTATTGGCTTTTTGGGGCCAAGTAGCGATGTATATCCAGTTCCTAGATGGAAAGTGTGACCGATCTCGATTGCCTTATGAACCTCCACTTTGCCTTCAAGGCAATGGGGGCATTCGTCCCCTTCTTTCAGCTTCAACAGGTCAATTGGTCGCCTGATGCTGCCTGACAAAGCGTTGGAATCATGTGCTGCGCCGTCTGGTCCCTCGTTCTGGAGAGTTCGAACAATCAGCCGTTGGGTATTTTCGCCTCCATAATTCTTCAAGTCTTGCTGTATCCGCATGCGAAGTTGCTCTGCTGTGACTCGCTTATCAACCAAGTAGGCAACTCGACCTCGTTTGCCTTTCCCACGGTAGTCTTCGAACTTCTGCATAACCTGATGCTCTTCCAAACCGGTATTGACCTCAGCAATATCATCCATAGCTTCTTTCACAGCGTAGGGATTGACATCAGCGCTGGCAATCGACTCGCCTTCACTTGCCTGGCTTGGTATTAAGACGCGAATGAGGATGTCGTTCTTGACACTTATGTAGTCTCGGACTTTTGATGGCGAAACCGTCGAATCTTGCGCCAGGAAGTCAGGTGCTTTTACGTACTCGATCATGCGTGATGTGGGAGGAACAAACTCCTCATTGCGATTTTCACCACAACTTGAGCAAGTTATCACATCGTCTTCCCCTGAATGATGGGGCAAATGGAATTCATGGCTCAGGTTGCCGCCCATGTTGCCAGAATCTGCCCTGGCCTCCAGATAAGGAATGCCCAAGTCGGCGAAAAAGTTGTTGTATGCCTCTCGGACCAGTTCATAGGTATCTTTCGCTGCTTCCGCACTGGTGTCAAAGGTGTACAGATCCTTCATGATAAATTCTCGGCCTCGAAGCAAGCCTCCCCTGGGCCGCTGCTCATCGCGATACTTGCGGCCGATCTGGTAAAGTCGTACAGGTAGCTGGCCGTGCAAGTTGATGCGGCTGTGTAGCAGCGTGCATATTTCCTCTTCGTGGGTCGGAGCCAGAAGCCACTTGGACTTGTTCCTGTCCTGAAACTGGAAAATCTCGGTACTGTTTGCGAGGCGACCTGATGTCGCCCACTTCTTCTCAGATGAGAACGAGGAAAGCGACAGCTTCGAAGCACCGACGGATCTCATGTGATGGTCGATTAGCCGCTCGATCTTATCCAGGACTTTGACACCTAGAGGCAGGTACTGGTAAATACCAGAATAGGCCTTGCGAATGTAACCTGCGTCTTCCAGAAGAGTGGTCGCATCTCGGGGCTCCTTCGCCCCGGGTTCCCATTTCTGAGAGGCAACGTGCGGCACCCAGAGCTGACTCAGTCTTTCTCGATGATCAGGGGTAAGACTGTGCTGTGATCGATTGCCAAAGGCCTGCCATTTCGAACATTGTCCACGAAAAGCTCTGACTACCGAGCCATGCAGATTCATAGGATGTCTGACCGCGTTGGCCTTTCCTATCTTCCGTTCATGTGATCTCCGATCTTTGGCGTTGCTTTCGTCGTGTGATGGTCACTGGGCTAGCAAAATTGCTAGATCAAGTCACGCTTTTGACACGCGCCGACGTCTTGCAGAGTACCTGGTAAGGAGCTCCACTTTCGTGCACCGGAGGACTGGTTTCTCCGGCCGAGTGAAATTTATCTGGCGACCATTATTTTCCCGGCATACGACTCCGGTTGCATGACCTACTCGATGTAAGACAATCGCTGGGAGACAACATGTCAAAGCGCAAGCACGAGGATGGCCAACGTAGTAGCGTCGGAAACGCCCCTGCTGTTCAGCAGCCTCAGCGAGGGCAGCCGGCATCACAGTCATTCGAACAATTACAACACAAGATCGAGTCGAACCTGAAGCCCAAATCCCAGAAGAAGCACAATGCTGGTCAGATGGACAGCGATAGGCAGCGCCGAGGTAAGAAGAGAGATGCTTCCGGCAAGGTTATCGGAGCAATAGACGCTGCTGTTGCGAAACCGCAGCAGTCAGGCCGCTCTGCTGAAGATGAGTTTCTTGCCGAAGTGCAAGCGCTGGGCGGCACTCGTGAAGACCTCATGTTCCTTGCCGACATAGAGTCCGACTCAGAAATGGAAGGAGACGTGGAGAAGAGCACAGCTGCGAGGAGGGGTACAGAGGATCTTGAGAAAGGCATGAAGAATATACTCAAAGAGATTGCTTTGGCTCAAGGTACCGCGGACCAGACTGAAGACGCTGGAGAAAATGCTGCTGATACTGGCTCCGAGTCTGGTGGCGCGGCGACAGAAGACGAAGAGCCTGCTTCCGAAGAGGACGACGCCCAGCCAGTCCCCACAACTGTTGAAGCCGACGAGGTTGGAACTGGCTGGTTTGTTGTTACAGATGCGTTCAATAAGCTTGAGCCGAAGCGGCAAGCGAGGCAGCAGACTGTACAAGAATTGCGCGAGCACGCCAAAACTCTGCTCGAGAAGGAGAACGAACAATTCAAAAAGCGTGGACAGTCATCTTCGCAGTCCTTCTACAATACTGTCATCCAATCCGGAACACTGTCCGACAAAATCTCTGCTCTCACTTTGGCCGTACAAGAATCGCCGATTCATAACATGAAAGCCTTAGAAACACTTCTCGGCCTTGCTTCGAAGCGGAGTCGGTCTCAAGCAGTCGATGTGCTGCGAGCGTTGAAAGATCTCTTCGCGCAGGGTTCGTTGCTGCCCTCGCATCGACGTCTCTACGCCTTTGCCAGTCAGCCAGGTCTTCACGCTAAATTTGGGAGCAAAGATTGGAGGAGAGGCGACCAACTGCCAAAGGTGTGCAGGACGAGCATCTCGTGGCCTGGGCATACGAAGACTGGCTGAAGGAGAAGTACTTCGAGATTCTGAAAATTCTCGAGGTTTGGTGCAACGACGAGATCGAATTCGCAAAGTCCAAAGCAGTGAGTTACGTTTACGAGATGCTGAGGGAGAAGCCCGAGCAAGAGTCCAATCTACTCAGACTACTCATCAATAAGCTAGGTGATCCGGTGAAAAAGATCGCTTCGCAGTCGTCCTATCTGCTGCTGCAGCTTCTCAAAGATCATCCAAACATGAAAGATGTTGTCGTATCTGCCATCGAAGCAGATTTCATCTTCCGGCCAGGCCAAAGTCTTCATGGGAAGTACTACGCAACAATAACGCTGAACCAGACTGAATTGAAGGAAGAAGACCTGGCCTTGAAGCTACTAAATATCTACTTCGGATTGTTCTCAGATCTCATGAAGACTGCAGAGTCTGAAGAGCAAGCTAAGGTAAGCTCGGTGAGCCGCGAGCAACGGCGGCGACAGGCAAGAAAGAAACAGGCTGCACCAGGTCAACCCCAGACTGAGGAACTACGGGAGAAGCTGACCTCTGCGCTTTTGACGGGCGTCAATCGAGCTCATCCATACTGCGGTAGCGATAACAAGATTTTCGACGAGCACCTCGACACGCTCTACAAGATAGCCCACTCGGCAAACTTCAACACAGGAATTCAGGCTATGCTGCTCATTCAGCAATTGTCATCAGCGCAACAGTCTTCGAGCGATCGGTTCTACAAGGTCTTATACGAGTCTCTGCTTGACCAAAGATTAATCACGGCTTCGAAGCAGCAACTGTACCTGAATTTGCTGCACAAATCTCTGAAAGCAGATCTGAGCACGAAACGTGTGAAGGCTTTCGTTAAGCGGATACTGCAGATACTCAACCTTCACGAACCGCCGTTCGTGTGCGGAGCTTTCTTCCTGCTCAAGGATCTAGATAGCACATTCCCTGGCTTGGTAGCTCTAACGAATCAGCCCGAGATAATTGATGACGAAGAGGAGGTCTTCAAAGATGTTGATGAAGATCGAGCACCAACCAGAAAGGAGCCTAGTCTCGTTTCTGCGAGCAAGTACGACGGTCACAAGCGGGCGCCGGAACATGCAAACGCAGACGCCAGCTGCGCTTGGGAATTGCTTCCATTCCTGGCACATTATCATCCCGCTGTCACCATTAATGCCGATCATTATCTACAACATGAAGCCTTACCTGGCAAGCCAGATCTGACGCTGCATACCCTGATGCACTTCCTGGACAGATTCGTCTACAAGAACGCCAAGCTGTCTGAGTCGCGCCCTCGTGGCAGTTCAATCATGCAGCCCATGGTCAATGACAGCAGGAATGGTGTTCTGATCGCCCCAAGGATTGGTGGCAAGGAACGCTTACCTGTCACGAGCGACGAGTTCCGGTCCCAGCAACTGAAGAACGTGGCTGCGGAGGACGTTTTCTTCCACAAATACTTTGCAGAAGCTGGCAAGCCAGTGAATAAGGCCAAGGCAGATAGCGCCGCTTATGATGAAGAGATGGTGTCAGACGATGAGGATGCTGTATGGGACGCGATGATGAAGAGCGCCCCAGATCTCGAAGGCATGGAGGGCGACGATGATAGTGATCTTAGCATGTCTGACCTGGAATCGGCAATGGCTTCTAGCGATGAAGGATCCGGCGGCGATGCCGGAGACCTCAGCGACGACGAGGGCGTCGATGTCGAGGCAGGTATACTGGATGACAGCGCCGAGGAAACGGAAGCAGATGGCAGCGATGGAGAAATGCCGGACTTTGCAGCTGTCGATTCTGACGAAGAACTGGAGGACGAGGAGCCAGTGGAGGAGGCCTCTGTCCCAGCTGACGAAGGCAAAGCCAGGAAAAAGGGCAAGAAGCTGAAGAAGGCATTGCCGACCTTTGCATCCGCCGAGGATTATGCAAAGATGCTGGACGACGATGAAGGCGAAGATTATGGACAATAGTCTATCGTCTCGGCCTACGCAGATCCAAGCCCCTACCGTATTCAGAGCGGCCATTTTTGCAGGTGGGCCGCACACTTCAAGCCACCGGAGATCGCGTGCCGGTTTGCCCTTCGCTCCATGTTGATGACATATCCGATGCCTTTTGTCACTGTCATGTCTGCGTGAAATGTACTCGCTTGAGTCGTAGCACAGTAGCGATGACCTTCTAATGCAGTTGAGCGGAGCTCTCAGTAGTACAGCTGCATGCTGAAATACCATCTCAATCCGTGAGCTCTCAGATCAACAAGCTTGGCTGGAGGCCAAGGCGATGGGCGCAACAAGCTCATCTTGTGGCGCGATCCCGTCGCCCAAGCGCCCCCAAGCTCTCGCTTTGGCCGCCCAAGCCTAATTGGCACTTGAGCTTGACATTTGACCACCTCTCGGCGTGACATGCTCGCTGTTGGAATGCCAACAAAACGCCTTGATTCACAAGTCGTACCTCATCTACAAATTCTACGAGACGAGCAGGTGCTGGCGAGAATTCTGCACCTGCAAAAGCGCATTCCAAGGTCACGGCTCACAACCGGGCGATCGAGCGATTGTGTACAAGGATAGGTGTTGCGGCGTGCCGTGTCAATGGTTTCTTGCCTCAAAGTTCGCCCATTAAGCCTCCACTTCCTGCCCGCTCACTCGCTGGAGGTCTTCCGGGCAAGAACCACCTTCATCAGAAGCATGCTAGACCCCATATCTTCGCAGGCTATGACGACTTAGCTTCATGAATTTGCATCTCTAACGTGCCACACACGAGAGACCTATCGAAAACCTATAGAAGTACTGACGGGACCCATGTCATCCCCATCTTCATCTTGTTCTCTTGCAAGTTGGAGGAGGAATAGCACCAAGAAGCAGTCCGGTTTCCAGCAAAGTACGCCCATGCTGCCGGTAATACACGACTACCTTGATCTTTTCAGTACCTGTTTCGTGCGCGCCGTGCGCACAGTCAAGTGGCGTTGATCCAAAAGCCCAGCGCCAACTACACTCACTTACCATGTCTAACTTCCACGAAAAGAAGGAAGAGGACAACTTTGGCGGCCCTTTCAATCCTGACATCGAAAATGGCGATCGTAGGATGTCAAGTACGGCACAGGGCGCAAAATGAGTCGAATCGGGCCGCCGCCTAAGCTTGGGTCTATTCCAGTCGATTCTGACCAAGGAGAGGCGCAACAGAAGCTCATTGAGATGGAGGCGGACAACGCCATCAAGTACCGGACGTGCTCATGGCAGAAGTACGTATCACTATCATTCTGAACCGGGCAAGCCGTTGATCTCCCAGCTTTGGTTCGTCCCGATCCATGTTCAGTCTAACAGGTGCAATAGAACGGCAGCTCTGCTCTTTTCAGAGTATATTTGCCTGGCTATCATGTCCTTCCCGTACTCGTACAGTGTGCTGGGCTTGGTTCCCGGACTCATCCTCACGATGGTCGTGGCAGCCTTCGTTCTGTATACTAGCCTGATCGTTTGGGAGTTCTGCCTAAGGCATCCTGAAGTTCGAGATGTTACAGATATCGGACAAATGCTGTTCTGGAATTCGCCAATTGCATGGTGGGCGACGGCTGTCATGTTCATTCTCAACAACACTTTCATCCAAGGGCTCCACGTCCTGGTCATTGCTCGATATGTGAGTGTTCCCATTCTGTGCAAAACTACGTGTCTGACAAGAAATAGCTCAACACGATGACAGAGCACGCTACCTGTACTGTTGTGTTCGCAGTGGTTGGTGCTGTCGTTAGCTGGATCTGCTCCATGCCACGAACGTTTGACGCGCTGGCGAAGCTAGCCACCCTTTCGGCGTTTTTCACCTTCATATCGGTCATTCTGGCAACAGCTTTCGCAGGTGTCGAGGGTCAGGAGGGTACTCGCGGATATTCACCAGAGCCAGGTCATGTTGGTCCGGACGGCTCTTTTGTCCCTGGTGGCAAGCCGCTCGTCCTGGCTGTGCCACAAGCTGGCACAACTTACGTCGATGGCATGGAAGCCTTCATGAACATCGCGTACACATTTATCGGACAGATCACGCTTCCATCATTCATCGCCGAAATGAAGGATCCTAACGACTTCCCGAAGGCGCTGTGGCTGGTCACGATCTGCGAAGTCATTGTCTTTGGTCTCGTGGGCGCCGTCATATATGCTTACACCGGAACACAATACAACACAGCTCCTGCTTTCGGGTCGCTCGGCAACGAGGTGTATCTGAAGGTCAGCTTCTCCTTCATGATCCCGACTCTGATTTTTTTGGGAGTACTTTACGCGTCTGTATCAGCGCGATTCGTCTTCTTCCGAATCTTTGAGGGTTCGCGCCACAAGTCGGAGCACACAGTGATTGGATGGGCCAGCTGGGCTGGCATCCTAGCACTCACCTGGGTTCTTGCGTTCATCATCGCAGAGGTCATTCCGTTCTTCTCGGACCTGCTCGCTCTCATGAGCGCCCTGTTCGACAGCTTCTTTGGGTGGATCTTCTGGGGCACAGCATACCTACGTATGCGCCGTGCCGATCTCGGACCTGGTTTCTGGAAGAAACGTGGCATTCGTGGCTATGTCGGATTCTTCATGAACATCACCATCATCATAATTGGCTTCTACTTCTTGGGCCCGGGCACATACGTCTCGGTGAAGGCGATTATGAACTCCTACGCGGCCGGAACCGTGCCGGGAGTGTTTTACTGTGGTGACACCAGTGTCGGCTGAGGACTTCCCAGGATACACGGGATCGCCGAGATCACCTAGCTGCGAGAAGCTCAGCGGGTCTGCAGGCAAGAGTATTTTGAATGATGATTCGTATGGATATGTGGTTGGCGCATCAGGCAAAAAGGCGAAGCTGAACAGTATAAGTACATATGTGCCTATGTCACAAACATCAGTGTTCAGGGGTCGAGACAGCCCTCGAAAATGCAGCACGTGGCTGCCTGAACGCATTCATAGTCCTCCAATCTCGTATGGCGCCCTGCAGCACCTCCCGCTTACCTGCCTAACTGCCTTGCGACCGGCATCGCACTCAGTGCAAGTCTGCAGAGAAGCAAGGAGGATTTTAGACGGATTGAGATCTGGTAGTTGGATAGAGATTTGAAGCATGTGAGGATGTTACTCGTACCTCTCATTCGGCAAGGGCGATTGTAGCACAGTAACAAATTGGCTGAGGTTCGCAGACAAGCTCATGGCTACGGCTAGCTAGCCTTTCGATCTGTTAAGCCATGCGAGCGAGCGAGGGCTAAGCCAAGTAAGGATCTTTAACGGATTCGAACTTGATGACATCGTACAGGGAGAAAGCGAGACATGCATGCGAAGTACTCCGGCTTCTTTTATTTCTAGAAACTTTTGGTAATTCAAGGGCCGCGTACCTCCACCAACTCACTGCACTCCTTTCACTTCATACCTACGTCCTCACCTTAGACTGCCAACCAGAATTGCTGCCTGCCTTCTTTTCTTCCAGTGAGAGTTCCGATAACCCATCGAGCAGCTGGTTTGATCACACATTCTCTACCAAGCCTGTCGCCGCTGGGCCAGTCTCATTGAAGACTAAATCCATTCCTTTGATCTCTTAACTTTGGACAAACGCCGGAATTGGCTGTACCGGGTCAAAGAAGGCACTGTCCTCCTAGACGGACGTCGTCGACTATATTATCGGTTGACGTTTACCTGACTGCGCATCTATCGAGTCGATGAGTAGGAGCGATGCCCAGGCATCATGCCTTCGCCAATGGCTACGGAGATGACAAGAAGCGGGATAGCGACGTGTACAGATCCTACACGGACCGCTCAGACCTTGAATCCAAATACATATGGGGCATGAACGACCTACATGACCCTGACGACGAGAAAGATGCAAAACGATTTCACAACTACAAGCCCGCGCGAAGTCCGCTGCAGAACAGATCCCGCCTGATCAAACAGTTCGCCGCCGGCGTTATACTGTTCGTCGTCTTCTTATACACATTCCTGCCCTCGTCGCAGTTTCGCGAGCAGTCTCCTACAGATGTCTTTGAGGTCTACGACATAGAAACATTACGATACTACGATTTGAGCGATAATGTCGGCACGTCAGTAGGATGGGAACGGGAAGAAAGAGTGCTCCTCTGCACACCTTTACGAGATGCCGCACCGCATCTGCCCATGTTCTTTGCACATCTTCGAAATTTCACATACCCACACCACCTTATCGACCTTGCATTTCTGGTTAGCGACTCGAAAGACAACACCGAATCCCTTCTTACCGAACTGCTTGAGGCACTACAGAATGACGAAAGTCCAACAATGCCATATGGCGAGATATCAGTGATACACAAAGATTTCGGCCAGGCCGTGGGTCAAGATGTGGAGAGCAGACATGGCTTTGCAGCGCAGGCAGGTCGGCGGAAGCTCATGGCTCAGGCTCGCAACTGGCTGCTAAGTGCAGCATTGCGGCCATACCATAGTTGGGTGTATTGGAGAGATGCAGACGTTGAGACGTGCCCATTCACGATCCTGGAAGATCTCATGCGGCACGACAAGGATGTCATTGTGCCTAGTAAGTAGTGTCGTTCCTGCATTTGACAATTGCTGACCTCTCGTCAGATGTTTGGCGACCTTTGCCCGACTGGCTCGGTGGAGAGCAACCCTACGATCTCAACTCATGCAAGAATCCGAGACCGCTCTCGCACTGGCCGATACACTAGACGAAGACGCTGTCATAGTAGAAGGCTACGCAGAATATGCTACATGGCGACCACATCTGGCATACCTTCGAGATCCCTACGGCGACCCGGACGTTGAGATGGAGCTGGACGGCGTCGGAGGTGTTTCCATCCTCGCCAAGGCACGAGTCTTCCGAGCTGGAGTTCACTTCCCAGCTTTCTCATTCGAGAAACACGCCGAGACCGAAGGCTTTGGCAAGATGGCGAAGCGGATGAAGTTCTCCGTCGTGGGGCTTCCGCACTATACCGTGTGGCATCTCTACGAACCCTCCGTGGACGATCTGCGGCATATGGAGGAGATGGAGCAAGAGAAGAAAGCGCGCGAGCAGCGAGAGAAAGACGAAGCAGAGCAGAAACAAAAGGCCAAAGTCGAGTTTGAGTACGTCGACGAGGACTGGGCCAAGGTGAAAGAAGGCATGGCTGGAGAGGCTGCGAAACATAAAGGAGCAGGGGCGACGGAAAGAGGCTACAAGACCGCCGCTGAACCGGAGCTGGATCCTTGAGCACAACTTCGATCGGGCTGTTGGTATGATTGGGAACAATACATGCATCGATTTTATCTGGCTGGCGTTATCACTTCATAGACTGTCGCGCTCACGAGATAGCGCATCAGAGGCACCATTACGCAAAGCGAGGGCACACAAAACGGGGCAAGATAGACACGACTGGCGCAGGAATTCCGGAGCAGGAAGGTTGGCAAGAGCGGAAAGGACACAGTGGCAGTGAGCAAGCAAACACCTGGCGGATCATCAGGTACGCCTTCGTCCATGTGACGAGAGGACTGCAGCGCCGGAGCTCCAGAATCGGAGTATGGCTAACTGCATATGTTCAGGGAATTTGTAGCATGAGGCTTGCGTCGCGACTCCCGGTCGCATGGAATCATGGATCGGAACCGGGCGCAGGAGTACGACAGGAGATGTACAACAGGGCAATTGAACACAGATGCTTAGATCAGATCGATACCCGTCCGTGACTTTCTCTCTCTGTGTCACATCTTATGGGCCTTGCTAGCATGCAAGCCATCTGGCTGAGACGTGCTGCGAGTCTAAAGAGCTGAAGACCAAGGCCAACATACATGTACATCACCCGGTTTTTGTCAATATCATGTCAACCGGTCTTGTCAAAGCATTGCCGGTCCTTCGGTCTGCTGTATATTCTGCAGTTGATCGTGTCATCCGGTCTCACATGAGACAACAAATATTATCGCAGCCAATCAGACCTGAGCACCTAGACCTCAACTCAGCTCTTCTCTGTGAAGTTAGAGGTGAACACCGAGTCCATACAAGTCTCGCTCACGAAATCAGCAGCGATGATAACCCAATCTACTACCTCAGTCCCATTCTCCATAAGCCACCCACAAGAGCATGTCCGCTTACTAGAGCTCCCACCAGAACTGCTCGCTCTAATCGAGGCCGAAAGCGGCACTCACAACAACTCGGTTGACCGAGAACGCGACACAATCTACAGCGACCTCGGTGGACGCGTGCAACTCAAATCCGCGCCGACTAATGACTCGTCTACTGCCACCAAGCCAAAGGAGGAGTACTTGCATGTGTGCACCGAGGATAAAGTTTGGGCGGTCAGGCAGGTCAGCACGAGTAACAGCGTGCATGTACTTAGGCCGGCGGCAAACGTCCCTGTCCTCAGTAGTAATGAGAGTGATCCGACAGCTACTCCAGGACCCGGTGTAACCGCGATAGCACAGCCAACATCAACGCTCGAGCTCCTTCCCGCGACCTACACGCAGAAGGATATTGAAAGTGCGTCGGGCCGACTTCTTCCTACTGTCAGCCTGGATGATACAGCGTCATCCATCGAGTCGGGCATCTCGGAGAAGGAGATCATCGCCTCGCTACCTTATCCACTGCATCCGATCCTTCGCGCCAAGCGAGAGCTCTTCGTCATTCGACCCTGGGACAAGCCTTGCATCCCTTCTCCAGGGATCCTCCTCGCAGCATGGAATGCAATGTTTGCACTTGGACGCAAGTTCCCGCTGGACACAAGCGATATGCTCTATCTAGGAGAGCGCTCAATGCAGATCCACCAGGAAGAGGGGGAGGTGGTGGCGTGCGCGGTGCGGGCTATTGCGGAGAGATTTGTGGAAGAAGATCTCGATGAGGGAGAAGATGGGGAGTTGCAAAGGCTGCGTTACAGTCTTGAGGGGCAGTTGATTGGAAAGGAGACGACTGTGTTTGTGGGACAGTTGCTGGTAATGTGTGCTGGCGAGCAAGGCTTGAGAAGGGAGGAATTGGAGGATCGGTGGACGGATATCGTACCCAGCAGCTGGAGGAGGTGGTGCAAGCTCGACAACTTGGGTGAGCAGTGCATTACGACGTCGGAGGCTGCATCAGGTGGCGGGGGGGGGACGACGCTCTCAACGACGACAGTGGTGCGAAGAGCGCCGAGGCTACGCCTTCGAGCGTTGCAGGGAAGAGGAACTGGCACGAGAAGTTCTCAGCACAACGGAAGAAAGCGAGGTGATCGATTGAGCCTCCAGCGAGGTAGGTAGACGCCTCAATCTCACCTGACATCTCGCTCAGCAAACCCTTACCTTCTGATAATCACCACCACTTCCACAGGACTTGGTCGCTCGAACAAAGATCACGCGTCCATAAAAATCCAAAAACTAACACCAGGTTTCCGATAACTTTGATCGGAAAGGGTACATTAGAAACCGTCCTAAAAGTACTCACACACCCCGAGGGAAGGGTGGCAGGGAAGAAGTGCCCCATACTGCCGCCGAGAGTTTTTTCCTCAAGAACAACATATCGCTTATTGGGTGCGATTGTTGGGGGAAATTTCAGTCACTGCAATATATAACCAATGTAAAGGGAAGTTGCCTTAGCAACGAGACCGGGGGGTAGGCGACATATACACCGAAAGCATCGCATTCGACTTCCATTATCACAACTCGGTCTCGCGGCCTCCGACCAGCTTCAAGGACATTATCGCTTCGCAGACAAGGCTGTGGCACACGCTTCAGTAACTACTGCGACATGAGCTCGGTTGCTTCTTGACCGGTGCGAGGGGTCCCATCAAGTACATGTCTATGATAGGCAGGCAATACGTACAACTCGCCAAGAACGATGCAAGCCATGGCCTGAAGGTGCAGCATGGAGGTTGTCGGGTGTTATGCAGTCACTGTGGTGGTGTTGCCAGTGTCTTGCTCTTGCCCAGTATCACTTCATGCAATGTGCAATGTGGAAAGAAATGCAAGAACAGACGCTTTGGCAGTCACTTCCGCTCTGAGAAGCACTATCATCTGCACTCGCTTCTTGCGAGTATCTCACTGCTGCGTCATGACAGTGTCTGTGCTCAACACAATGCCAGGTCACTTCACCATCCCTGTGTCTGCCGCTCAGAACTGGCAGCATGACTCAAGTTCTCCAAACGGATTCGCGAGCATAAAGAGAAGAACCTCCTCTGCTTTGATGGCCCATACTAAGGACTTGTGAAGTACAATTACCAAATCAGTTCCCGTCGAACCCATTTTCGATTGCAAAGCCTGGTCAACCACATCCAGAACCTCAAACCACATTCCTCGCCCTCACAGATCAACACCGCCTCGAAGCCCACCACAGTCACAGAACACGTACAATGAATTCCAAAGGCCAGCACTACGAGTCAGCCCACACCTCCTCAAAGTCCCACCACATCGGAGAACACAGCGGCAACGTCCTGATCACAAGCCATATGGTTCGTCGAAGGGCTGGTACCACCATGCAGAGGGCTCTTGTGGCAGCGGTGATGATATGAAGGAAGTCGAGCGCGATGCTATGACTGGTGGGGAGGTGAAGGAAGTGGGTGGAGAGGACGGGAAGGGGAAGGAGAATAAGGCTGTCTGAGGCGCACATGAGCCTAGGGTTGTTGGCGAACGGTCCTTCCTGTTGGATGGGGGCGAGGGCTTGAGCTTACGCTAGACACATCGTTGGTTCCTCGACCACGACAGCAGTTGAGTCTAGGTCGTATGGCCGCGACATCTTGTAACGTCTAAAGCTGAAATCCTATATCGACAGCAAGAGCATGTATGCTCCGCGACACTGAACAGAATTGCTTATGGCAAGAAATGGCACTCTATCCGCAATGATCTCGTCCAAGGGTATTGATCGTGGTCCATTGTACAATCGCGCTCTCCTTTCTGCTAATATCAAGCCGCCAAAGTACGCAGCCGCTCCTGCTCATCACTTGTCAGTTGCACAAATAGAGCCTGGAAGTCCGCCCGCTTTCCTTCCTCCTGGAACCAGCTCCTCAGATACTGCGCCGCCTCCTCATCTCTCGGACCACGTCCAACAAGATCGTCATCGTTGTCAAAACCCATCAGCTCAGCTCTCACAGTAGGATTGTCCAGATCAACGGCTCCACCGTTTGCAACATCATTCCACTCGTCATCATCAACTTCCTCTGACGCAATGCTGCCAGTATCGTCCACACCATTGCCTGCCAATGCAGCAAATCTGCCGCCTCCGGAGTTGTTGACAGCAGAGTCCAACTCACCCACAAGATATTTGAGGATCTTCAGCTCAGCGGAGATTTCAGTGTAACGGTCGGGATTGTTCTTTGCTTGACTGCGCGTCTTGATGCGACCAGTGTTCTCTACGATAAGGTCGCCTTTTACGCCGATCGCGGCTATACGCTGGTCGTGCAAGCTGAAGATCTTCGCTAATGCTACGACATTCTGTCGCACCTCATCAAAGCCAGCGAAGATGATGCTGTTTTCTAACCACTTCGTCATGACTGCGTGCAAGCCATTGTGGTTGCCAATGGTAATCTGTGACAAGAAGTCCACGACGTCCTTTGCCGCGGCGTTGGATAGGCTGACGAACACCATGCAGAGGGATTGGATGAAGGCGATCTTCTCTGCTGAGGCGAGTCGTGAGGCTACGGCGTTGAGGAGCTCCATCAGATGAGGCCCAAGCTTGTCAGCCCCGAAGTGGGTGACCACACTGGAGGCAAGAGCCCCAACTTCGGACGCCGCATTTTCATCGACGTCAGGTGAGTTGAGCAGTCGATTAATGATCCGTAGAGTGACCTCTAGCGCGGGCTGTTGGGGTTGATCTGGTGTCGCGTAACTCAGGTATTGGCTGGTAGCTTTTGATAGTAGGAACTGCACAGCAGTCGTTGCAGGTCTGACAAGGGTGTCCAAGGTCGAGAACAGGAGGATTCGATGAAGTTTCGGCAGAGCAGTAGGCAGGAACAGCTCAGGTAGTGGTTCGGGCCCATTCTCTGCTAGCAGTGAAAGTAGCTCTGCAGCAAGACAGGGCAAGGCGGTGTCGTTTGTCAAATCTCCGATGGCAAGGGCGGAACTCAGAGACGGAACTGTGCGTGAACATAACGTGTCGTACGCCGCACTGCCTGAAGCAAGCTGTGCAAGGGTCTCGAAAGAGTCGATGAGTTGCTGTGTGAGTATTGGCGAGGATGCTGACTCCGAAGCAAGTGTTAGGTAGGAGTCGAGGCCTGTCGTTGTTGTGATCGTAGAGATGTCGACTGCCAGTGCCTCGTGCAGAACAGTCACTAGAGTGCCTTTGACCTCGTCAGCTTCCTCGAGATCTTCTTTCAGATCGTGAGAGGCGATAAACTCTGCCACAGCATCACAGACAGGGGCCTGGTATTGCAAAGCAGTAGCGCCGGATAGATGCTCCATATAAGCCGGTATTGCCGAGAAGCAGGCAACTTTGACGATATCTGAATCATCGACAACGGAGGCTTGCACAGTGCGGCCAAAAGCTTCGGCAGCAGAGGCGGCGTGACTTTCGCCGGCCACCCTGAAGAAGTAACCGAAGACAAAGTGCGATGCTGCTCGCACATATGGGCTGCTGTTTTGTAGATGTTTGCTGATCTGTTCCATCAGGTTGCTGGCTGAAGCAGGGTTGTGGTTGATGTTCTGATCATGGGCTTCTTTCAGAGCCTGTAGGAGCAAGTACAGCAGCGCTTCGTCGTCTTTCCAGCTGTGTCTTCTTCCAGCTAGCTGCGCGTCATAGATGAGCACAGTATCGAGGAATGTCTGTTGCAGCCAAGGCAGTAAGGTCTGTGCCACAACTTCCGAACAGGCCATCCGAGGCGTATAATTCAGCGTGACTGAGCTCATATCCGTCAGATACAGATCAATGTCGACATCCCACATTTCTTGCTCTTCTCTGGCAGGCCGTGCATAGCGGACAAGCAGGTCAAGAAGCTGCAGGACCCATCCATTGCCGCCCTCGGCAGTCGTCTGCTGACTCAACTGTTGATTGAGCTCAGCTTTCACCGTAGGCGCTTTCAGTATGACCTGCAAGAGGTCGAGCTCTTCAATGACGACTTGATCAAGACTGTAAGGTAATTGGTCACTCTCGTCGGCAAGCTTTGATTCTTCGTCACCGTCCACAAACAGCGCCTGATATTCCGTAGAAACTCGTTCCAGATCTTGCCATACGCTCTGGAAGAGAGCTAGCGAGTATGGTGCCAGCCCCGCCGGATGGACACGTCTGACCTTGTCGATCGTTTTGACAGCCTGAACTTTCAGAGTGATCAACCCTCGTCTCGGCGAGTCCTTGTCTTCAGCAGATGCTGCCTTTGGAGGTACTGGTTCGGAGAGTACGCTTGTGAAAAATTCCATCCACTGTTTGAGCGTCTCGTCGAGGAAAGCTTTGACCGCTGGTCCATGATCAGACATGACCATCTCTAGCATGTCGAACGAAGACTGAAAGACGTTGAGGGCATAGGCTCTCACATTAAGACCTCTGTCATTGGAAGCAGCAATGCGATGAAATGAGCCGACAAGATCTCGAGCAACGCCAAAAAACTGATCTTCTGTCAATCCAGAGTCGATCAGCTCGTAGAGGACTTTCAGAGCGCCTTTAATAGTGACATCATGATCGGAAGTGTTGATGATGCTGACGATTGTCTCGAATAGACCAGGCCACTGATCTGGAAAGTCAGCAGTTGCGATCTTGCCCACCACCGCAGCGGCGATCGGCTGGAGAGCTGCGGAAGCATGTCCTGTCTGACTGGCGGCTATGCTGAGAAGTTGTTCTCGGATCGGTGTCTTCGTGGCTTCATCAATGTAGACATGGCCTTGAAATGTTTCGTCGAATTGAGGTGACCATGTCACAGAGACGTAGTCTTTCAGTGTTGTTAGAGCAGCTTTGCGCACTGATATATCAGCCGCTTCGTTCGCCGCCGCTGCCAGGAGAGCGAAGGGAAATTCTCGAACTGGATAGGCACCACGAAGAGCCTGTTCGGCAGACCGGATGACGCCTGTGTCACTCTTCAAAGTGTCTCCCAGCAATGCTAGGACTTGCCCGTCCATGGCGGGGAGGCCTGTGGGCACGCTCCAAATGGGGGAACCCCTGAGCACAGGCAAGGCGTCGGGAAAAGGCAAACTTTAGCGTCTATATCAGGACTAGTCGGCAGGCACGCTTTGATGGTCGCTGAACCTGAACACTGCGTCGAATTCAGGTGTAATTGACTTGGCGCGCGCTATGCTGCTGATATGAATGCGCAAGCGCCCAAAAGAGAAATGATGATCTGGTATGTGCGAAATTTGGAAAGAGGAACCAACAACGAAGTCAGTGAAACTTGAAGTCTCCAACCGAAAAATGGGACGCGTTCCGGTCTTTCCTTGGCATTATCGCGTTGACCTCACCAAATGGGCATCTTGCCAAGCATCATTTAGGACCAACCATATTGCCTTCTGAAGGACTTCATATTGAGTGCAATACTCGCGACTGAGCTATGTTCAACCTAATGGCTACGACTGAGCTCTCTCCGTCTGGTCGAGACTACTGACAAGGACTTCGCTGATGTGGTCATTGATGAACTCCTTCACGTAGAATAAAGTCTTCAGCTCCGATCACAAGATGCTCATACAATGGCGACAGCACCACCATCAAACACAAATGCAAATCTCCTCACAACACATCGCGCCCTCCTGGCCACACTGACCTCCTATCTCACAGTTGCAATACATCACATCCTATATCTGCGGCGGATATACCCACCCGCCTCCTTCCTCTCGACTCGTGCATACAACTACCCCGTCCGCCAAAATCGCCACCCAGCGGTATGCACCTGGATCAATGACGCTGTTTCCGCCATCTCGGACCAACTCGCCAAAAACACCGTCTCTATCGTCTCGTTATGTATACACGAACTCGACACCAATCAAGTGCTCGAGAAATGGAGTTTAGACATGCACTCCCTGCCTACAGTTGCGAAGCGGGATCGAGACGTCCCATTCGCCGCGACGACCGAGGTTACCACCTCCAACGATGCAGAGTCTGATGACGATCAGGTCGACGATGCCCTCGCACACACTATAAACCTCACAGACCTGGAAGCCACCTTCCGCGCGACCTTCGCCCGCCTTAGTAGTACTTCCGCCCGCCTCACGCCGCTTCCCTCCGGCTCAAACGCGCCAGAGCTGACATTCACTATGACGATTGAGCTGCGGTCCAATGCTGACCGGCCCGTTGGACGGCTCGACGCGAACGAACGGCGTTGGATCGTGGCAGAGCCTGATCCGCCACTTCCTGTTGCCGGCGGGCAACCAACCTCGCAGACAGACCAGCAGGACAGTAATACGACTCCAGCGGCACGGTCAAAACCCGGAAGAACACACCCAATTCGACGCCTCACAACTACAGAGCCGTCGCCTTTACACATCGAGCTGTGGGTCGAAGAGTCCGCTTTCAAGCTCTCGTCACAGAACGCTTCGCAGAACCCGACAGTGTCATTCACATCTACAAACACATACCGAAACCCGGCGATCCGAGCGAAGGAGGCGAGCTTCGGGGCAGGCAAGGAGAAGTTCTTTGATCCATTGAACGGGTATGGCGATGATGACATTGAAGGCAATGATTTGAATCGGAAGCCTGGCGGCGGCGCCATGACTGACTATCAACGAATGTAAATCACTACGGGGCGTGTCACCCTCAATTGGCCGACATCAGCTATTCGTCGCCAATGTTCTCACGACTACTGCGCCCGTATTCGTTACAGATGCTGCGTGAGCAAATCGTTATTGCACGTCTCAGCAGAAAAATGTGTCAACCTCATCTAATAAAAGGACACTTAAAGCTAGTAGAATCCTGCCCAAGCATTCCTATCCTTGATGACAGCGCCTTTGCTCCGATGCAAGACTTTGTGTTTGTCAACATCCAGTACCGCATCCTGTAATCCCGGGAATCAGCAAGTAAACAACCGGGTGCCGGGAACACGTACGAGAGTTTCTTGATGCGCGGAGGAAATCACGAAACGACAGAATAGAAGGACGGCGAATGCCCTTTCACTCGAAGCGCACAGAGTAGCCAGTTGCACACCGTGGCGTTTAACGTTGAATAATGCCAAATCGAATATGATCTCGTCTCCTTTATCGCCGTGAAGATCAGTAGCGCTATGGTAGCGGCACCATATGGTAATGTTGTGCAGCTCCAATGTCTCTAAGGCGGCGAATGCACTGAAGTCGAGAGGCGATTTGAGGCATTGTCCGACATTCATGACCGATAGTCTGGGGAAGGCCGACAGATATGACTGGGGCAGTAGACTAAGCTTCCGGGAAGAGCTCATTCTTAGAGTTGTCGAGGCCAACAGATACGATGAAGCCTCCCGCTGAAGCTGTCTACAGCTGAGGAGCAAGCCAAATGGAAAGTGACAGCGGCATATCGAGGATCCGCAATGAGATACGGCGGGGAATGCTGGCTCCAGGGATAGATATGCATCGGCGAACAAATGGTGGTAGATCTCAACCCTCACTTCGGCAGGGAGATCCAGAAAGCCGACAGCGTTCGATGCCATGATCATTCTTTCGTTCGGTCACGCCACAACGTCCGCCTGGCAGGTTGAAGTCTGCGCGCGCGTGAGATAGGACGATATAAGGTAAAGTATCAGGTCCGCTACCGGATATGCCAGATACCCCTCGCGAGATCTAGATCTCCGTCTCCAGGAAGTGTTCCGGCCAATCATCTTCAGCAACGGTCATGATCACGAACAACTCTGATTCATCGTCAACATCCTGTTCCAACTTCATCTTATACGAAAGCTTCTCGTGAAGCACAGACCTGCGACATGAAGAATCGATGCGGCTTGACGACGTTGATCAGTGCTTTCTCCCGATCTTCTGGGCTTGCCAGGCTTTCGCCATGCGCATTCTTCGATGTCGCCCGTGCATACGAATTTTCGATGCAGTTGACAGCTGTCAATCGTAGGCGACATAACTTCCCATGCCTCGTATTGCACTGCGCAACCCGTCTCGGCACCGATGGAGCATCTGCAGAATCGCGGAGTACCTAATCGTGATATTCATGGCTCGTAGAAGGCTGTTCATCCGCTATACATGTATAAGCCAACCTGAGCGAGGATAACAGCACTCGTTCGGTGTGTCATTCCTTCCCTTTTCCGTCACGTCGCTCTTTCACAGCATTTGCCAGATGCAGCTGATACCACCCTCGTTTGTGAGCCTTTTGGCTTGGTACATTCATCTACAGCGATGTCAAAGCAGTCTTCTGCCCCGATGGCGAGGTTCAGAGATTTTACAGCAGCGAGCCGAGCTGGGCGTAGGGACTTTTGTACAGACTGTTGCGATCCAGGCGCCCGTATGGATCAAGCTGGGCTTGAGCAATGACAATGACTGACTTTCACAGATACATGTACAATTATTTGCAATGCACGATACAGCCATAGGCATTTCTGACGGACTGACTCTGCAAGTCAGCAATGCTCCAACGTTCATCGACACGGTGCTCACAGGTTCGGCATATGATTTCCGGCGACGAGTATGTGTATGACTGACGCACGAAGCCACCTCTACATCATTTAGCACCTGTTATGGACAGATCTTCACGCAAAATCCAATTTCCAACTCAAACGACACCACATCCTCTACGATACCTCTGCAGTCAACGTCTTCGAGCATTTCTCTTGAGACTGCTGGTATCATAACTACTGCTCTGGGTTCATCTTCCTCATCCCGTAGCGAGATAACCTCCGTCAATTCCCTTACATCCACTGTTGGAACCTCTAACCTGGGTTCACTCACATTTATGCCTTCCACATCGGGACAGACTACTAGTTCGACAAGTAGCGTCGGCTTTGTTGAAGCGTCTCCTTCGTAAGTCCACCCCGGTTTCCGATAGTGTACCTAACATTGGACAGCACAACCTTGACAGCAACCCCGCCGGCTTCCTCGACGCCATTCGTCCTGAGTCCGGACGACGGTATCCCAATTGACCAGCGACTTTTCATCTTCTCCATTGACCTGTCCCCAGGTTGGCATCCACAGAAACGCCAGAGTGCAGCCTATATAGATACTTCAGGGCAGACAACGGGCGATTGTACGAACGCTGTGGTGTTCTCAATCACATCTGACGGGCAGTTGTTCGCAAATACGTCTAGTGGGAGTTTGCAATTCGGCACAGATCCTGGGGTCCCCTACCAGAATTTTACGGCGTCTGCCACTCCGGGTTCTATTGTCAGCTTCTTCAGCGTCGTGAGTCTTACCCTTCCATCAAGGCCTAGAGACGGCCTCACCGTAATTGCGAGCACAGCCGCTAACACATAATTCCGGATAGGACCCTGAAAACAACCTAATGTGGGCCAACACAGCCTTCTTCACAAATATGGCACGGTTCTGCGTACAGCCCAGTGGAAACCTGCTCGCAGTGTTCATAGACCCGTCGCAGGCTCCTTCGGATTGCACATTCGTCCAACTGTCGCTTAATCGCGCGTCTCAATGTGCTGGGCTCGTGCCCGGACCTCCGTAAGTTCCCCTGGCCCCGACTTTCTTCAAAGCATACCTCCTTCACTTTTCGATGTTTCGTTCCTTCACTTTTGCTTTGACTGGTTCACCCTTCACCTTTGCTCTTCACACTCCGCTCCATCACTTTCGCTTTCGACGCTGCTTTCTGCAATTTTCGATGCTTCACTTTGACTGACTGAACCAGAGGTGTACGTGATTGTCCATCAACCTTCAGCCCCTTCTCCCAAGCCTATAGCGCTCGTTCTAATCATTCTCACAGCCACCTGGTCCGCAAGGGCCTCAAGGCGATCCCGGCCCAAGCGGACCTTCTGGTGCCGATGGAACGCAAGGCTTTCAAGGACCGACGGGTCCGCAAGGACCCCAAGGCGTTGCTGGCCCAAGCGGTCCGGCCGGTCCGCAGGGAGCGCAAGGTGTTGCCGGTCCCAGTGGTCCCTCTGGCCCACAGGGCGCACAAGGTGTTGCCGGTCCCAGCGGTCCTTCTGGCCCACAAGGTGCGCAAGGTGTAGCAGGACCAAGTGGCCCGCAAGGCGCACAAGGGGTCGCTGGGCCCAGTGGTGCGCAAGGTGTGGCAGGACCGAGCGGGCCACAGGGAGCACAAGGTGTCGCAGGACCAAGCGGACCGCAAGGAGCTCAAGGCGTCGCAGGACCAAGTGGACCTGCAGGACCCCAAGGAAGCCAGGGTGTTCAAGGTCCTCAAGGAAGCCAGGGTGTCCAAGGCCCTCAAGGAAGCCAGGGTGTCCAAGGCCCTCAAGGAAGCCAGGGAGTTCAGGGAGTCGCTGGACCAAGCGGGCCTGCAGGCCCTCAAGGAAGTCAGGGAGTTCAAGGTCCCCAAGGAAGCCAGGGAGTACAGGGAGTTGCCGGTCCCAGCGGAGCTGCAGGACCCCAGGGAAGTCAGGGGGTACAGGGAGTCGCCGGTCCCAGTGGGCCTGCAGGGCCCCAAGGAAGTCAGGGAGTTCAAGGTCCCCAAGGAAGCCAGGGAGTACAGGGAGTTG